ACATACATACAGCCTAACTGAAATATAAAATTACATACATACAGTCTAACTGATATACCGGTATAAAATTACATACATACAGTCTAAATGAAATATAAAATTACATACATACAGCCTAACTGATATATAAAATTACATACATACAGCCTAACTGACATATAAAATTACATACATACAGCCTAACTGATATATAAAATTACATACATACAGCCTAACTGATATATAAAATTACATACATACAGCCTAACTGAAATATAAAATTACATACATACAACCTAACTGATATATAAAATTACATACATACAGTCTAACTGAAATATAAAATTACATACATACAGTCTAACTGAAATATAAAATTACATACATACAACCTAACTGATATATAAAATTACATACATACAGTCTAACTGAAATATAAAATTACATACATACAGTCTAACTAAAATATAAAATTACATACATACAACCTAACTGATATATAAAATTACATACATACAGTCTATCTGAAATATAAAATTACATACATACAGTCTAACTAAAATATACAATTACATACATACAGCCTAACTGATAAATAAAATTACATACATACAGCCTAACTGAAATATAAAAGTACATATATAGTCTAACTGAAACATACATACAGTCTAACTGAAATATAAAATTACAAACATACAGTCTAACTGATATATAAAATTACATACATACAGCCTAACTGAAATATAAAAGTACATATAAAGTCTAACTGAAATATAAAATTACATACAGTCTAACTGAAATATAAAATTAAATACATACAGTCTAACTGAAATATAAAATTACATACATACAGCCTAACTGATATATAAAATTACATACATACAGCCTAACTGATATATAAAATTACATACATACAGTCTAACTGAAATATAAAATTACATATCATACAGTCTAACTGAAATATAAAATTACATACATACAGTCTAACTGAAATATAAAATTACATACATACAGCCTAACTGATATATAAAATTACATACATACAGCCTAACTGATATATAAAATTACATACATACAGCCTAACTGAAATATAAAAGTACATATATATAGTCTAACTGAAATATAAAATTACATACATACAGTCTAACTGAAATATGAAATTACATACATACAGTCTAACTGATATATAAAATTACATACATACAGCCTAACTGAAATATAAAATTACATACAAACAGCCTAACTGATATACCGGTAAAAAATTACATACATACAGCCTAAATGAAATATAAAATTACATACATACAGTCTAACTGATATATAAAATTACATACATACAGTCTAACTGAAATATAAAATTACATACATACAGCCTAACTGATATATAAAATTACATACATACAGCCTAATTGAAATCTAAAATTACATACATACAGCCTAACTGATATATAAAATTACACACATACAGTCTAACTGAAATCTAAAATTACATACATAGATACAGCCTAACTGATATATAAAATTACATACATACAGCCTAAATGAAATATAAAATTACATATATACAGCCTAACTGAAATATAAAATTACATACATACAGTCTAACTGAAATATAAAAGTACATACATACAGTCTAACTGAAATGTAAAATTACATGCATACTGAAATATAAAATTACATACATACAATCTAACTGAAATATAAAATTACATACATACAGCCTTGATGAAATGGAAAAATATATATGATTACACGGGAGTGTAAATACACGGTCGCTGGATGCGTAATGAAGGTGGTCGCTTATCAGTCGTTAATTACATTGAAATCTCGTAGGGGGGATTTTATTGTGGTCGCATATTGAAGGTGATTGCTTAATGAAGGTGGTCGCGTGAGCAGGATATACTGTACATACAACCAACCTTAAATTTAAAATATATACAGACTGCTTCACTGAAATATACAAATACTAAAGTATGCAAATATATATATATATATATATATAATTAAACTGAAATATACAAATATACATAAATACTATAATTAAGTCATCTACATTGTCAGAAAAATTCATTGCAGCTCTTGTGAAACTTCAATCATTCCTGATCTATTAATCATACCAAATTTACCAAGTAACATTTGTGGCCTTGATAGCTTCCACAAGCCAAATCCATTTTGGACAAATCAACGGTATGGACCAAGGAAAATTACAATGTTTCTAAGAAATAAATAGTTTAAACATCGTAGTCTTATTCAGGAAATCAGTGCCAAGTGTTCCAAAACTCAGATGAAATATCTGAAACTAGAAATTAATATTTAAAATAGTTACCGATGTAACACTGGCAGCATGAAAATATACAGGTTGTGGTAGAAATGCTGACAGTTTTGTCCATTGAATCGTGACTAAATTCAACTTCCATATATCATCAGCTATTTTTCTATCCAATAGACCACCACAAATATATATTTCTACAAAAAAACACAAATAAAACAGAGTTACATGCCTTATGTCTGTTTTCACATTTGAAGTCCATAGACAAAGGGTTTTCCAGGTTTTAACCTGAAATGGGTAATAGAAAGAAAGAAGTTGAAAACCCCTGCCATATACCATGCCCCAACAATGAAGCTTACTAATAGAAATCATATGACAAATGAAGACAGATCAGTATTTCTGTTGTAAGTATCTTTACACTACCACATCAATTGTTTACAGATCATAACTTTGACAACTGTGGTGAATTCTACAATCAAATTTGTCATCTTATCCTTTACTATATATTCTATGTTACTGGTATTATATATTCATTAATACTTCTATCAGATCTTTATTAGTTATCATTCTTTCTTACCATTGTTTAACTTCATACAACTATGACATTTTCTTGGAGCAGGAAAGCCTTTTATTGGATCTGGTTTGGTTTTCAATTCTTTCCATTTTAAATTCACAGTGTGAAATACTGGGATCTAATATGAAAACATAAAAATTATGAGTTGTATCAACAAATCATCATGATGTAAATAGCCTGACAAACACTACAGTTTTTATACTCCAACTTCATTTGAGCCTTATAATGATTTTTTCAAAAAAGTCCAAATACAAAGCAGTAATGAATACTCTATGAAATACCTTATCTAATGAATACTGTTCAATTGCTGTACCACCTCCAATTAGATATAGCTCCCTATCTCTATATACTATTTCATGACGATATCTGTATATAATTGTAAATGGTATTATTCAGTATGATATCTGTATCTAATAGTAAATGATATCATTCATTATATCTGTATCTAATAGTAAATGATATAATTCATTATATGTAAATAATATCATTCATTATAGCTGTATCTAATAGTGAATGATATCATTCGTTATAGCTGTATCTAATAGTAAATTATATCACTCATTATAGCTGTATCTAATAGTAAATGATATCATTCATTATAGCTGTATCTAATAGTAAATAATATCATTCATTATAGCTATATCTAATAGTAAATAATATCATTCATTATAGCTGTATCTAATAGTAAATGATATCATTCATTATATCTGTATCTAATAGTAAATGATATCATTCATTATAGCTGTATCTAATAGTAAATGATATCACTCATTATAGCTGTATCTAATAGTAAATAATATCATTCATTATAGCTGTATCTAATAGTAAATGATATCATTCATTATATCTGTATCTAATAGTAAATAATATCATTCATTATATCTGTATCTAATAGTAAATAATATCATTCATTATAGCTGTATCTAAAAGTAAATGATATCATTCATTATATCTGTATCTAATAGTAAATAATATCATTCATTATATCTGTATCTAATAGTAAATAATATCATTCATTATAGCTGTATCTAATAGTAAATGATATCATTCATTATATATGTATCTAATAGTAAATAATATCATTCATTATATCTGTATCTAATAGTAAATGATATCATTCATTATAGCTGTATCTAATAGTAAATGATATCATTCATTATAGCTGTATCTAATAGTAAATGATATCACTCATTATAGCTGTATCTAATAGTAAATGATATCATTCATTATAGCTGTATCTAATAGTAAATAATATCATTCATTATATCTGTATCTAAGATATCATTCATTATAGCTGTATCTAGTAGTAAATGATATCATTCATTATAGCTGTATCTAGTAGTAAATGGTATCATTCATTATAGCTGTATCTAATAGTAAATAATATCATTCATTATAGCTGTATCTAATAGTAAATAATATCATTCATTATAGCTGTATCTAATAGTAAATAATATCATTCATTATAGCTGTATCTAATAGTAAATGATATCACTCATTATAGCTGTATCTAATAGTAAATAATATCATTCATTATAGCTGTATCTAATAGTAAATGATATCATTCATTATAGCTGTATCTAATAGTAAATGATATCATTCATTATAGCTGTATCTAATAGTAAATGATATCATTTAGTTTGATATCAGTATATTATTATTTTATCATTCTTGATCTATTTCTGTATAAAACTCTTTTAAGGGTACTGTTCTAGTTCTTACTAGTTTTAGGTCTGTACAAAATGTAAATAAATATAACTGATGAATGTTTGTGTTTGTGAGAATATCAGGTTTAGAGTATTTGTGCAAATTTGAAATTTCTAACCTTTTGAGTCTATCTCCCTAGAAATTTATCTTGTAAATAATTTCCTTTTACCTGGACTCTGGGTGTGCAGATTTGTATTCTTTTCCTGATAACTGTGTCCATTTTAATGTCTTTAAGTTTAACTGATGAACATCCATATTATATCTATAGCCAGAGGTGCCTCCTACGACAAAGACTAAATCATCTTGCATTGACATTGCCTAAAAATAGAAAATATTATAGTTACATGGTCTTACCCATATTTCATTGTTAACTGTTTTTTAAACCTTAGGATAGTCTTCAAGAATTGAATTGGTGGTATGCTAAGAAATTATTTAGAACATGCAAAACTGCATAGGTAGGAATGGTAATGGGCTTTGGATACTCACATGACCATATTTTTTGGTTGGTAAATCTCCATAACATGTATATAGTTTCCATGAAGCTGTAGATAAATTACAAACATTTAAATCATTACTGTTAGATTCCCCAAATGGTATAGCAGTTCCACCAAACATCAACATATTACAACGATCTAATACAACTAAAATTAAAAAAAGAAGAGGTGAATCTTAAAATTCATATTCATTTCATAACATATAAGACACTCACAATGTTAAAAATAATAATTGATACTGATAAAAAAAAACAGTTGGATATTATTCCAATCAAGAATCCATTGTAAAATGAAAATCAAATCAGATATTTATGTAAGAAATAATGTCTTTTAAAAATTTCAAAGATAGCGTGCCATACGCCCACTACCAGCTGTCAGGAATGATGACAAAATCTTTAGTGGCTTAATAATGAATTTTCAAATAATCTTAAAATCATCTATAAGTCATGGCAAAACCCTGAAACAGTCCATCAAGTTATCATCAAATTCAAACATGAACAATGTCTCATCGCTATACACAAAAGGGCAATAACTCTGAAACTGTTCATCATCCGAATATTACCAAGATTTCATCAATATATTATATGAATATCTAGTTTCATCAAGATCAGATAAAATCAGAAGTCTCTATCGTGCCTACAACCCAAATGTGACGTGTTTTTACTAAGTCAAGGGCAATATATCTGAAAACGTTCACTGGATTATTACCAATTTCGAACTTGACAGATCTCATCAATACATACATGCATACCAAGTTTCATGAAGATTGGATAAAAACAGTAGCTTCTATCGTGCCGACAAGGCAAATTTGACGTGTTTTTACTAAGTCAAGGGCAATAACTCTGAAACCATTCTTCTGGTTATTACCGATTACGAACTTGTCCGAGATCTCATCAATATATACATGCATACCAAGTTTCATCAAGATCAGATGAAAACTGTAGTCTCTATCGTGCCTACAAGTCAAATTTGTCACGTTTTTACAAAGTCAAGGGCAATAACTCTGAAACCGTTTTTCTGATTATTACCAATTTCGAACTTGTCCGAGATCTCATCAATATATACATGCATACCAAGTTTCATCAAGATCGGATAAAAACTGTAGCCTCTATTGCGCCTACAAGAAATGTGAATGGACGGACGGACCAATAGGGGCGACAGCAATACACGTCCACATTTCCATGTGGGCGTATAAAAATTCAGTACCAGCAGTCCAAATATTTTTCTTTTGTTAAACAGTTAAAAGAAATTTGATTCCACTGTTCAGTATACAATAAAAAAAAAGTGCTAATATCTTAATTACTAGATCTCAGTTTTTTCAAATTTCATTAAGATCTCTAACATATACCTGTATGTGATGCTAATTCATAAGGCATTGTACTTTGTGTCTCTAACTGGGTCCATAATCTAGTAGCAAAATTGAATTTCCATAGCTGTAAAATAATAACAATAATAGTCACCATATAGTGTCAGTAATAGAATAATAATCACTATAATTTCCGTATGAACTGCTATATCAATTTGATTGACTCATATATGTGCAACATGTACATTGACTTGTATCTGCTCATCGTACTAAGACCTTTGACTGCAATTGCCACTATTTTTGTATCATGGAATGCATCAATTTGATTGGATTGTATGCCAGCCAATACAGTTCAGGACAGAAATGCTGTGTTAACTCAAAAATATAATTAATTATATCTTTAAAGATGGTTTCCCTTATTTTCATTTATATATATATATGGGTCATTCTCCCATTAATGTGCAATTTGCATGTTGCAGAAAAATACAAATCAAGTTCTTTGCACTATGAAATAAATCATTTTATTTGGACGCAAAATGTTTCATTTTATTGATTATAGCTCGTGCACATTTTTTAATGGATATTTTAATGTTTAAATATGACTTGTTTGTTCAAGAACTGTCAAAAATTCTCAACACCGTAACGCAACTAAAAACGAAAAAAAAAAGCAGACATAAGTTAATAAAATATGCCGAAAGTAGTTTAGAATGTAGAACTTCTTGTTTAAAATCTTTTAAAGTATAAATCTGTTATTCCATTTGCTTAAAATTTAGCATTATGACTTATTACGCGTCATCTCTACATTACGTATATTTTGCAATGTTCTAAACCCAATATGATCGTTTAACGTTTTCCCACCACCATTAAAGTAACTTTACCTGGGAGGATAAGTGCAGGGCAATGATAATATAAGTAAAATATATGGGAAAAGGGGCATCGGGCAGCTTATGGACAAATTTAGGCATTCGTTACGGTGTTGAAGTTGAGTTACATTGTTGAATGTGTGTTACGGTGTTGAAGCAGAATGATTCACACAAAATAAGTTTGGTGCGCAAATGAAAACTAAACTGCAAATTGCATAACAATCTGATCCACAATACTAGAAAATCTTTTTTGTTTCACATTGTATATAAATCTGAATTTTGAATCAAAAATTTTATTGAGAAAAACATGTCGTAGGCCTATTTTGTAAATGAGCACTACGAAACTGTATCAGTATCATAATGTGGATAAAAACATTCTCATTAACAAGAATTTACTTTTATTTAAACAAAACTAATCAATACAAAATTGTAATCCATTAAGGTATTTAAAATTAAAATTAACCAACAAATGTAGATAAAAGTGAACTAATCATAAAATTGAAACAATCTAGCTAATTACGTCCAAATACTCTTTGGTACCTGATAAAGTTCTCTGCGAGAGCTTATTCTCTCTTGTGCATGAATCATAGTTACTATTTTAGAATACGCGTACCAAATGACATCTATGAATGCAGGCAATACGAATTTGTTACTACAACTACAAGAAGAACAGAAGTTAGTTTATCTTCAAAAATTTTGAGAATTTGCAGGCCTTAGTCACAATCATTACTACCTATTAGTCCATAATTTAATGAAATCGAATAGGACTGGCATAAATTGATCTCTTTATTTTCGATGCTTTTGGATATTTGAGGGTATGTGTATGTCTAAAAACTTATGTAATGTATAAAAAACTCAACACCATAACAAAATTTCAACACCGTAACGATAATATTCGTGACAGTGTGTGACGGTGTGTGACGGAGTTGAGCGTTACGGTGTTGAGAAATTTAACATTATCTTTCATTAGCTCGTTAATGTATTCATCCGCAGGACTACTTTCAATGGTGACCGCCGAGAATCGAATTTTTATTTCGAAAAATCATTCTTATACAAAGGTTTAATCATTAGACATTGTGAAATCTGCGTAACGGTGTTGAAGGGGAATTAAAATACTAGCCTTATTTTTGATAAATATTATTACTTACTGTTTATTCAGCTAATATTATTGTTGAAAGATCAATTCGACGTCGACGAGCACCAGGAATAGTAGCGTGTGCAAAAAGCTACATTGTAAAGTGGCAGTTGTAATTTCACTCCGCAACAAAATAAGATCCCGTTACGGTGTTGATAAATTATTTAGGGACACCCATAAAATGTTTTTTATTTAAACACAAATACCATATCATAAGAAACCATTTCTATTAATCAATTCTACAAATGTTTGTTCACATAGAAAACAGTTTTTATGAATTTTAAGCTGTCTGAAGTCTAAGTGAAGTGAGCTTGAAAATAAAAAATGCCGATCGGGACATTTAAAATAGGCTATTTTTCAGGGGGGAGACATTCTTTAAAGAATCTTCAAAAATTATGTGTTGAAGAAATGAGTATTAAATAATTGTCTTGAATCATGTTAAGATCGATTTAAATGATACATAATGAAAAATAGAGAAAAAGTATATTTTATTGAAATGTATCGACCGGGACAAAAAATCAGTAAAACTGCACGTTAATGGGAGAATGACCCATATATTCGATTATTGGACGGCTGATACTTATATCAAACGAATGTAGAGGTATTCTAATGAATGGGAATAATACCAGTTTGTCTCAAAAGTCCCTAATTAGCCTGTAATTAGTTAATTACGACGAGGATTTCCATAGCGTGACGTGATAAAAAAATTGTCGAGTCTTTTTTCAAATAACGAGTATATACAGTCAGGGACTTCCGCGATTGGTTAAAAATCGTTTAAATATGCGCGCATGTGCACTCCCCGCATTCCTTTCTTTTCTCACAACAACAATATAGGGAACAAAGAAGAAATGGGATCAAGAAATTCCAAGAATATGTTAAGATAAGGATGTCTATGACCGTTGGTGTAATTTCATAGAGGAGAATCAGTTAAAATTTCATGGTGAAGCAGCCACTCGCTTTCTCAACAGTCGGTAAGAATGACGCCATTTGGTCACGTGAACAAACATGGAGTTTAAATTTAGCTTCTCAAAGCAGATTTGAGTAAATGACTTCCCAAAGTCTTTCTACATCCACATACAGGATTTTAACATATGAATATTTTTATAATTCATTAGAAACACTGATTAATCAATTAGTAAGCATGATTTGACCAAGAAAAATGAGCAAAGGCATCTTTAAAGAATATCTTTTAGCATATATATATATATAGGTCAGAAAAAACAATCTGGAGATTGGGTGAAAAGTTTTTCCAAAGAGCGTAAATTTGTGATTTGAAACTTCAAATTGATTATTTATTTTTTTAAAAAAGCCTTATGCCTTGTTAATTAATTTAATTGATCATAGGCCTACATGACACAGTAAAAATAAACAAACCTATAATAGGGATAGGCCTACCCAGGCAAAATAATTTTAGAAATAGTGCCTGATATTTCAAAATTTCAGTATTGATTGAATCAAAAATAATGTCAAGGTGAAATGATGTTTGAAAACAAGAAAGCAAGCATGATCCCAACTCTCTAGTAGGCCTACATCATACATGTAATAACATATTAAAAGATAGCTTGCCCGGCAAGGCAATATACGCCCACTGGCAGCTTTGATTTTAAATAAAAACATTTGGCAGTACAGTAACAATTACCAGTATGATATATTCGACCTTCAGACATACACTTCTTTTGAACTTTTGAGGCGATACTGAATAATATTACCAAGTTTCATCAAAATCCGTCAAGAACTGTGCCTTCTTGAGTGTATATATGCTAAAAATTGAACGCGTTTTCAAGAACAAGGGCAATAACTCATACTAAATATTTTTCGATTTTTCTGGTTTTTAATAGGATTTATCCTTGGGTGATAACAAACACTCATGCCAAGTTTCGTCAAAATCTGTCAAGACTTGTGCCTTCTATAGTGTTTACGAACTAAAAATTGAAAGCGTTTTCAAGAACAAGGGCAATAACTCATACTATATATTTTTTGATTCTTCTGATTTTCAATAGGGTTCATCCTTGGGTGATTATAAACACTCACACCAGGTTTTGTCAAAATCCATCGAGAATTGTGCCTTCTAGAGTGTTTACGAGCTAAAAATTGAACTGTTTCCAAGAACAAGGGCAATAACTCATACTAAACATTTTTCAATTCTTCTGATTTTCAATAGGGTTCATCCTTGGGTTATTATGAACACTCACACCAAGTTTCGTCAAAATCCATCAAGAATTGGGCCTTCTAGAGTGTTTACGAGCTAGAAATTGAACGCGTTTTAAAGAACAAGGGCAAAAACTCATTCTAAATTTTTTTCGATTCTTCCCATTTTCAATAGGGTTCATCCTTGGGTGATTACGAACACTCACACCAAGTTTTGTCAAAATCCGTCAAGAATTGTGTCTTGTAGAGTGTTTACGAGCAATTGTGGACGAACGGACGGACATGGGTGACGGCAATATACGCCCCCCATTTCATGTGGGCGTATAAAAATCAGTATATTCTGAAAGCAATATTTAGTAAATAATATGTACTGGCAATGTTACTTTTTCCAAAGGTGTCATTCATGACATCTAAAATATCTAAAAAGTTTTAAGTGACATCATGCAGGCAACCAATACATACCTCTCTAAATAAAGGATAATATGTAGTTTCATCATTATGTTCATCCCAGAAATTGGGATTATAGCCACCAATAGAATAGAGATTGGCATCAGTGACCACAATACGATGTCCACTTCTTTCATCAGGACATAATATTCTAAACAAAGGAATATAAAATAATTCTATGAAATTAACATAGAGTGAATACAAATAAGTACCGTATGCTTTAAAGGCAATTTATGAAAATATAGAAGCAAAGACACATATATAAACAATTTTTAGGCTGGCAGGTAAACAATATAAATTGTAATAGGTCAAATTTGAAGTGCATGTGTCAGATTGAGTTGTTGAATGCCAACAGAAGAATTCTTTTTGTGAAATATGATTTTTATATAAAGTGAATTTTCAGTTAAAAATGTGGGTCATTTTCAAGATAATTTTTTCCAAAACCATTTATTTCTGTGAACCTATTAACGTTCTAAAACAAATTCTAATTTGGATATTTTGTAAAATGAAAGGAAAATTTCAATCCTGACATTTCTGAGCTCACTCACTGTGATCAAATCATCTGTCTCTATTCCAACCTCTGATAGTTTCATGGACAGATGTCAGCTGGTGTAGAGACAGATAAAATAGGCCCTGTTAAATGGGATCTTTCCACAGGTGCAGGGGTTTAACCCTATTTAGATACCTGAGATCTGCAAAATCCAGGTATACTTGGAAAGATGAATGTTTTTGTAGTTCAGTCATACCATCATTTTCTCCCTACACCATTTATGTCATGTCTCTGGTTCCAGATACTGATCTAGCATCGACCATTTAAAACTGCCTGTGCAGCCAAAAGAGTCCCATGATACTATCAACACTAATTTACAATCATCTTAAAGGTAATTCAATATCATGTTAGAGTAACTCTTATTTGGAGATGTGAAAAATCCCCATTTAACAGGTCTTTTTCTTCTGACTCTACCCCAGCTGACAACTGTCAAAATATCAGGGAACAAAATAAGAGGTATCGCAGTTTGTAACGCGATGTAATTCATGTCAGTAGAGCAGTTTTTTTGCGATACATAATATTTTCTAATAATAAATGAAAATTAACTCATTATTATTGGTGTCTGAAACAATGAGAATCCCTTAATTTGACGCACCTTTTTGTAAATTTCTCATTGACTGAAAGTCGGCACAGAATCAAAGGAAGCAGGATTGTTAACTATAAATATTATTGCAGTCATAGATTGTGCTAAATAACAAATATTATACTGAAGTGGATAGCAGAAGACATTTCGGGGAGATAGAGTAGAGCAGCATGGATATGAACCTCGTAGTGGAAAAAATTAATGCATCATCATTTAACAGTGGAAATACAACACTCCTATTTGTAACAAAATAAGAACAACTTCAACAATATCCATTTCTGTAAGAAAAACCGCAAACCTGTGGTTTAAAATGACATAAGCAGTTGGTTTTTCTCAATACAGAATCCTACGCCTGTGACCTTGAAAATTTAGACTTAATATCACAGGAATAAATATGGCAAATGCAAGTATTTTCGAAAATAACATTTAAGATATCAGGAGTAAAAAAAGCCATTATTGAAGAAATATTATAAAAAGTAAGCATTAAAATTTACCGGTACTCAAGTGTCAAACTGAATGTGCAATTACATTAGGGGTTTAAGATCTACTTATTTTGTATCTATATTTTCCAATGGTATTAAATTAATAAAATCAAGAATAATTTAATTCAATTGATGATACTATTCATAACTTTTATCAAACATTAAAATATATCTTTAAAAAAGTGCTATACAATTTCAACTGTCACAGAAGAAATTGCTCCACAAAATTTAAAAATGCTATGCAATTTCGGCCCTAAGTAAGAGCAAAAAACTGCTATACTATGCAAATAAAAAAAATTAATTTGTACCCTGAATATCCATCAGAGGCTGGAATAGAGTCAGATGTTACCTAATGTTCTGAATTCTGACATTATGAATATGCAAATACATTCTATAGTCAATGGCGGAAACAAAAATGATAATGTACCATGTTCTGATGACCCATCCTCCCCATCTGCAGGCAATGTGTTAATTTGAATTTTAACAACTGTTCCCAATCCCATGGAGGCAGCCATCTTTATTCTCTACAAACGTTTGGCTGAATCAGATTTCTACGCCAATCGAACTTCAACCATTTCCGTTAAAATCTGTCATGGCGTCGAATTCAGTCACTCCCGACCGTGTCAAATCGGTTTTGTCAAGTTTTCTCAGTACAAATACAAAAGAGAAGGATTATCAAAAGTAATTGTTAGACTTTCAAATATTTTTAGTCCCGCCATTACATTTTTTTAATTTTTACGTGGTTCAGAATAGTTTTACGTAGAATTCTCTGGTAACTGTCAGTGGTGTCTAAATTTTGTCAACGCATCGACATCGTAGCTATAGACCGAAACATCTGCCTCTATACTAGCCTCTAATAGATTTTTTGATAGTTGTCAGCTCTTGAAAAGACAGAAAAAGAAGACCCTGTTTAATGGGGATTTTGCTGTGCACCTGCTCTGAAGGTGCGAGTGTTTTAAACCTATTATTTAAATCAGAAGAGGGATAATTTTGTAGTTCAGTCATACCACCATTTATATCACTTCTATGGTCCCATTGAATTTATTTTTTAACACGACTAATCTTTTGCGGGCCATTTAAAACTGCTGCACAACCTAAAGGGTCACAAAGTCACATGATTCTAACAAAACGATAGTAATGTTGATGTCCAACACTTATTTACACTCATGGTAATATGCACATTCAGAGGTTTGGAATATCTCCATAAACAGGACCTATTTCTTCTGAATTCACTGCAGCAAACAACTGCCAAAATAGCTATCAGAGACTAAAATAGAGGCAGATGTTTTGGACAATGTAGATAAGAAATAGGAGGAGTAAAATGATGCCTGGGAGGAGGGGGGTCAATGTGGAGGATATTGTCTAATTTGTTATAGACGAAACCGAGGATTAATTCACAATGATCATAAATAAGGTTAAGGGATGATTGTAAACAGAATTCTGATAGTTCTAAATGTTTTATATTGGGGACACTGATATACAATATATTTTGCACAATTTCAATTTTCAATCAAAATGACGAGACAATAGATATGTTAAGTTTTTTCTGCTGTCTCTAGAATATGCCTCTCACTTCCTTTATTCACATAGAAGATGTGACATTTGTGTCACTCTTTTGATGTATAATTTTTTTTTTTATTCTTTTAGGAAAGATGACAAACATTCTTCTGGTGATTCTGATAAAAAAGAAGATATTTTAACTCCAGTGGAATCTGCAGCAAAGTCAGAATATTTTAAAAGAGTTCAAACTTTTTCTGTATCCATTATACATAGTTATCTTAAAAATTAGAGGTCTGGCAAGATGTGAGGTCTAACCTGTACCAATTTAATGATAAAAAGAAATCTATTCAGTATTTATTGACTGTCATGTTTTGGCATATACCAGTGTGCATCACTGTTTTTTTAAATTGAATTATTTCACTATAACAGGCAATATTTTGAAATATTTATACGTTGTCTGACAAAAAGTGAATTTTTTTTCATGGTGAATAGTATGGAAAATATAACCTCTTTGAAATAGATTCCATTTATAAATGTTACATGTTATACATTATATACGGTACTTATATTAGGTGATGGAAACATTTATATAAATTGTATCAGTGTTCAAATCACTGCTCATAAAGCCCTAACCCTTATAAATTAAGGAGCCAAAGACAACATGCAGAAATAAACAATAAACATCTTTTGTATCTTGTGCAGTTAATCTCTCTTAGGTAACTTGTCATTGTAAAAAGATAAAATCTATCTAAGATTTTTAAATTAACAATTTTGATGACTTAACTCATTATATAGCCTTTATCTTGGTTTGGAAAACCCAGGGAATTATCTCCATTAATCTGTGCACGCTATGGCTGGGAGAACACCAAAACAGATATGTTACAGTGTGTTAGTTGTAGAGCTGTGCTATGTGGACAGTTACCACAAATGACAGATTTTTTATTATGTGAGTATTATTTGTATTTAACAAGATTGATGTAGATTAAAGGCATATTGTTTAACCAGCTGATCAGGTCAATTTCAACCTGTAACACTTATCCAAATGATATTTACTTTTAAATGCCTGGTTTGTCATGGAAATAGACCAGATATTATATGCCTTACATTAATATTTGGAAATGTATTCAATTCTCAAAAGTTGGGAAAGTTTCATTAGCAGAATTGATTATTGCATGCAGTTCTTTCCATATTTTTTCAATTTTAGTTACAATTTATGCTAAAAGAAATGACAACTGGTTTTTATAGCAACTTAATTTTTTGTTTTTAGATAAAGAAGCTTGTGATAAACTAAAAGAACAGTTAATATCTGGTCATGAAAAGCTATGTTGGTTAGCAGCAAACCCTATTTCAGGTAGTGATATAGCCACAGCGCTGTTGTTTAAACTACTTACAGCAAAGTGATAACTAGTTTTTATTTCTAATGAAAAAAATAATGAAGATAAATACACGCAGCAGATTATTTTGAATTTTTCCATATGGCAAATGCATTCCAAACAAATATTTGTGCAGAGGAATTTCTTGTATAAACCATGAAAAGGGTGACTTCTTCCTGACAGAAATTTTGGAATGTCATAAATTATGTTATAGTATGAAATTTGTGGTATATGAAAGACAACTTTGTGAACTAACCAGATAAGCTACAACTTCCTATTTTACTTTAGAACAGCATCTAGATAACACATATTTTGAGACTTTTAGATGACTCAACTTACAGTTCAGATACATACTTTATAACAATTGTTTTTCATTTATTTTTTTCAGAAAAATTTATGATATTACCACTGTATGATATTGTACAATTGAGGAAAGAATTTCATGAAAGATTGTGTAGTTTAGCAATAATCAAGACAGATCTACCAAAAATTAATTTTGAAAATTTAGATAAATGGGTAAATTTTGTTTTTTAATTTATAAACACTCCCATGGGGATGGAACATACATTAATATCACTGCTAACTATATACTTAAGATATCAGTTGTCAAGTAATGGATTCAAGAGTGATATAATGAAAACATAAACATGTACCACTTTTCAAGGTGAATAAATTAATAATATTATCAAACGACAAGAAAATATCTTCCTTTTTAGTGGTTAAGAGTGTACATTGATAGAACATAATGTTTTCACACCATATTTAATCACTGGAACAAGAAGGCATATGTGTTGTAAATATTGCCATGTCATATTTTTTGAGAACTATGATTGTTGAATGTTAAAATTATTCTCTAATTTTGTAGGGATTTGATGAAGAGAAATGTATTCAGCTGGCAAAGTCACAGAGTATTCGAGAAGATGCTGCAATATCGGCAACATTAGCTATAACAGGCTGGACATTGAAGTAAATTACTAATATACAAAATTTATTTCACTTGATTTAAGTTTCATAGTATTTATTGGTTATGTTGGAGGTATCTCTACTGCATATTATCCATTTAACTTATTTCTGTTGAATATTTAGAAAAAAAGTATTTGTAATCTGTTGTGATATTTTACTATCCCTGACAAGCTTATTTTCAATATCATAATTTAGTGATGAAAACAAACAAATAATAGTTTGTCATTATTGTAAAAGAAGAATTGGTTTGTGGAATTATATAAATGACTCTTCTCAAAATGATGAAAGTTGCCATGACAACACAAGCGAAGAACCTTTAAGTAAAAGAATGAAATTGGTGAGTATTTATTAAATTCACACTTTATTTCTTCATAATTATTTCATTTTTATACTCCCACATGAACATGTGGTCGTATATTGTTGTCTGTTCGTCCGTTCATCGGTCCGTCAACATTTCCTGATAAGATAATAAGATCTCGGACAAGTTCTAATTTGACGCATTTTTGATGAACGGTTTTTTAGTTATTGCCCTTGACTTTGTTAAACCGTGTTGAAATTCGTTAAAAATAGTTTGTGAGCAGGATTGACGCAACAGTTTTCAACCGATTCTGATGAAACTTGGTGTGATCATTGGAATTGATAAGATCTTGGACAAGTTCTAACTTGATGCATTTTTGATGAACGGTTTTTGAGTTATTGCCCTTGACTTTGTAAAAATGTGTCAAAATTTGTTCGCGAGCACAATAGAAGCTACAGTTTTCAACCGATTCTGATGAAACTTGGTGTGATCATTGGAATTGATAAGATCTCGGACAAGTTCTAACTTGACGCATTTTCGATGAAATGTTTTTGGGTTATTGCCATTAACTTATGAAAAACGCGTCAAAATTTGTTTGTGAGCACATTAGAAGCTGCAGTTTTCAACCGATTTTGATGAAACTTGGTGTGATCATTGGAATTGATAAGATCTCTGACAAGTTCTAACAAGAGATATTTTTGATGAACATTTTTTGAGTTATTTCCCTTGACTTTGTAAACACGTGTCAAAATTTGTTTTTTGCCCTTGATTAGAGCTGTGTGATTTAATTGTTTGTTGTATTTGGGTTATTGATATTGATTTTAAAAAATTTTGTGGAATTATTCAGCATACATTATTTCTTCAATATGAAGAAATAGGACAAGATATTCTTGAGATATTTTTGAAAGAATCATGCGATTTTTGTGAATTTCTAGTACTTCTGAAGACTACATACATTCAAGACTCAAATCACCCCCTCCCACCTCCAAAATGGTGCATCAGTCCCATTAATAGGTTTGTTTATAATTGTAAAAGATATTACTTGATATTATGTAACATACTTTTTTTGTAAGTATTTTTATTTGAAATTTCAGGAAAAGAAGTCTTGTCTAGATCCTATAGTAGAACATAGATATTGGTGTCCATGGGTAACCATGGCAATAAAACCTGGTAAACAATCTCCTGGAAAACCTCAGCTTTCTTCTACTACAGATTCTAATGTATTTACTTTTAAAAAGAATGAAAGTCATCCTGGTTGGGTGAATACATTGCAGATACTTGTTCCTGATTTAGCAGAAACAGTTGGTTCAACTGGTTTATCAAAGGTAGAGTTTTACTCTTATTGGTTTTTCTGTCTGCTATATGAAGAGGATATGGATCTTTTTAGGATTACAAATATAGCACACATCACAGTTGCATTCTAAAAGTCATTAGTTTTCTATCTAAACAGGAAGTTTGATTTTAACCAAACTGATTTCATATAAACTAATGAACAATGGCAGATAAGGGATATTTATCAGGTTTTAATTTGAAAATATATAGCTCAGAAAGTTAAAAAATATATTTATTTAAAAGTATCAGATGGTGAAAGCAAAGTGGAATGTTGTAGCTATTATTATTTTATTGTAGAGTCCTATGATTGAAGGGTTACGTTCTGTCAGAAAAATATTACGTGTTTGGTCTTCTCCAGAAAAACTCAAACAGTCAGAAAAGACAAATGTTTCTGAAAATATAGAGAAAGATGAAGCTTGATATTATATTTGTGTTCAAATAAATTTGTTCAAAAAGGAGAATCTTCCAAAATTGGATTAGATTTACAATATGGATTGTAGTGAGTTGATAAAAAAAATGTTTATATGTTGTGAGGCAGCATAACACCTAACTCATATCTAGGGTGCTCTGTTAACTGACATTCAACATTTTGTTGAGAATGTTTCATATACAGTTGGTGTGTTTGATTGTGGAGAATTTTTCTTGAAGTCTGATATTGTGCATGAAAAAAAACCCCACATATCTATGTTTTTGTCTTCTTTCTAATGTACATTGATTAGTGACCATAAACATTTACAAATAACTATTTACAAAAAAGTCAGTCAACGTATTCATCATAGATTTGCGAATTTATTGCTAAATACAGAAGAGTCTACAACTACCATAGGACATGTCCAGTTGCAGCACCAGCCTCCCAAGACTGGGTGTGCAGATAGGGGGTAGACTGACTTCATGAGGGGACAAATGTTTAGGTTGAGATTCAAAATGCTTCAAAAACCTTTTTTGCCTTCCATGGCAGGCAGCTTTCGGTTTGGTGCATTCTGACATATTTTGAGGCAAAGATGGATAAAAATCACAGTAATTTATTAAAAAGAAGTAGGGATGCAATTGGGGGTACAAACCATTTACCTGGGGGGAACCCCACAGTTGCTACAAGTGGACATGTCTCAAGATTACACAGGCAAGATTGAAGCTTTGGCCCTTGGACATTAGTCCAATAATATATTTATGATTATCTTGAAAGTTTTGAATAGAATATGGGTAATTTTCTTCTATTTTGACTTCAAAAGCTGAATTCAAGTCTCTGCTATTAATTTTGTGTGGCTTAGCATGATTGACATGTATGAAATTCTTTGACCTCTGTTTATGCATAAAAGTCTTTTCACAACTTTATATTATTCAAGGGATTGTGGAGAGGTTTTCTAATTTTTTTTATGTATAAGGGACACTGACAGCATTAGTTTGCACCATTCCAATTTTCAATCCGACATCTTTGGTTCCTGCAATTCCACTATAACTAAGTGTTTGATGACATCACTGATTGCGAAGTGTCACATCATAAAGCACTTAGTTTTAGTGGAATTGCAGACTGACAATTGGATGGCGCAATCTCTTTACAATCCCTTTAAGAAGTGACAAACTGAACAGAAAAACCAAGATCAATAAAATCTTTTTATTTCATGTATTATAGAAATCTTAAAATTCACAATCCAGTTTAATGAGTCTTTATTCTTGATTAGTTTTTTCAGCAAAACTGTCTTTTTTAGAATCATGAAATCAGTCTTAAGACAGAACATTTCTTTATAAATATTGAAAATTCCCTGACTTTGAGGTTCGAAAAAGAAATGTTAGATTCTAGTCCAATACTAAATTATATTATAAAATATAAACAATTATTACTACTGTTCTAATCTTATATATCATTAACTATAATACACACTTTCCTAACAAATGTTAGATCTTTAATATCAAATATGAACTTCGAGTGGAATTGGTTTTGATTTCCAGGAAATTTCCTATACATATGCAAGCAGAACAGATTTTGGTACAGCAAAGTGTTTCAGCTCTTCATTATTAATCTGTATCTGTCATACATGTGATTGCAGGTTATTACTTAAAAGAGAATATACATTTCAATTGTTATTGATATATTCTATCATAATTGGCAATAATTCATAAATATTACTGATCATATGTTACTGATGTGTGTCATAGATAAACAAGGTCTATCATATTAATGTCTACATTGAAAAAATATTACTAATAATCAAAATTACTTCAATTTACAAAGTTATGAAAGCAATCTTATTCCTCTTACTGATCCAAGCAAACTTTTCAAAATAATTTTTATGATATAGAATAAATATGTAACTAATATGATGTCCATTAGGGTTTAAATAAATTATTATATATTATTATTAATACATAATATCATTATATATAATATATAATGATATTATGTAATACTAACAGTATCTTGAAACACATGAGGCTAGAGTTGGTTACCTTACTGGTATCAGAATTAATCAACTGTCTGACAATGTATACTGATATATCAGATATCTCAGGAGTTCTAGTTGAGGATGTTTTTATCAACTACTGACTATGAAGAATGATATTAGATTAGCTTGGGTCAGTAAGAGTCTTTCTACAGTATAAATATAAAAGCATAAAGAAATTCATTCAGTCCTTTTATATACAGTAAATGCCATGTGATTGAGGAACACAATTCACCACACATTGACAACAAAATATCTCTTTTAAAAATGATCTATGAAGCCAAACTTATTATTCTCATAAAACAATAAGTTCGCCAAAAACAAATTATGAGAAAGAAAATGAGATAGGATGGGGGGGGGGGGGGGGGGGGGGGGGGGGGGGAATCCTTTAGCCAAAACTACATGTATATGAAGAAATATTTTTTTTGTAATGGTTTTACAATTATCTAATTGGAAATTGAATTACAAATTCACAATCTTAGCATATATCACATTTCTCTTTATAATAAAATTATTCTCAATTAAACAAAACAATAACAAAACAATTAAAGGAAGGATTTGTTTTAATTAATTTCAAACTTAAGAGAAAAAATATTTGTATAAATTTCCACAATCTCTGTTTCATCTTTTCTGTAAGTGACTCTACTTGCCATCAATGATCTGACAAAATTGTAATGTTCTTGATCATAAGATATTCTACTAATCTTGTGTTGTGTTCAATTAAAGATTTACCAAATTCTTGTGTACAATTGTAGGATATTGCAAGTAACTTCGACTTGTATTGTCAGCACACTTTAGCAGTGTTGGTTTTGACAACTTTAACACTTATTTGGCCAAATATTCATTTAACATGATCCTAATAAGAATTTTTCAAATCATGGACGGCAAGAGTGGTAGACTAACCCCACAGAAAACAAACATTTAGGTCTGTATTTTCATCAGATTGATTTAAGCAAATCGCTGAAAGAAAATACCCCGGAAATTTCTCAAGTAAGAATTAATGTCCTAATATCACATTGTTTGAATGAAATAATAAGTGTTATGTCAATGGTTATTCATCTGTTTTTTTGAACATATTTTCGTAAAATTCCAAAACAAATCATCAGAACTAAGTCTAAATTAAATCTCTTCCATTTATGACACATTGGGGGAGAAAAAGAAGGAATAAAAATGAGTAAATGAAACAAAAGGAAGTAAAATATGATTTGGCCAAGTTATAAATCCTTGATCCTGTAACAAGTATAAATGCAATAATCTTTTTCTTTTCCATGAGCCGAAATTCAAAATATACTTGATAGTTGATCAAAAATAAACTTACCCAAAGCTACAATTCTCTCAAAATAAAAATTGGCAGCATGCCTCAGTCGGCCCTTTGTCTTCAATAGACAATTCCTAACCCTTTCAACACCAGCGGCTGCTCTAATGGCAACATATTATGTTAGTAAGTTACAACAGTCTTGAAGTTCAGGGTATATTAGTATGATGTTTTATTTTTATTCACACTTGGCGTTCAGAGGATTAAGGGTTGTCATCATTTAAATGGCATTAGCAAAACAGTTGTGTTCATTTAATGTTCTAAATCAAAAAAAAAAGATTGCATGACACAACTGATTGCACATAGTCGGGCAATATTGTTACATTACTCAATAACTGATAAAGCAATATTTTGATGAGAATGGTAGTTTGGGATATGCTCGTATGTGCAAGGTCTTTAAGGTCAAAGCCCTGCACATTGAAACGTATCCTAATGTGATTTACACATATTATATATGATACTCTATATACAATGATAATACAACAATATTTAAATAATTAACTAAATATTATAGTTCCATATCTTGTGCTTCATCTTCAGAGAAATCACTCATGGAACTTTCACTAGAAGATTCTTCTTGTTCTCGCAGCGCTGCTGACGTTGCATATTTTTGTACATATTCTGAAAAAGGTTGATTCAACAAAATTTGAAGTCTTTAAGGCCTTCTTCTCCATTCTCAAAACTAATCATATTTTGCATCATTAAAATCGAAATTGATCAAGCTCTTTAATGATACTTTGAAATGAAGTTTACTCTCACATATTTTTAGAAAGGCTATCAAGCCCACTATCTCACTGTTGTTCAGGTGTTTAGTGACGTCACAAACGATTTTGATTCAAAAGACATTGCTCTCTTTACAATAGATGACATAATTTGCATTTTTTACATTCATTGTGTTCAAAACAGGGTCTGATATTACTATCAGACCAAATTGCAAACTTTTCAAGTTCTGATAAATCATGGAAAATATTAGGGCTGGGTGATATTGGTTCAAGTTGATATCACGATATTAAGCATTAATGTATCACGATATGGGTATATATCAAGATATTTTTCAAATTTGTTTTTTACTGGTTTTTGAAACAAAATTATGATCTAGAAATTTTAAATATAACATAAGATAGCTTGCGAGGCAAGATAACATACGCCCACTGGCAGTTGTCAGAAATGATAAAACAGTCTTTAGTGACTAAAGTACGAATTTTCTCATATTGAAAAAATTTTATTAGTTTGAATTCAATGATATATATATTTACTGCCAGTTATTTATGCTAAGAAATTCCACAAAATTTTTAAAAATCAATATCAATAACCCAAATACAACAAACAATTAAATCACACAGCTCTAATCAAGGGCAAAAAAAAAACTTGACGCGCGTTTACAAAGTCTATGGCAATAACTCAAAAGAGAACTTGTCCGAGATCTTATCAATTCCAATGATCACACCAAGTTTCATCAAAATTGGTTGAAAACTGTAGCTTCTATTGTGCTCACGAACAAATTTTGACACGTTTTTACAAAGTCAAGGACAATAACTCATCGAAAATGCGTCAAGTTAGAACTTGTCCGAGATCTTATCAATTCCAATGATCACACCAAGTTTCATCAAAATTGGTTGAAAACTGTAGCTTCTATTGTGCTCACGAACAAATTTTGACACGTTTTTACAAAGTCAAGGACAATAACTCATCGAAAATGCGTCAAGTTAGAACTTGTCCGAGATCTTATCAATTCCAATGATCACACCAAGTTTCATCAAAATTGGTTGAAAACTGTAGCTTCGATTGTGCTCACGAACAAATTTTGACACGTTTTTACAAAGTCAAGGGCAATAACTCATCGAAAATGCGTCAAGTTAGAACTTGTCCGAGATCTTATCAATTCCAATGATCACACCAAGTTTCATCGGTTGAAAACTGTAGCTTCAATCCTGCTCACAAACTATTTTTAACTAATTTCAACACATTTTAACAATTCGAACTTGACCGAGAAAAAAAACATCTGTTTCAAATATTAAGTTACTTGTTAAAATTGTGTAGATGATCTTATCTGAACAAAAATGTGTTGATATATCATGATAATTACCATATATCACAATATGGCGATATTTCGGTATTTGTTAATAAGGCGATATCATTAACAATATAAATTCCTATGCCCAGCCCTAGAAAATATTCAATATATGATATCAGAGACACCAACCTTTCACTTTCTTTTTATATTCTTCTGGTTTGTGTAAATATAGGGCTGCCGCATCCCCATTTAAAGGATCTATAGGATTAGGATAGGTGAGTAACTGGGGTAAAAACGATTCAAATATATTTAATAAATCTGAAATAATAAAGTTATAAAATTACTTGTATGTTTGCATTTGGAAATCATAATCTTAAATACGAATAACTTAAATATAAATATATGCTTTATAATATATAATAATGAAATATTTTCATTTAGAATAGTTCTCAATGTTGTGCTTCAACTATAGATATAATGTATGTGTAGTTATAAATGAGTTAATGTAAAATGTTTTAACTCTCTTCTGTATCATATTAAATCAAGTTATGCAATCCATTTCCTAAATATTATGACCTATGGATTATTATACCTACCATATAAAGCTGTCCATGCTTGATTTATAACATCTAAACATACTGTACCAGACCTACAAATAATAATAAACAAATATTATATCATGTAGTGTAATACTGTATAATACACCTATAATATACATCTAGTTGTCTTACTTTGTTTACTAAGCCATCTATCTAATAATCAATTTACCAATTTAGTTGTTATATTAAGGGAACAATTTTCTATGTTCTAGAAAGATATCTTTGCCTTTCTCAATTTCAAATTTCATTATACTAAAACCCTAGGCCTACTTTGACATGCAGTTGGTGAAAAATTTTTTTTTACAAAGTTTCATAAACATCTGTTAAGAACTAAAGGGCTTATTGCAACTATTCAGGATCATAGAGGTTAACACACAAGCTCATACTCCTTCTTCTACATGTACATCTAATTCTTGACAAACTCTTTGTTTGTGTGTACTATTAAAATTGAAAAAAAAAGTGTAAAATCAAGAAAAAGCTAACAGACTGATGTGGGTACTGACAAGATATGTTCACATAAAGAGATGTGATAGATAAAAACCTGTGTTGATATAATATAATAATAAGCAGCTGATTCATGCATCTCTGTCAACTATTCCAATAAATCATTGATCACTACCCACTATATAGCTATCACATAAATATTTTCCTCTTTAAGCTGCATATTGTGGCTAAAACTATATCAGCAAAGGACACTTTTGGTGCTCTTAGGAATAAACAAGTGATTGCCTAGCAATGAAAATTGTAGTCTCTATTGTGTTTACAAACAAATAATGACGCATTTTTTCCCAAGTCATGGGCAATAACTTAAAAATTCAAACTTGTCCATAATCTCATCATTATAAATGATCACACCAAATTTCATTTAAATCAGATGAACTCTGTCACGAGACACGTTTTTTCCTACGTCAAGGGAAATAACTCAAAACCGTTAATCGAAAGATCGTCAACTCCGAACTTGACCAAAATATCATGAATATGATATGATCATACGAAATTTCCTTCAAATCAGATAAAAACTGTAGCCTCTATTGTGTTCATAATCCAATTCTGGACTGACCGACAGACGTATATGGGCGTATAGGTATTAAAAGACTCATTCCAACAAATATACTGAATTCAAATGAGAAAAAATAGACCTGCATAACTAAATCCACAATTTTGGGATAAACTGCAATATTATAATAATCAAAACAAAGAAATGATGAGCAAACAAAACTTAAACTTACACTTCATCTATATTTGGATGGTAAATTCTGTTCATAAAACCTAAAAATAGTTTAAAACATAATTATATATTTGAATATTTTTTGGTAACTTTCTAGTAATGAATATTTTTATACTTTGACTTTGATTGCTGACAGGGTTTGTTCATCATTGGATGATTAACAATTCTGTTACAAAATGTACAAGAAACTTGATTGAAAATGGGATTATATGAAAGTAAAAAGACAGAATTGAAAAATCAATGAAGTAAGAAGATTAGACTTAAAGTAGAGGCTTCAAGTGTCTGCAGATTATTGATCTTAAGATAGAAACAAATCTTAACATGTCAAAATATATACACTACCTATTGATGGAGATTTAAAAGGGTATTTTTCTGGTAAATCCACTCTAACTTTCCATACACCACCTTCATATGGAGCTGTAAGCAAAAAAGAACTTCATATTAGGGCTTAGCAAATTTAACCTATATATCAAACCCTGTCTGTCTTAATGTGGTCTTAAATTTCACTTTGAAAATATTATGCCTTTTTTCAACACCACCTTACTGAGACATAATATCCTACACAAATTATGCTTTCAATATATTATGTCTGAGACATATATGCTATTAATATCACTTGACTTTTTGGTTTTTTATAAGCAAAAGACAAGAAAATTAAGTCTCAGACTTACACTAGTCTGAACAGTATTGCAACCTTCAGAAATGCCAGACTAGACCTACTAATTGTTGACTGATTTAGACCACCAGAACTTTATTTTTCACATTTAATTGAGTTTATGGGATTCAGTTATAAAATACTTTATCAGATTTAGTTATACTTACTTCCAACCGGGCCATAAAATTTCACCGAGAATTCATTCAAACCACTTAATATGGTAACTTCATGTCTACTTTCAATACTAAAGCATTTGTTAAGGTTTTTTTTTTACCTGTAAGCTTATACCCTATTTTGTTTATATCCATAACTTACATGATCATTCTCTCTGTCCAAGATCAAAAGTATTCTCATTTTCACTTTCTTCAAAGTTGACCATCATTTACAAGTATCATTGTAGTTAGTATTGTATAAACCTCAATACCAATTGCCTGTTGTCTCTGCTGGTGATTGTGATTGTCAATGTATTAAAATAAGAGCCTATACACTACATTTTGTAATGGGTGTTGATAGCAAATCAGGTCACTACTCCAAAACACCTGAAGCCAATCTTCTACTTATTTGGTCTACATTTATAATGTATAATTGGTATTCTGTTCTTTCTAATCAATTTTTGTGGTATGAAGAGTGAATAACATGCCAGCATGTAGGCCAGAGAAAGATGTCCCTTACCTATTGTGAAAGTTTCAACTTAAAATATCCAAGAGTTAAGTGACAAATGGATACAAAAAAGTCTTAACCAGTTACATAAGTATTATGAATCCCATTATTTTTTACTGTGCTAGCAGATATTACATTATGAGAAAATGAAATGAATGAATGGAGTTTCACGCCCTACTTTTCTGCACCATGTGAGCTAATGAAGACGGAAACGCCATGCAGGGTACAATGAGGGAAATTTTGCCAGGACAGCAGCATTTGTGTGATCTTTTTCGATTTCCAACTGTCGAGAGATCTTGAACGTACACAGCCTGTATCAAACGGGGCCTGGGTTTATTTCCCATTCGAACGACTGGACGCTTAAACCATGTCAGCCCCTCTTACCTGCGTCACTGACAGGGGCAAACCAGGTTGAAAAATCTGAGGGTATTATCTCAACCTATGTCGGGATTGAACCCTGGACTTTCAGGTTAGCGAACCACCGCGACTCCCTTAGATAATTAGACATGGATTCTGATTGGACCAACAATCAGCAATAATTTAACATACCAGAACACACCTTCGAAAATAAAGATTTGCAGGCCCATAACTTTCAAAATACTCTTGTATTATTTAATACAAGAATTCTCCAATTTGATGTTTAAAATAGTTACTCAATGTATAGAAATTATGCTAAGGACATACAAAAAACATCAAGCATGAAAAGCACAATTCTGCACCTTGAAATTAAATCAGAATAAATAAGTGGACCATCATTTCATTGTTATCAATTATTGTAAGAAACCTTGCTTCCAAATAAAGAGTGTGTTTGTTAAAACATTATAATGATAATTTGGGCTTCTTTAAATATCCTGGGTCAATTTCACAGATTACTGGAAAATTCTGCATTACACTGCCATAGTTTAAGTTAATCATGTTTACAGGTAATATGTCAAGACCGACTACAGCTTGTGGCAGTAATAGCTGAAGGCTTAGCCACAGATTTTCGACTGCTCACAGGTCTAATTTAGAGAGGTATCACATGAGCACAGACATGTTTAATTTGTTGGATAATTATGATCTATTCAAAGTGGTGTTTTCATTAAGACAAAAACATATCTGTTTATAGTCAATATAGTTTGCCACATTTCATGCTTATTATATTTGACCATATGTGACCTGCGTCTTCATAACACTAACATTACCAAGGGAAATAAGTAGATCTATTGAAATGTAACATTTTGTTGTGTTGACTTAAAAAGAAAACTCATTGTCATGTCAGTGAATTTAATTTTTTTAAAGAAAAAACATATAGTTCATTTCTATAACTTTGATGTCATTTCTTTCTTAATAAGTGAAAGTTTATTGTTTTGTTGGGTCAGGTCTATTTTTAACTTGATGGCTGATGTCAATGTGTGTTAATGTAATGAATGTTACGTTGAATTTGTTGCTTGTAGACATCAATATTAATGATAAATATTTGTCAGTATTTTGTTTTAGATTTATTCTAGCCAAATCTTATGAAAGGAACAACCATTAAATACAGTTGTTTTCCTTCTATCATGACCTTTTCATAATTTAACAGTGACCTGTTTACCTATTTGTTTCCACACTGACAGGTTTCAGTGAAGTTAACAGCCTGCCACCAATAATCTACACAACTGCATAATTCATCAACTTGGTAGCCTTCTAAAAATTATAGGCATACTTAAGATATATACGAATCATCGTATTAGCAATGACATATTACAATCCAAATAATCTTTAAAAAAATTTATGACGAAAATCAATTGTTGATAAAAAAAAAAAAACTGGCCAGCAGACAAAATTATGACCAAATATGCCATCATTTGGATGTCCACTGGCTGCTAACCTTGGAGAATATCCAGCCTTAAATAGTAAAGGATACAGTTTCAATATATCAGTGTCCGTACGCCGTTTACCAGGACTTGGTGACGACATTTTGCTGGATAAAGATAGAAAATATTCACAGATATGACTTCCAAAACAACAGCTATGGCGGAGGCAATCTGTATAAATGACGTAGAGTCACGTGACAATAATAAACCACGCCCTTTCAATAAACGCCAACAAATTATTTCTCTAAAAATTAATCTCACTCTAATCCAAATCCTCTAAATCGCATTTCAAAGTTGGGGCAATTTGAGATATTTCTTATTTTCATCGGAAAAGTTCTGGAAACACCAATTTGTATATGTCTAAGGTCGAAGGTCAAAGGTTGATTGACAGCCATAAATGTATTCATAACACTGGTCAGCTGTTCATTGTAAACAAACCCACATGACTGGTTTCCATATAAACCATTCAGTTGTTAAGACCACGATTTAATTTTTCTAAATAACAAATATTCCTTTAATCATTATCTGTAGATTATAGTTAATTATATAATTATTTATTTTCAACTATTTATGACCATAATTTCATTCAAGGAAATCAGTATTTTGTGCAGCAAGTTATACGATTTTAGGCTCCACCCTCTACTCATAAATTAACCGAGTTATAATTCCATGTATAAACATCGAGTATCTGGTACGTCATAAATCCTTTTTGATGGAAACATTAAATATTCATAGTAAATAAAAAGATCTTTCTGTTGAAAAAAAAGTGAAACACGAAAAAAGTCTGAACTAGAATCCCTAATGCAAGGGAAGGAACTCTACTTCTCATCAATTTCTTTTGACAACAATAATAAAATTCAAGCTTTATTCTTTGACAAAATTGAAAACTAATATGTGTCAACTGACAAATTGAGAACCATTATCTATTCCATAATACATTTTTAATTTTGTTTTTAAATCTTCTGTTCTATTGTAATGAAAAAATATATGTTTACTTGTACATCAAAACAGTAACTAACAGTATATTCGGTAGTTCGTCGGCTGTAAAGAGTCATACATATACAGTACATTGCTTGGCGACTTCTTGCAGCCGAATTCGGAGTGTTATGCATGTCGTACAGATATCGCACCATTATATTTTAGTCAAGAATAAGAGATTAAAAAAAAAATAATAAAAAAAATCACAAAAAATGCCTATAAGCCCAGCCTAAATGTGATTCTATTTCAACCGATATATAGAGAATAAGAGATTAATTTAAGTCACAGTGCTATAAATATCAGGGATAGTATACGATTGCTTTAAATTTCGAGTCAATTCGGTAATTGCAGCTATCTTTTTTCGGTTGTAAAATCCGAACTAGCGTTGTCTAAAATAGTAATATAGTCAGATTTACAATTTAGACTTCCCATGCTTTTGTTATCCTGATCAACACGGTTTGTGTCACTAATGGAATAAAGAGTCTTGCCTATAAGTTTATTTTAGCAACAGGTATATTTGAGTCCGACTTAATGTTTTTAGGAACAAATTAATGATCAATAGGAACCTGCCATTAAAACTCTACTTAGATAATCAAATGTGATAGAAAGAGGTTTTAATGAAATAATCGATGCAAACGAGTTTTGTCTTTCTCTATCCCCGAACAATAATTTACCCATAAACTTGAAAATAAACCCATGATCTGGAAACTTGATCAGAATAATTTAATATCACAACGTAATACAGACTACAGAATCAAACACTGATTGATGGATATTCCCGAGCTGCTGGATTTCTTAAGGTAAGACTAATAATTTAAAGTGGAACCATGCAAACACTTAAAACAGAGCCTTCAAGTTCATTGTCACGAATATGACATTTATCATTTGTACATAATTGCATCTTCACAATGTCAAGCTATTACGAACTTCGTGTTATACCTTAACTGAAATAGCCACCTTTCTTGTATCACGTAATAAATAGATTTGATTGGATTGTATACTCGGAAATAAAGCCGACCAGAGCCCTCAACAGAAAGGTTTTAAACCATCAATATGGCTTATTGGTTACAGATTCCTGCCAAAGCCTCTGATTGGCTTTATTCGCTAGTGTACAATACAATCAAATCGTTGGATTTTCAATCTTCTGTGACACAAGAAATGTGACTATTGCAGTCAAGGTATAAGACGAAGTTCATAATAGCCTGTCATTGTGAAGATTACATAATCGTAGCATATTCATTCGGTTTTGATATCAACGACATATAGTAGTCTGGGGGACAATTTTACAAATTTTGATAAGAGATTACAGAATGGCCCATATGTCATTTGAAAGGACACACTTCAAAGAAAATAACGTTCGTGTCGACAGTTGTGATTCCATGGGTTCCTATGTTATATATAACATTATCTGTCAGTCTCACCGAACCGACGATTGACTTTTAAAGAAAATTCATGGCTAAATGTTTCAGAATATGAAGTATTTTACTGCGCCAATCTTATCAAGATTCTCATTTTTTACAGTTACATCTGTTTAACTCAAAACCATGTCTAATGTCACAGATATAGGCATGGTCAACCTGTCGAATTTTACAACCGAGTTTGCTTACAACTACACAATGATACCAAACATTACTATGATTACCAAGATGACAACAGATGAAGTGACAGACTATAACAATTTTACAATCGACCCAGTTACAGTTACAACAGAGACTACAGCAATTACAACAGAACCTACTACAATAATAACAGAACCTATAACAACTACTACCTTGGCAACCACAACTACCATCATTACAACTTTACTGATTGCCTGTTTCAAACCGCCACCAGTCAGCAATGCTCTATATACCTTTTCTGGTTTTGATGTCATCTACACCTGTAATAGCGGATTCCAGATGACAGGCGCCTCCAGACTGGATTGTGATGTTACTAATGGTAGATGGTTCGGCAGTCCACCCGCTTGTTCACCATTAGACCTAAACCCAAGAATAGACAATACCATCAACATCCCCGAAACTAAAGGTAAACGTTTTGTGGAATTATTTTAGAAGAACTATAGACGCGCACGGCGAAAAAATACATTAATGTTTTTGTAATTCATTCAACATACTGTACGCATAGAAGACAGACCTAATTGCATACTTCAGATCGAAACGATGTTTATCTGAAGAAAAGTTTCTAAAGAATAAATTTCTTTTGGCAACAATAACATAGTTATATCTGTATTCTATGGCAAAATTGTACGACATCAAAACTAACATTTTCTTTTTGCAGAACCAATAAAAAGTTCTGATATACAATTCATAGTGGCTGTTATTGGTGGATTACTTGGATTAATAGCACTTATTGGATTACTGCTCTTAATATGTTATTGGTGTGGGTAAGTTGAAATTTATCAAATTTTGAAACATGTTGGATTAAGCCAAAGATATTTATATACTGTCTCGTATGACGAATATTTCAATCGATAGGGCAATAGGTTGAAGATTTTTTTTCGTTTACAAAAATAAATTCTGATTGGTTAATTGATGGACGATCAAATATATGATTTCAATGAAAAGTGCCAAGATTATGTGAAATCGGGTTTATCAGCTGGTAAGCTTCATCAACCGTTTAGAGGTCTTTAATGTTTCCCGCATATAATAACCATTCTCTTGCTCCAGATGCGGGGCACCTATATGCAGAGGTCGTGTCTATCCAGATAGAAGACAATCCTGTTGTTGTGATGATAGAAACAGAAGGAGAATTTCTGAAGGGGATTTAAGAGTCTATCGCGGTAACGTGGAGCACACATATTTTGACTCAGGCAATTCATTGGTGGATCTAGAAAACGGACGCTATGTCCTTCCTTCTAAAAGTATGTTGCCAACGCTTCAGGTAAGTATACATCATATTATTTAACAGATGTTCTACAAACCCTCCTATTTGTTTTGTAAATGATAAATTAATCCGAAATGTAAAGTTAATTTGTAGATAAAATGCTTCAAGCAAACTTATCTTAACTTTGCTAGGAAGGAGTTCATCATCTCCCATATTGTTTCTTAAGCTATATTATATTTCAGGACACTTTTACAAAGGAAGAACCCGCCAAAACGGAATCAAATGGCGCCGTAACAAGATTTCATCATCACATTGACGATGAGGTAATTTTTTTATTATTATTATTTCAAACTACATGTATTCTGAACATAGCAAAAGAAACTCTTCGGATGTAGATTTTTCTTATGGATAATTAGATATCTTTTTCTTTTTTGAAAAGTTGGTAGTTCTATGGTTCTTTTCAGATAAGAAGCAATTCTATTGACCTCAGAAATAAAAGAAGGGGCTCCATTGATGTCAGATCACATCACGATCAACTCTCAAGTCCATATAACAATTCTAAAATATACAGAGCTCAAAGAAAGTTCCAAGCAGTCAATTCTTGGATGCCGCATTCCAAACCTATTCGGAACATTAACACAAGTACAAAGTAATATTTTATATGTTATATTTTTGAAATCAATAAAGATTTAGACTTTATTGTTATAATGTTATCCTTGAAGAGGTAATTTTGGCAAGGCTGTAGAACAATAATCTTAATTGACCTTGATCAACCGAGTCCATGCAATATTCACTCTTTTGAAATCAACATATACCCCATCAGATTAAATCTGAAAATCGAATGTTCACCATCAGATTGAAACTGGGGATCAGCATGAGAACCATAAGTTTGAAACTTTGAAACTGGAGATCAACATATTCACCATCAGATTTAAACAGGAGATAAACATGTTCACTATCAGATAGAAACTGAAGATAAAAATGTTCACCATCAGATAGAAACTGGAGATAAACATGTTCACCATCAGATAGAAACTGGAGATAAACATGTTCACCATCAGATAGAAACTGGAGATAAACATGTTCACCATCAGATAGAAACTGGAGATAAACATGTTCAACATCAGATTGAAACTGGAGATAAACATGTTCAACATCAGATTGAAACTGAAGATAAACATGTTCACCATCAGATTGAAACTGAAGATAAACATGTTCACCATCAGATAGAAACTGGAGATAAACATGTTCACCATCAGATAGAAACTGGAGATAAACATGTTCAACATCAGATTGAAACTGAAGATAAACATGTTCACCATCAGATTGAAACTGAAGATAAACATGTTCACCATCAGATAGAAACTGGAGATAAACATGTTCACCATCAGATAGAAACTGGAGATAAACATGTTCAACATTAGATTGAAACTGAAGATAAAAATGTTCACCATCAGATTGAAACTGAAGATAAAAATGTTTTTAAGAACAGGGGCAATAATATTTTTCAATTTTTCTGATTTTCGTTAGGGTTCATCTTTGGGTGATTACATACACTTACACCAAGTTTCGTCAAAATCTGTCAATAATTAAAACTTCTAGAGCGTTTACAAGCTAAAAAACGCGTTTTCAAGAACAAGGGCAATAACTCATATTAATTATATTCCGATTATTCTGATTTTCAGTAGGGTTCATCCTTTGGTGATTACCCATACGAAGTTTCATCTAAATCCGTCAAGATTTGAGCCTTCTGGAATGGTTACAAGCTAAAAATTTAAGCATTTTCAAAGACAAGGGCAATAATTCATACTAAATATTTTTCAATTTTTCTGATTTTCGATAGGCTTTATCCCACCAAGTTTCGTCGAAATCAATCAAGAAATGTGCCTTGTAGAGTGTTTACGAGCAATTGTGGACGGACGGACAGGGTGACAACAATATACGCCCCCCCCCCCCCCATTACATGTGGGCGTATAAAAACTGGGTCTGATTTTGACATTGTTTGGCAAACCATTAGGCATACGCAACAGCCATTGACAGACAAGTGACTAGGTTGAGCTCTGAAGGTTTTGTCCACAATACTGAGTTGTTTCAAAATAATTATGGAATTTAGAGTGTTAGATTTATTGCCATCATAACTTGCTGGGCTGAATAATTTCTATATCAAGTTCTTAGCATGTTCAGTATATTTAATTGTACCAGTAGGTAATTATTGAACAAGGTAGAAAGGTATATTAAACATATACTATATATAACAAAATGTATTCTAATGATAACTATATCAGTATAAAATAATATATATGATTAACTATTTATGAAAACCTATTTACAATGTCTGCCTTTGAAATCGAGAAGTAACATGATGAAATTATTAACTAACTAACTCAAAAAGTTGTGGACTCACACAGCTTAGTGAAGGGCAATAACTTCATGCATATCAGACTCGTACAAGATTAAGATTAAGATTATTGAACATCCACATGTCAGGAAATTAAATTTCATGCTTAATTTGTCAGCATTGAACAGAGATGATAAGTTTAAAATTTATTTTGAACATTTATTTCTATTCAATCAAGCTGTGGTTATGACAATAATTAGGAACAAAGCTTTGAGTTTCAATCAAGTATGCAATTATCCTTTAATTACAAAAATTCAGCATAGTGAGAAATGATCACTTTATAGTTGTCACACAATTTAAACAAAGAAGTCAATCATATACATGTACTCAAAACGATCATTAACATTGCTACAACGGCATTCTAAGGATTTAGATGCTTGTACTTCTTTCCAGAGAAAACAGCCAAGACTATTATACAATACAGTGTGAATCTTAGAAAAAAGATTTATATGATGTCTAAAATCTTAATGAAATAACAGAGACTGTATGTCGACCTAAACAGAAACTGTGAGCAACTGGATTTTCTTTATGAATGCTAATGGCCTGGAGTTTAGAATATCTCTGAACTGAATACACCTTCATACATTAAGTTTTAGATTACATTAGAAAATTCTGTATGCAGCAAATCACAATTTGGAACTTGAACTTGCATCCAATTCCATTAGGTTGATGATCGTTTCTTGGTTCTTAGCTATAACATACATATGGAGAAATTACAGCCAATCTACTGAAACACATTTAAGAGTAGGTTGACATACATCCAGTGCAGTGTTTTAGTGGTTTCTTACTAATAATCTATTATCTATATTACTAAAGTATTGTCAAAATCTGAGATCAAAAATAAATCTATAAGGTATATCAAATTTGGAATAAATACATGAACATTAGTTTTATATACATCTTTAACCCAATATTGCATGAAAACAAAAATTGCAATCAATAGACTTAACATTGATGTAAATGCCAACTTTTATTGTATACTATGCTTTGAAATATTTTAAGTGCTGACATCACTAGTCAGGTTTACATTTTTAAAAATAAAATAGCGGTAATAATATTACTGATAATTGTTCCAAATATCATATGAACAAGAACTTGTAATATATTTTAACCTACTATAACAAATCTTTAACAGTATTATATGTCACATCATAAAAATCTATATATAATTAAACAATGAGGCCTGCCCCCTTTCAAATCAGTAGTAATATACAAAATACAAAGAATAATGTACTAGATCAGCTTTATCAAACAGCAGCTTGAAATGGTGTAATTTCTCTCATATGATTGCTACAATTCAAGCCATACTGCTTTGATTTTTTTCTTGATCTTCACATAGTTGTTACATTTTAAAAATCATATAATTTCATTCCTTTCTAATATATCCAATATAGTGTGTGATGTTTAATCTGAATATAATTACATGCATAACTAGTTACTTAATACCACTTTGTGTTTGACAAAAAAGTAACCATTTATCTTTATCAACTGCATTGAATTATACCTAATTTAATCACCAGTATTGTGTGATTTCTAACAATAATAATATTTTCTATTGCAAATTAAATATCTTCAATTGTACATAAAAATGTGAACAAAAGAAATCATATAGAGTTATTCATTACTATCATTGAGCAATAGGCTTACACACCTCAATTTAGGGTATTTACATACATTTTAAAATACATGTGGTTTTCCCAGCTTATTATAAACAGTGCATATACACATATCAACAATAGAAAGTTCATTCAGTATCATTTCACTCTGAATGGTCAAACTTAATAATTCTTGTGGTGCATGCATAATCTGATGAAGAATTATCTGAAATTAATGACAATTCCTTAAAAATAACAAAACGTGTCTCATTTGCTATAATTTTACATTATTCAACAATAGCTGCATTGAAAACATATCAGTTCTAGCCAAAATAATAAAGTTTCATTTTTGTCACCAAGAACCAGGAGATCCATCTACAGTTTTATAAAAAAAAAAACAATTCGTAGAGAAATGAGGCTTGATGATAAAATGTTCATACATAATTACTGAACAATACTTAGAACAACACAAAGTGTAAAGAGTTCAATCAAAACCTTACTGTTTTCTCAATTTACTATTCTCATATCAATATGGTATGTTTTTTTGTATTAATTTTTTACAAATAGTTACAAAAATACTATACAACAGGATTCATGCTTCAAAACTAATTATCAACATTCAATTTGCAACTCATGGTTGGAATTCAGCAACATGCAGTTCGAACTGTTAGTGCCTATTTGGAAATTAATTTTGATACATATATCCAGAAATGTGTTCTCAAGATCTTATCAAATGAAACTTAAATAGGTTGTATTATGTATCCAGGTTAAAATTCTTCTATTATGCTTCTCTTATCTTATATCATTTCTATGTCTGCTTTCTTGGTACAAACTCATTTATTTTATCATATACCAATTCTGAAAGAAAATTATAATGTGTACTTTCTAAACTGACAAATCCCAAGTTGTCACAAAAGTAGGCATTCAGCAATTTTCAGAAGTTTCCTTAAAGTTGAAGCAGACTCAGTAGTGTCTTCTTGGGCGAGACTCTTTACTTCTGGTATTAGTAGTGATTTGTCAAGTGATAGTAATATTGCGACCTAAATATAGTCCTTAAATCTAGAAATTTTGGGAGATAATTCTGATACTTAAAAAACTAACTGTTGTAGCTATTGTAATTATACATTTTATAGTCATTTTGGATCTGTATCTTACTAAATTTTGGTCTTCATTTACTTTGGTTTACAAAAACTAACTTGAAGTCATGAACGACCAAACTCTAATATTTACCAGAATCACACGATCATGTGACAATACTGACATGGATCCAGTAAAAAAAATGGCCATTCATTACCGTGATATCTTGCATAACTTTCAAGTAGGCTGTTTGAAAAGTAGGGAGTAGGGGTCAGTCAACATCAGCTGGCTCTCGGAATAACAGCACAATATACAGTGCACTAGTTATTTAAGGCTAATAATGACTTTTTTAACTAAACTAACTAAAGAGCATATCTCATGGGCAGTATAGGATACCGTAGAAAGTTTAATTTCTTCATTGGAGAAAAGGTAAAAAATTTGACTTACTTCGCCATTCAGGTACAGATAACTTCATTTCCTCAAAAGACTGATCGTAAGGTTCTGAGGTAGGTTCATCAGTTGGGTCAGCGTACTGTTTCAAATACGGGTGAGCTAAGGCCTCTACTGTATTAATACGTCTTTTAACATCTAATTGTAACATTTTTTCTAAAAGACTTATTGCTGAAAACATTATGAAACAAAGTAATAAGAACATGATTTACAGTACTTCAGATATGTTCAAAGATAGAATTGTGATTATTGTCTATCATAGATTCTAATAATCCTGATAATCTTTGTGATGTGAAACTTCTATTCAGTGAGTTGCTTAATTTGTTCATGTACTTTTTTTTGGAAATTTTCATAAGGATTTTGTATGTGGAACAGGTTTCAGCAGGATGAGATGCAGTCTAGACATAACAGTTTGAATGTTCATTGATCATAATCCAAAGTAACAGAATCTCTTATGTTCTCATAGAGGGAAATTCTTTTTTTTTGAACTAAATCAACTTATTATTATAACAATAAATCAATCATGTATAATCATTACCGTGAGGATTTGCCCCAATAAATACTTCACGAAAATCTTTCTTCTTCCACTTTGGCAAGGATTTGATAAAGGATCTAGCCTGAAATACATCTTAATCTTTTCAAATTCAAATAAAAATAAAGAAATCTGGGTAAAATTTTCCAATTGGATGGTGAAATGAGATTTTTGAATAAAATGCTAGACACACCATTAGTTTGTCTCATACTTACATCAGGACTTTGTATATCTTCCATCAATTGATCATCTGGTGTACCAACTAAACATAATATACGAGTTAGTTGATCAATATCTGATGCACAATATTAAGGAAACAGACTTGATTCAAAATGTCCTTACTATTAAACAGGCAAATCACAAGTGAGACAACTCTAGTCTATCTTTATGAACTTATTGGTTCATACTACTATCGGTTCGTACCTGAGATATTAACATAAAAACATTTGATTATACTGATAGTAAAAGGTCGAAGTCCGTACAAATATTTATAAACTAGTTTCAATGTATCAGTTCCCTATTAAAGTCTTGACTAAAGTAAAAGGATACGATCTGTTCCAGGAAAAAGTGGTTTTCCAGTTAACATTTCAGCCATTATACATCCAACAGACCATATATCAACTGTAACATTTAAAACATTTACTATACAACAATTATCAGAACACTATAATAGTGTTAATCATACTATGATTTGACCTCACATGATATTATTTTAAAAGATGTATGAAAAACAAAAATTCTAGAGCAAGTCAATTCAATTCATGTAGTTAGATCATTCAGCGCTCAATAATTTGCTAGGCTCTAGAATAAAAAAGTAAATGTAACTGATACTAACCAGTTTGATCATAGTTCATCCAATTTAACATAATCTCTGGAGCTCTATACCATCTTGTAGCTACATACCCTGTCATGGTATCTTCAGTGTGTCTAGCTAAACCAAAATCTAAAATCTAAAAAAAAAAAGAAAAGCTTACCGAGGCAATTTTGTTAATTCAAGCATAGAATCATAATATCTTAAGATTTCAACAATTCAATAAACATACAATAACTACTTTCTATCTCACATCTATCTCATTTTACGTTGAACAAATCTGAATATCCCAACATGGCAAGGCATCCTAGAAATGTGTAGGATTCAATAATATATATCACACTAACTTACAAAATCTTACCTTTAATTCACAATCTTCATTAACTGCCAAGTTACCTGGTTTAAGATCCTATAACAGAAATAGCATAAAGCTTGTGAATTCAACAGTGTTACTCAAATTGTCACTTAGAAAATTGTAATTTTTAACTTTTAATAAGAGGATGAATCTTATAGATCACATGAAATTCATAAATATCATAAAAACAAATTCAAAGCAAACTTACTCTGTGGATGATTCCAGCTGAATGAATGTACTGAAATGTACAAATGAAACTTTGATGTTTATAAATGACATTTTTAACAAGTTATAAGGTGACATAATGACAATAAAGATCAAATGAAGTTTGACCTAATTCTGGAATTAGATAATACATGTATATATCTAGTACCAGTTTAAATGAAAGAAAGAAAGAAACGGTTACCTTTAAGCCACGTAAAATTTGATAAACTAAAAACTGTACATGATCATCACTCAACCTTTGTGTTTTGAGTATATTATTCAAATCAGCTCCCATCAATGGTGTTACCATGTACCTGAATGAAAAAAAAAAAATTGCATAAGTTTTGATATATGAATATTGTGAAATGTATGTGATTATGAATCATATTCCTATAGTCTAGCTATAGATTATGGTATCGCCAATCACTTTCAACTTCTATATAGGTTCAAATAAATAAATAAGTTACAACTCATCCTTTAATCAGTCAGCATTGATTTTGGTAATGTGCACATTAAATCACTTTTGACTTAGAATTGTTCATGTGGCCAATATGTAAAATAGAACATAGAAATTTAAAAGTGAATGATAGTATGGCAATATTGAAAAATATCACAAAGTCTGACTTTTTGTGTAATCATAATTTACTGAAACTTACACATCTTGAAATGTCTCGAATGAAGTCTGAGGTGTGAAAGCATCTAGCAAATTAATAATCTGCAATACAAAACATATTATTAGCTTAGAAGTAGGTTAAAAGAAGTGTTGAGAAAACAATCGTTTATAAATCACAATCTATACTGGTAGTTCATTTATTCTTGTCATGATTTCTACAATATATACTGGACTGACATCATTCCTTTTACCATCTTATAACCAAACAACTCACATTTTCATGATCCATATGTTTCAACATACATAGTTCTCTGTATGTTCTCTTAGCATGTATATCACTTAAAAAGGGTCTAGCTAATTTTTTGATAGCAACTTTTTCATCACACAGCTGATTTACAGCAGAACTGAAAAGAAAATTTGGTTTAAAACATCATCCTAAACCCACTATAACATTATAAAGCATTTGAGTTTGATGCATAGTTGGAAAGACAATTCAATCTGGAAATGTGCATTGTCTGAATATGCTAGAAATATTCTGATTGAGTGGATATTCAAATGTTGAGAATAGAACTGTCTGATAACCTACTGTTATACAAACATATCATCTGACCAATCTATAAAACTAAGGCCCAACTAAAACACTAAGACCAATCTATAAAACTAATACCAAACTCTAAAACTAAGTACCGGTACAAAGGTTTTGCTATTTAAAGGAGTAAACTATGAATACACATATGCTTTGCTGATAGAAATTCAGAATGAAACCTAATTAAATAAAAACATGCAACAGATAGACTTCATTTTCTTGTTATTTTTTTAACAACCCTCAGTTCTGCTCAGTTTGATAAATCTTGATAAAACATACTTGAAGAAAACATACAGTCAAGAACCTAATCTCGTGCTAACTAACCTATTTTTCATGGATTTCCAGAGAGGATTAATAATTTACATGTGTGACCTCGCGTGACCTCCACATTTGCTTGTTTTGATAAATATGGGTTATCTCTCCAATATCAGTTAGTAGAATGAATCCAGTAGTTTCAAGCAAGGTAAAATGTATTAATGTATACTTTGACAAATACAAAATGGTGGATTTCAGTTATTACCAAATGTCACCATTTTTTATCGGTCGAATTTCCTTATAATCCCTAGCTGTAATCGCAATTCCAAGTGTCGTCTGCTAGAATATATTCCAACGAATGAAGTCACGTGATCGACTAGCGGATTCCGTGTGAGCAGAAAATTTCTATGGAACACAAAGTGGACCATATTCTTATGTTGTTCCAGTGACTTTTAGTAATAAATCACGCTACGTATCTTATTTTGTCTGTCAATATTTTTTTTTTTAAATCGTGGTTCTTTCAAGGAATTTTCACGATATTAAATATAAATACTAAGAGAAGTTAATTATTCCAACCGGTATCCATACAATGTGTTTTTCTCGACTTATTTATAGATCAAACATTGTACACGAAAATAGGTGACGCATTCTGTCGCCGTTGTCGAGTTGGTTGCTCATGAAATATGGTTAAAGTGAGAGATTCATAAAGAAAATCGAAACAAACCAATTTGAATTATTTTGTAGAATATCAGAGGAAACATCTAAGACATCTAAAAAAAATTGTTTCCGTTTTTTTAACTTTGTCGAAATTCAGTCTTGAATCCTTATATGCATGAAAATAGGTTACAGCACTGTACTGTGTTTAGATCTTAAGCAGAAAATGAAAATTATATTAGGCATACCTAAACAGCAAACAGTAGCAAGGTTAATCAGAATAAATTCAAAATTTCGTATATATTTCATCTGAGATACGCATACGTTGGATTCAAGGTAAAATGTGGGCATTGGCTAAAAGGATATTGGGCAAGGCTAAGGCAATGTACATCAAGTAAATCAAAATGTAAACATACCAAACCTGACCGTAAGCTCCTAATCCAATGGGATTTAGAAGTTGATAATGTTGCGGCACGTCCCATACAGTTTTATTCAGTTCGATCCTATAAAAACCTGGCTTGTCCGACGCCGACATTTAGATGCGTTGCATGAGAAATCCCAAATTTAGAACAGAAATAGTACGCCAAAAGTTATTTTGATTATTAATTTCTTGGAAATTGTACTTCCGGTTTCTAACTAGAGCCACTAGAGGTCGCTTCGATCTTTTTGGTCACGATTTATCCAGACATGATAGTAATAGAAGTCATCGTGTTTTAATGTTGAAGACTAATCTTAAATGGATATTTGTTGTCTTAACAGCTTATTAATAGGAAAGAGCTCATTTTGGGCGATCTGTATGGTCAGAAATATCTGCACGCATCCCATCCTTTGATAACTATTTTTACAGCCATCGGGTGTAGTAGGGTCAGAAAATTTTCCGCACCTTCGAGAGTGCTTGAAAAAACTGAAAAAAAAAATTATTTCCCTAAGATACTGCGGAAAGATGGATATTTCTGTAGTTTAGTCGCACCATTAACCCTCCCTACTACCCATTTCATCTCTTGCCGAAATTCAGAAAGACGACCATTATGGCGCTGTATTTGGTTCAAAATAGGATCCAGATCGATGCTAATATGCAATGAACTAAATCAAAGAATATCATAACGGTTATCATATAAATCATCTTGGACCTAATAAAGAAATTCATAATGCGTATAATCTACATTTACGGAAATAACATTATTGGGACAATTGTCTGTGGAAAATACAGAATCATAAAAACTCCGACTGCTTCAAATTTTCTGGAATAATGAAGAAAAGCGATTAGTGGCTGCAGGTATAGAAAGTAAATTGTTTTAGACTATATACTATAAAGTACAAAGACTATGAAAATGAAAATATTTAATTCTGTTAGATAATTCTACATCATCGGTGGGGTCAAGTCGACCACGAACAACTATATCCTGTAGATTTTTATTTTTCGAATAAGCTATGACTAATTTTTTGTAAAAAATAGTGGGAAATTTATTTTGTAACTTTGTGTAGTATCTTTTGATAAATTGGGATGCTTGGCAAGAAATGTTATTGAATGGAGCAACAAATGGGATTTTTTGAGAATCAAACTGTATATTTAGACCACATGGTGAAATAGTTTTTAGTTGATTCATCCAAAAGCTCTCCCTGTATAGTCTTGAACTTTTAGGGTTGGTGTCTTCTTCTGCGATGACCCACATGGTGCAGAAAAGTAGGACGTAAAACTCCATTCATTTTTTTTTTCATTTTCTTCTGCAATGACCTTTTCAATGGGCGCCACCTTCATATATTCGAGGGAATGGTTGAGAGAGTTGAAATAGTTCCCTATAGGTTATCCAGATGATGGGAGATGTCGAAACGATGGCCCTTAATTCTTTTTCTCAAAGAGTTTTTAGTTTCGCCTACGTATTGTAAATGACATTTGTCGCATGAAATTAGGTAAATGATATTTGTGCTGGTACAAGAAAGCTCACCGTTAATAGGGAATTGTTTACCGTTATGCTTATTATAAGAGAAAGAATTGGTTGTTAAAATATGATCTTGTAGATCTGCACGGCCGTGATCCGAAAGATTGATTAGAGTTTACCGGAACGAGGATTGTTTTCCGATTCTCAATTTCTAAGAGAGTTTTGCTTTTAATGCTGCGGAGATATCGTTTTGAATATCCCCGCTCTCGCAATTTCTTAAAGATTAATTGACACGCATCATCAAAATCCTCTGTTCTGGTGCAAATTCTACGGAACCGTAAAACTTCTATCTATATGGCAAATGGCATAGGTCTTGGTCTAATGAGTAGTGTACAAATGTAAACAATTACAGGATTGCGGCGCTAAATAAATCTGCTAAATTCTGATCTCTGTGTTACTCTTATTACTTACCTATTTCGATGTATTGATTGAATGCACTGGACATTAGCTAAAAAATAAAAATGAGCTATTCACCTCACCTCATTTATCGTGCAGCAGAGTTTTTAGTAGCTACGGGCCAGTTTAATCGAGAGTTAAATCATGGGAGTTGGAGGTAACTCTTAAAATACTTGTCATTGTTTAGTTTTCAACTCTTCTGAAAACCCCGATGAAAGGATTTCTTTTGAAATGAAAATATATAAAGGGTCATGGGATGTTCTTTGGAAGGGAGGGGGGAAGATACAGTATTTTATTATTTTTCAGACCGACAACATTTGTTGGGAGCAGTCATTGTTTAAAAGAATGACGTAGCAATGCTGAATATTCAATAGGTTCGCGACCTTGGTAATTTGCATAAAAGATAATTCATTTGAGATAAAACAGAAGACATAATACACTAAAGAAGTTACACTTATCATTTTACTACAAACATTTTCCAATTTAGAAATGACATTTTAGAGTTTAAAATATACTTCTGATATTTATCAAAAAGGACGGTGGTTTATCATTAAAGATTTTTGGAAGATGCTAAATAAACTATTTGAAAGAACTTTAGTTAAGTTACATGTGAATATAAACATTTGATTTTAGCATTTCAATCATTATGTTGTTTGAATTATAAGTAATAGGTAATAAGATATTGTACATTTGTCTTTGAATAAGTGAATTAGACAAATCGGTAGAGAGTTGGATTAATGGCGTAAATTGACCTCCATAACTTTGGGGATGAGAGATGATAGTGCAGAGAAGAAATTTTTTTGTTCGTGTTTTAAAATTAAAGACATCTTGTTTTTTAATGCGGTTATATTATTATAGTGATTCTTGTCTGTGGTTTGGGTAATTTATATGGAGTCTGTTATAATACAGTTTGAGGAGTCTGTTATAATACATTTTTAACCGTTGCGTCTTTTCGGATATGACGCGTTGAAAAAGCTGCGCATGCGCAGAAGTGAAATGCGTCATATCCGAAAAGACATATACTACTGTTCTGTAATTCAACGTTGGTTGTAATTAATAGTAAAACATGATCGCGATTATTGGTAGGGTTGTAATGTCTGTATTCATCTTAAGTCTTTTTTAATTAGATACAATGATTTTGTCTCACCATGCCTCAATCTTGTTGGTTCGGTTGTGTCCTGGTTAGGGATATTATCTTGGATGTATTTTAAAAACTGCATGGCTCGAGTTGTTGATCTGTTGTCGCTGTGTCCGAGTCTTTTACTTAACAGTTAAAACCTCAGTACGTTGTGATTTAAGGTTTTATCGGGTGGTGGTTGGGCCGCTATTCAGTATCAATTTTCGGCACTGTTGCAGTTTCGACCTCTTTTTCTTTCCTGCCCAATAGGGCACTGTTGCAGTTTCGCAGTAATGATTGGTTCAAATATATTGAGTTGGTACGGGTACTATCTTATCACCTCTTATCATTATTCTTTCTCCTAGGTTCTGTCTTCTGAGGAGCTCCAGTCTTAAATGTTTGTTGTGATCTGTGTTAGGTCTCGTGTGACGATAACTCTCTTTTGGTGTTTTCCATAGAGTTATAAATAGAATTATTATATAGCTCTATGGTGTCTCCCAGCCCTTTTATCTAATACAACAGACAGTTTATTATGTCTGGCTAGAGTCATTTTGTACTTCGAGGAAAATCACCTTTCATTCAATTGTATTTTCAATCAGTATCTTTGATGTTCTGTTTTGTTTTGTGTCGAAGTATAAAAACTTTGTTTTGAGTGGTATCGGTAGTAATTTTATCTTGCTCACATATTAGGCTATTTTTTTCTGGTAATTGAACTATTTATAATAATTTACGTCCGGTTCTTCAAAAATCTCATCATACTTAATGTAACTTGGCTTTAATCAAAAAAGACTGATACTCATTATCCAGGAAATGACGAAGACAAGATGCATTGGTTGTGAATCGTTACACCTTAATCCTTTGCAGATATTTTGCTTCTTCTGCTACCATAATATGTTTTGCCCATTTAGACGGTGCGTTTATGTGCTGTCAACTATCCTACCTGCTCTCATTATCAGGAGGGACCCAAGTTAAACATATATCAAGAATTTTATCAAAAATAATTCTTCTGTAAGAGAAAATATTTTATTATTTCATTGAGTAAATATGTTGTTACATTTCTCTCTTGAAAACCTAAAATGCTCATTAATAAAAACACATAAGCCAAAAAAGAAAAAAAATATATCCTGAAAGTGATTTTTTCTGAGATTGACAGCATACTGAGCAACTTATCTATATGCATTACACAAATATTTTGATATTATGTTCAGCTTAGTATCAGACTTAACAAACAATTCATACAGTCTAATTAAAATTAGATCCAACTTTAATTTTAGTACAGCTACTTCAGAGTCGAGTTGCTATACTAAAAATCAAAACTAATTGAAAGTTGGGTCTAATTTTAAATAGACTGACAATTCATAATCTTCTTATAGCAGCCCAAGATTGTTTTCAGCATTCCAAACACTGAAATAATTTTTATAGAAAGCCTTTCAGCACAATAATTATACTTAGCATTACATTTTATACAATACACTGATTGAATGATTTTATATTATACTTTTGAAAAAGAACACTAAACAAACCCCCATGTTAAAATAAAGTATTAAATATCACAGACAAATCTAATGACAAATGGTTTAAAAAAACATATTGAAAAAGAGACAAAAACTAAAATTACTGTTGTCATAGTTTCGTTGGTTAAGCAAATTTTAAAAATCATTTTCATGTGAATTGGAATAAGAGCATAAAAACAGACAGTCTAAGAAGGTCTTTACATTGATAAAATTAAAGTTTTGTAAATTACATTTCATACAGCAATTTAATTTGCAAAATTTTGTCTAAAAATGTCCCAAATTTCTCCAGAAACGCCATCTCCTTTGTATTAAACGAAACAACAAGTAACAACAGCATTTTTTAGGTTCTGTTTTAATATTTCTATATTGCTCTACAATTGATGTATAGAGCACTATACAGTGAAAATATTTTATTATTGTAGCTAACAGCAGTTTGATCAAAGTCAATCTATGACCACTATCTTATTTTGAAGGTGCTATTCCAATCAACATAAAAATTGGTAAATTTGATTCATTAAGATGTCAAGACATATTTACAAAAATAATTCAATCTCATGTCAAGCTGACAATTGTCCTTAGTAATTGTGAAACTGATAGACAGTTTTAGACCAGAGATCAGCTGGTTTTTTACTTTAATGAGGAACCTAAAGCATAAGAATAGATAAAGGTGAAACATGAGTAAAACTGGAAAATATTTTCATTGTAGATTTCAAATTTGCCCCCTGTGACAATACCCTGCTTCCATGCATTTTGAATTATATTTATTTAATGTGGACCAATAAATAAAAGGCTGAATACCTGGAAAATCTCACAACAGGTTTACTGTAACTTAAACTAGGATTATCTTTATTACACTGACATTATTATGTACTGAAAAAATACACCTTGACTATAACTATGTAATAGAATTTGTTAAAATAGACATTCATGCGAATAGATAAAATTATTATTAACAACAGGCATTGAAGTAGTTCTCCCATTCATTTTGCCAGTAATAATAAATTAGTAGACGAAAAAATGTGAATATACATATATCGAGATCTATAAAACTTGGTTTGGCACAAACAACAAACAAGAATTCTAAAATTAATTTAGTAAATGAGTTATATTAAATCATTAATAAATACTTCAACAATAAAATGCATATTTGACGAACTTAAAACTGTGCACAGTAACCAAAGAACACTTTTTCATAAGATCATTTATTTTATCAAAATGATGAGTGGTTTCTCATAAATACCCCAAAATTAATTTATCTTATCAATATAAGTTAGAAACCAATATATCTTAGAAAAGTTTTTTCAAGAAGATTTTTTGCTGGTCATAAAATGTTCACGTAATATAGGTCTATTTTTAGTATCAGTAACTGAAGTTATTATAGATTTACAGAAGAAACATTCTTTTTTATTCATCAATTGTTGAGTTATACAGGTGCTGAAAAAAAAATATTATGTAAAATATTCAGTTTCCAGCACGCAACAAATGGACAGCTTCGCCATTCGTTTGACCAATCAGACCTTAGTCTCAGAAACAGATAACTTTTAGCTGAGCTAATTAGTAAAAGTGTTTACAGCTCAACATTGAAATATGGGCCTTCAAGTCCATGTGTATCTACAGTTATCTGTTTTGAAAGTTAAAAAGAAAACTCAGCTTTTCTTGAGATGTGAGCTATTTTTGAAGGATTTTCGTACCATACCTTTCTAGAGCTTCTGAAGACCATTTGCATATATTCAAGACTAAAATCAACTCCCGAAAATAGTGATTGTCTCTTTCAATCAATTCAACATTAATCCTTTGCCTCTCTATTTATCAAAGATACCTTAGAACAATTTATGTTATTTCAGTTCCAGCATCAGTTGTCCATCTTGGGAAATTTTAATATACAGTTTCTGACCTATTCAAACAGAAGTAGAATCAATTTGTTTTTACTTACCGACAAGATTGATGATTGCATGGTACAAAGATGGCAGTTCTAATATTAGCATAACAAATTGTACAAAGATCTTCTTCTTTTATTTCCTTTTTTAAAATACAATTACTTTAGCACTCTTAATTTAATTTTTTTTTTATTAAATTCTTTAATACCCGGTATTTACATTGTCATCATCAGGTATATAGGTATGCTTCTTATCTTAAAAGGATACATTGGCCATCTGTTTGATCAATCGTACCTTAGTCCCAGAAACCAGGATTTTATTTGGCTAAGCTAATCAGTAATAGTGTTAACAGCTCACTGTCAAAATTTGAGACTTCAAATACATGTGTGTCCACAGTTATTATTTTTTTTTTGGAAGCTAAAATTATCTTCTTTTCTTGAGGCTCTGTCATATATCGAAAAGATATTTGAACAATTAGAGTTAAAAAAAATTCATTAAAAAGTACCTGTGCTTGCTTAGACATGATATTTTCGTGTTTTTTGAGATATACTATCAAACTTTCAACGTCTTGTATCTCTTCACTACTGATCTCTTCAACTGAAATAAAAATGACATTTATTCTCCTGTATCTTTTTTATTTACTTGACACAACCAACATCACACAATATTTAGTGAAGAGAAGTTGGTCATAATTTTAATTTCCCATTAAATAAAGATCTTAAGGACCTTTCTGAATGTCAACATCTTGTTCAAATCTTATCATAGAAAACTACCTTTATCTGTAACTATAAGCATCCATTTAAAACTTTGGACTGACTACCTTTTTGAAAATGGAATAGCAATGACAGCATCAAAGCAGTTTTCAACCTTGCACATTCTTATCAACATATGTCCGTAAAAGTGAATGCATTTTGTGATGACCTGGCCATTTCTTTCAAAACAAAGCTAGGAAACCCAAGATCGAAGTTCATGCAAATTTGTATGGTCATATTCAAACTTGTTGGGATTACTTTGCAATATGGTCAAGTTCCATACACACATCTCAATTGTAGGTTGACAGTTTTCAGTCATATAAAAAATAATGTTACAATCATGAAATAAATAACGCTACTATTTTGTTCAAAAATGATAAAATCAGCTGAAAATTCCTACACCTAATTCCAGTTGTTCACTGCTATCATGTGACATTCTGGTGGCTTGTTGGACATGATATTTCTATAGCTTTTAACATGGATAGTAAACAATTTTATTCTATTTTAATACTTACATCGTTTAAAAGAAAATGGCTTTGAAAATTTACTTGATCTTTCCTCATCAAAAACAAACTCAAGAGATTTTATCATAAAACCAGCATCAGTTAATAATGCTCTTGTAGCTCTTTCTTGACTGAAAAATTATACATATATAACACGAAATTATTGTAATTAGCTTTTTTTCGACAATAAAATACATTTATTCTGCATCACTATTATAGATCTTCACCAGAAGTATTATATTGTGGTTCTATGCATTTTTCCTTTTAAATCGTAACCAAGTTATATAAATTCAATAATAACTTTGCTAAGAGTACTCAACTACCTTTTATGTGGTAAGAAAATAATCTTGTCAAAATTATCATCTCTTCTTGTGAACATGATCACATACTCAGATTCCCAGAAAGGCTAAATTTCATATACTATTACAGAAATCCTTATCTTACCCTTCATGTTTATATTATTATGATAATATGACTGAATTTATTTGGAATGTAGTGTTTATGACGACTTATAGTTATTGTTATAATTAAGAGATTACAGAATTCTTAGTGCACTGAATTATTTATGAGACAGAAGTAACAATTTCTTATCCAATTGTTAAGTTATATGAGGAATTCAACAAATCATTCTAACAATGGTGTCTTCCCACGAAGTCACTGCTAGAAAATTACAAATTGCCACGAAGTCACCGTTTTATTTTCTTTGATGATTTACAGTTATGCCGCTACGGGATTAAAGGTGTTCGTATGAGAGATCGTATGATAGACATGAGTCTCTTAAAATGAGAAAAAAAGGGCTGTTTCTTCCATTACACCCAGTGTATTTGGTGACGAACCCAGCAGTGTGGTCTGCAACGGCAGTATGGTAATGATGAAGAAATAACCCAATTTATCCGAAGGTGTGCGGTATTACCAATAGTTCCATACGATATGGTTGGGAGTGTTTTATGGGTGATATGCCAGACCCCAGATTAGTAGAACTTGCAGACTACGTTACAAGTCAATGGCTGGAGGGTGTTTATGGATTACATGAATGGAACCATTATGGTTCGGACACCCCAAGAACTAACAACAACTTAAAAGGCTGGCATAGCCGTGTAAAAAAAATTGTAGGAAAAGCCCACCCCAACATGTTCGAAATCATTAATTTCTTGAAAGAAGAGCAAGATGCCATGGAAATAAGGATGGTAAAACTGAAATAGTAAATGTTGTAAATAAATGAATTAGTTGAAGAATATTGTTAATTGGCTATAACCCGATTTCATCGGCTTAAGTGTACTATGATAACACCCAGTAATCCTATTGTTCTCAAAATCCATTTTTTTGACAAAATTCCCACGAAGTCACCGTTTTTGGTTTCTATGTGGTTAATTAAGACCCAAGCGGTGACTTCGTGGGCATGAACCCTAACAATGTTTTCACAGACAAGAAGTGTAAAATGAAACAAAGTAAATAATAATTATAACAATACCTAGTTCCTCCTGATCTACCAATTAACTGGACTAATATTCCAACAGCAACAGTTAATATCGGGTAATATGTCACACTATCTAAACCTGAAAGTCAAATTGATTTTTCTATTTTATATCCACCACTCTTTTTAACCTGTTATACAAGGTAAGATAGGCCAATGGCAGAAATCAGAAATGCTAATATCATGTTTCAAAACACAAATTTAAATGCAATTGCTATCACAAATTGTTAATCCCTGTCTCAGTAAAGGAATTTCAATGACATGACTCCAAGGTCTACAGAAATTGATACCATAGAGGCCAAGAACGCCAAGAATGCATTGAACTATCAGTTAGTATGGCAGATCCTTATAGTATAACAATAAATTGTTACCTGGTATTGGTAGAGGAGATAGATTTTCAAATGCTCCATTTTTAGTGGTTATTCTACTTAATACTTGACTCAATAACTGAAAAATTCAAATTTACTCTTGATTTGGTACAATTGTACATAGGGCAATAACTTATTTACAAGTTTGTCTTCATAGTCCTAACAATGATAGAGCCTTTCCAATTTTCTATTGAACATAAACTAATTGGGTTTTAGACCATATAAACAAAGTTTAAGTTTCTATTACCTTCACCTATTAAACAGCAGAGCAGTATTTAATTTATTACAGATTATATATATGTTATTTATTATATGTAATTGTTCTGAAGCTTAGTTCTGCATCATTGAACATAATCAATGTTGATTTATAAGGATATAACTTTATATATATAACATTGTGATATCAAGGTACTTTATAACTATAATGAGAAATATGCAATTAAAGGACAAGAAATTGTTGTGATTTATTTTTATACACCTTACTATAGTTAAAGTAAAGATATTCAACCACTTTAATTTTTAATTATCCGGTTTTGAGAATAATTAATAAAACATAATTCCAAACACAAATCAAAAATTAAAGTGGTTGAATATCTTTATTTTAACTATAGTAAGGTGTATAAAAAAATCACACAACAATTTCTTGTCCTTTAAGCTTTATCTGTTCTTAATCCTTTTTCTATCAAAAATAAAGGTTCTTTTGAACTAATCTGAATTCTAACCTGCATAATTCTTTTTAAGAATAATTCAGCAGAAGATCTACAATAATCTGTAAATAAATCTGGTGCTATGGTAACCACCATTTCTAATACACGTAGTAAACACACAGAGATCTCAAAACAAGCAGCACAGATCTTTAATTGACGACTTTCTATATATAGGTGTTCAGTTCTACTAACCAATATCTGTATCTACACAATAGTCAAAAAAATATTGTTAATTAAAATTTATTAATAACTTGAACCAAAGATACTAATAATTTCTTAGCAACTGAATATCAATAGGAATTAATATATAATCCTTGAATGACATTTAGAAGTAGATAGATAGAACATTATATAAATAAAACACTAATATGGATATACTACTGCTCTTTAATTTAAGCAATGTTTCAATTCACATACAGGAATCTTTTTCAAGTACTAATTCCTGTTGATATTCTGTATGTGAATTGAAACATTGCTTAAATTAAAGAGCAGTAGTATATCCATATTAGTGTTTTATTTATATAAGGAATTATTATATAGTAATTATATAGTAAACAACTCTTCTATGTTTCTAATAAATTCTAGTTTAATCTTTTCAACATTTTGCAATGTACTCTGATAGAATGAATATTAGTTTCTTTCTTTCCATATTGTAAGATTTTTAGAAACTTCTGTATAAAAAAAATCTTTCAAGAAAAATTCAAATGAGATCAGATATCTTAAATAAAATTTCAAGTTATTCAATGATAAAAGAAATATTTCTCTTTACCTCTTGCATTATACCAACAAATTCTGAGAAAGACCAGTTGAGTTGATTCATCAAGGTATCTAGAAATCTGGTAGCTGTTGGTTCATCATCTAATAATATCTTAGCTAGTAAACTTTGTAATATCTGAGAAGGACACGGTTCTGTAAAACAATACAGATATAATAGTAATGATAATAATCTAAGCAGATTTACACTATTAAACAGTTTGATAAAATATTGTATATTTTTCAACACTACCATGATCAACATAAAACAAATGCTTTTGGTTTTACACATGGTTATTTAAAGATGGTGTAGCAGATACCAGATCCATTTTACTTACTTTGTAAACTCACAAAACTAAATTCTGTCGGTTGAACTTTAGATGGGACTAGATTAGGTAAATATCTATATCGGAATCCAAACCCACATCCTTTCCATAATCTGACTAATATCCAATTAGTATGAGCCCAAGATCTATTTTCATATGGTGCTATTAATGCCCTTATCATTGTTTCACGGCTGAAATATAAGGATATACATGTACAATACTACTTGTATGTTTGCACAAAAACACTCCAAAATTTCATTAAGACAGGCCCAGGAAAAGTCCATTTAGTAAAGCGAGTCCGACTGTAACACATGCCCAAGATCAACATCCTGTAAATTCTATCTGAAGTTAATAAAAATATGTAATCCAGACTGGTTATAATTTAATAAATCTAAGCCATAAACTCAAATATACATTCAAAAAAACTTATTTGGAATACAAAGGACAGAAAGAAAACTCACTTTTGCATAGGTAATGTTTCTAGTATATGTAATGTATTAGGGTAACAAGTAAAACATGCCAATGCTTGAACTAAACTATCACGAAGATCTGAAATAAAATGTCTTAATATTAACTCGGACCTAAAATGGTGACTACAAACAGCAGAAATTCAATAATCATATTATAGACCCATCTGCTTCATTGCCAGTGTAATTAAAATTAGACGAAACTTTAGTTCTGTTTGTCAAATTAACCGTTGACCTAACCAGATAAACACTGAGTCACAAAAGCAGATGTCCTCAAGTTAGATCAAAAGGTTATTTTGACGAATGTTCAAGAGAGCTGTCAGTGGACCCTAACTGAAGTGGCTATATTAAAAATTAAAAACTAAGAAAAATTGGGAACAAAAGTTTGCTCTAATTTTAATTAGACTGCTTAGTTGCTAATTTATGGCAAAGTTTTTAGTTCTAATCAGTGGTAACTTCCATATATGTATATGCAGGACTGGTATGCCTGGCTGTTACAAAATTTGGGATAAAATTGAGATTACATTTGACAAATATAACATTTTATGTTTTTATTGTAAGACTAAATGTTCAAAATTTATAAGTGAAAGACTGCCCAACTCACCATTGCTAACTATCTTACTATCAGCAAAATGGTTGGTTAAAAATGTTGCATATCTTCTTAACAAATCCTCATGACCTGCAGAATACAATAGAATAATAATTTCTATTATAATTTGATTTGATTAGCTTCTGAAAATCTGACAATGACAGAAAGGTGTATAAAGTCTTCACAACCTTCTACACAAACAAACTAGAGAATTTTCAACCAAACCACAGCAGTTTAAATCCCATCAAAATTGATAGAAAAAATGGTATTAAAGTCAAATAAAATAATATAGAGATATAACTCACCATCAAGAGATTCAAAAGGTGTAGTTGGATGTATGAAATTTTTTAAAGCATTATATGCATTAACACACGTTTCAATATAAAACTCAGGCATAAATTGTAATAAACGTCTGTATCTGGAAGCTTTTTCTACTGTTTTTAATACCACATTCAATATCCAACAAACATCTTCTTGTTTTGACTAAATACACAATAATATACACATTATAAATCTACACATACACTAACAATATGTTTCTAAAATAACTTGTATCTTTAATACAGCTTACTGACAAACAATAGCTTACTTGTCTATGATATAAATTTTAATTTTATATGTCAAATATTGTCTCAAGCAATATTGTATTTGTTTTTCTAAATCTAGATCATATTGGTAGAGGTTTGCTACATGTTGTAGACATAATAAGATAAAAATACAGCTTTAGATGTCACTCAAAGATTAGACTTAATTCCTCAATTCATCATCATCTTGACAACAATGACTTGCTAATGGAAAATAATAACCTATAGTTTAAGCACTTTGAGCTCTACCTGTATAATTGCATCAAATACATTAAAAACTACGAACAACGTTAGTCTATAATCCAGATCAAAAATAAAAGTCTGTACCCTAGAATATATAACAGATATAACCCAGCCCATATGTCTAGCTTGTTCTGTTATTTTTTCTAAAAATACTTCTTTGGCTTTTAATAGATCTTCTTTAACTTCACACATCTACAAAAAAAACATTTTATGAACATATCACTTTAATCTAATCTTTGGTCAAATTGCTACACAATTTGTGACCAGTGGGACCCATGGAATAGTAAGCAATGATTCTCCTTTAAAATATGTACATGCCTCTGGTTCATCTTTCACAGAGACTTATCAGTGTTATATAAATTGATAATACCAATATCATTAGATTATACCATAGTGAGAATGAATTCAACTAAAAAAGAATGAAGAAAAGTTTACCTCTTCAGGACATTTGTCATATTTTTCTTGTGTATCTTGTAATGCCAATATAAAATCTCTCATATTATCTCGTAGGGCAACCATCTAAAAAACAAGTGAAACATACATGTAGTCAACTCACAGAAATCACTTCCGAATATCTACATCAATAACTAAATCAAATTTATATACATATCTGAGCTAAATGTATTTCCAGCATATCTACCAGCACAGTAACATGAACCTAATCACATTCCATTTTCAACCTTGGGGGAACTTTAACATGAAGAGTCTGTAGCCCACTGGTCCTCACCAAGCCACCTCTGCCTCGCTTCAGGTAAGAAGATTCAAATGTTCTTTAACTCTAATCACAAATGCCACAGTTCTTACCTTTCCTAATTGTTTATGAGCAGCACTATGATATAATATAACTAAACCATCTAGTAAATCTATCAAAGAATTTCCACTTGGAAGTTCTGTATCAGGATATTCTTGACCTGGTGCTAATAATCAATAAAACAGTATAAGATAATCTCTAAATTGGAGTAAGACAATTAACATTCTGCTCTCAATTCTTCCTTCATTTTAACTGCTTAGAAAGATTATAAAGCTTTAAATTCAGAACTTACTTGGCTCAACTGATTTGACTTTAATATCTTTTCCATCATCATAAACAACTAAACCTTGGGCTTTGTTTACTTCACCTAACAAACAAACCAAAAAATTTACCAGATCTCATGAAATATTTTATCAGGAGAAGTAGCCTAAATATTACTAACACCCAACAATTATCTTCAAAAACTTATAAAAATTCACTTTACTTGCTGGTTTTTAAAAAAAATTAGCTATGACGACCATGAAGCTTTACAAGACCACAACTAGAAATATGCTAGCATTAAGTGTATTCTATTGTCTGAGCTCAGCTGATTTTTATTCCGAGTTGCAAATATCACAATCATGTAGTTGTTGTAGGTCATGTAATGAATAGTACTGGAGGTTAAGGTTAACAGGAACTTGAACTAAAAACAACCAACAAACCTCCTAAAATTCTATTCAGATGTGACATTAATCCACCACATCTTTGAAAATCGAAATATTCACGACTATCTGACCAAAATTCTTGCACCGGCATAAATGCATCTGAAAAATTACAAAATATAATTATTTTATGTATGGTGTGGTTTCTCATCTTACAATACATTATGAACAGAGACTTCTAGTCCATTTGATAATAGGATTAAGAACAAGTTATAAAAGTACACAATTAATCAGAGTCTTTCTTTTAATCTTCACAAAAAGAAGTTCTTCATATCTTGTTCTAGCAAATCATGAGTTTAAACTAACCTTTACTATGTACAAATCTATTTGGATCTTCTTGACGAAATTTATCCCAGTAGTATCTGACAGCTTGTACCAAACGATGATAAAAACATAAATTAACAGCTAGTGGACATGAATGCACTTGTTGTACCTGAAATTAAAGGGATGCTTTAAATTTAGTTTAATCTAAGATGCTAGACACAAATAGCAATATAGGCCTACAGATGTACACCAACTCAATAGAACTGGTTCAAAAATATTACCATATTACCTGACATAAATTGTTTTTGGTAGAATCATTTCAAATCAATCCGCAGATCCACAAAAAGACATTGAAGATAAATAATCTAACAATACTTACTCGACTGACTCCACTATTTTCTCTTAAAAATGATCTAAACTTCTCTAAAAATATTACTCTTGTAGTTTCATTTTTCTGTCAAATATAAAATTAATATTACCTAAATACAAAATATTCTTTTTACAAACAATAGGACTGCTTTTTTGTCTGAATATGTCAATTATGTCACACTCAAATTCTGTGATCTAAATTTTATTTCCACTTTTATAGATTCAAAATATAGGTAAAAGAGATGATTTCAGTTTGTTACTAAATAAAAACGCCTTATCCTATCCTACCTCATTTAAATCATTATGTATTAATAAAATTTTCAATATTTCAACTTGTATTTCTTCAATTTCTGAAAAGACAAATAAAATAAAGATAGCTTGCGAGGCAAGGTAACATACGCCCACTGGCAGCTGTCAGAAATGATAAAACAGTCTTTAGTGACTAAATTACAAATTTTCTCATATTGAAGAAATTTTATTAGTTTGAATTCAATGATATATATATTTACTGCCAGTTATTTATGCTGAGTAATTCCACAAAATTTTTTAAAATCAATATCAATAACCCAAATACAACAAACAATTAAATCACACAGCTCTAATCAAGGGCAAAAAACAACTTTTGACGCGTGTTTACAAAGTCAAGGGCAATACCTCCAAAAATGTTCATCAAAAATATCTCAAGTTAGAACTTGTCTGAGATCTTATCAATTCCAATGATCACACCAATTTTCATCAAAATCGGTTGAAAACTAAAGCTTCTATTGTGCTCACAATCAAGTTTTGACGCGTTTTTCATAAGTCAAGGGCAATAACTCAAAAACCGTTCATCGAAAATACGTCAAGTTAAAACTTGTCTCAGATCTTATCAATTCCATTGATCACATCAAGTTTCCTCAAAATCGGTTGAAAACTGTAGCTTCTATTGTGCTCACAAACAAATTTTGAAGCGTTTTACAAAGTCAAGGGCAATAACTCCGAAAGCGTTCATTGAAAATGCCTCAAGTTAGAACTTGTCCGAGATCTTATCAATTCCAATGATCATAACAAGTTTGATCAAAATTGGTTGAAAACTGTATAGTGCTCTATAGTGCTCACGAACAAATTTTGACGCGTTTTTACAAAGTCAAGGGCAGTAACTCAAAAACCGTTTATTTGTAGCTGTAGCTTCAATCCTGCTCACGAACTATTTTTAACAAATTTTGATGCGTTTTAAAAAAGTCAAGGGCAAAAACTTAAAAACCGTTGATCGGAAATGCGTCATGTTAGAACTTGTCCGAGATCTTATCAATTCCAATGGTCACACCAAGTTTCATCAGAATCGGTTGAAAACTGTAGCGTCAATCCTGCTCACAAACTATTTTTAACAAATTTCGAAGCGTTTTAACAATGTCAAGGGCAATAACTCAAAAACTGTTCATTGAAAATGCGTCAAGTTAGAACTTGTCCGAGATCTTATCAATTCCAATGATCACACCAAGTTTCATTAGAATCGGATGAAAACTGTAGCTTCAATCCTGCTCACGAACAATTTTTAACAAATTTCAAGGCGTTTTAAGTCAAGGGCAATATCTCAAAAACCGTTCATCGAAAATATGTCAAATTCGAACTTGACCCAGATCTTATCAATCTAAAGCATCACACCAAGTTTTATCAAAATCAGATAAAAACTGTAGTCTCTATAGTGCTCACAAGAAATGTTGACGGACAGACGGGCAACGACAATATACGACCACATATTCATGTGGGCGTATAAAAATTACATACATACGGTTTAACTGAAATATAGTGCTCACAAGAAATGTTGACGGACTGACCGACGTACATATTCTTGTGGGCATATAAAAATCATACAAATATTTCTATCAATGATCACCCTTAATATATTTCCAGTGTTAACATTCTCCATGAACCTGTTCACTCATTCTAAGTTTGTTAGTTGGAAATTGAACAACCAATCTAATTCAGTTGTCCAGGTACAAGACTGCTTTTAAAATGTAAGGAATTGCCTCATGGTAATCCAACAATCTTCAACTTGAATCATCGTCTATTGATGACCCTCTTTGCAATTCAATAAACATAAAAAAATAAAGCAATAACAACCTTCAATTTTAGTGCGTAGTTTTTCACAAGATGCAAAATATTTTTTCTTTTTTTCCAATTCTTCAGGAGAGTTTTTCTCTTCAGGAGGTATTTCTTCATCCTACAAAATTGATTTATTAGACAATGGTTGCTTCAAGGGAAGTCCTGGACCAGATCTTTATAATGATAAATCCCTTATCTCCCACAAGCCAAAAAAACTGACACCACGCTATTAAATAAACGCATCTGTGGTAGACTACTGTATTGTTCCTCCATATGTTTCATGAATTGTTCCAAAATGCACCACTTATTCAAAACACCAGGAATAACTTGAGGGAAATGTCTAAAATAAAAGTCTGCTAACTTGTCATACATCAGTTATAACAGCAGTTTTCTTACAAACTTATTACTAACCTTAGATTGATTTTCCCACCATGCAACAGGTATCATGTCTGCTAGTCCTGCATCATCAGGTGGTTTAATGTGTAGAAACATTGAAAACTTCACTTTATCAAATGTTAATATCAGTTAAGGACATCAACATGTCATAATCAAGAGCATATCAGTCAGAAACAAAAAGCTCCAAAATATTTTGTGAACTGAAGACAGGCAAGGTCTTACCTAATATTTCTTATATTATTGTCTACTGCTGTTCAGACAATTGAGAGCTCAAAGTCAAGAAATGTTTATGAAGTTCTAGTAAACAAGACACATCATATCGTTTTGTTTATAAATCTGATATCTTTAAAAGGATATAATACATTACGTAGTAAATATTGCCTGGTTTGTTTATGACATAATATAGCTAATGTTATATATAAATATTTTTTCTGAAAAAAAACCCATAGAGCAATGATTAATTACAAAAATAAAGTACAAAGCTACATTTGTGAGAATCATCAATCTAATTTATTACGGTACCATGAACTGTATATATATCTAGGACAACTTAAAAAAAACTAGTATAATCTTGAATAGTACTTACAGCATGTGTAAAATCTGATGTAACAGGAGAAAATCTGTAAGCTGATAACAAACATATTACTAAATTCTCCATAAATGACTTGATTTCAAAATCCTATAAAATGTTCATGATACCAATATAACAATATTGTTGATAATATACTATATGAATATCTATTTTCTAGGCCAGGAAGATATATGTGCAAGTTTGGGACAATTTTAAACAGAGAATGCTATGTCCACTCTATCGTGAGGTAGTTCAAGTAGTAATAAGCAAGTCTGACAGTCAGACTCTGACTTGTATGTGTTCCCCTTTGAGCTGAGTTGTTAATCAAACAGGGATCAGGATTTAAGATTAACTTACCTGTAATAATGTCCATGATAAATCTAGTAACTGACAGACATATGGTTGATCACTATGAAGATTATTATAATCAACTATTTCTGATATATATTTTAATAGACATGCTTCTATAACATACGCACTTTTCTACAATATAAATATCACTATTACTTTTATTACTATTGTATAGAAAAATTCGAATTTTTGACTGATCATATGCTCAAATAAAATCTTAATAAATGAAAGTTATAAGATAAAGTTGGTTTACAAGACTGGAACAATATACATATATATATATATATATACATAAGTAAATTTTGACTACATTACATGTTAAAGAAAATTGACATACCAATAAAGGACCTAAATGTTCATATATATGGGAGGCGAGAAGTAGGCCAGTACACCGATGCCCTCTATTTTCTGTAAGAGGAGGTAATATTTCTTCTGGTTTGCCACCAATAACATTAAGACTAATCACCTGAAGAAATAACATGACCTCAGTAACACAGCAATATAAAGAGTCAACTTCATGAGATGATTTTTCAGAATTATTAGATTTAATTTTAGGGTCTTCGAAGTCTCCTAAGATATTCTGATAGTTGAATTCTCCTTCCGGTACAGGGTGTATGATAATAATCCATGAGTTGTAATATAAGTAGATTAGATTCTATTTTAACCATTGTCCTGGACTCTTGATGACAACCTTTATCCTGAGATGTTTGTCAATAGGATAATCTCTGTCAAACCCAATTGAATATACATTGGAAAATTGACCAAAAATCAAGTCACTTCGAACAAAATATTACTGGCGACCAGTAAGTTTATTTCACAGAGGTGGTAAAGTCTCACCTTTTCATCCTCTATTAACACTGGTAGAAGTTTCTCAAGATATGAAAATAATACTTTGGCTTTAGCTAATTCATTGACACAGGGATCTTGTAGTGGTTTGTAACCTTCTATAGGATATGTACAACTAGTTAAAGAAATCAATAGTTGTATCAAAAGAATTTCAACAATTCTTGCAAAGGAGAAGATTGTATTGTCATCTCTTTGCTGACAAACTACAATGTAAAGTATTGCAATGAACAAAACAAATTTTGTCAGGTCATTTGCTGATATACCCATTGTTTACTTCTGACAATTTGGGGAATTTTAACAGGCTCAAGCCAAAATGGTTCTGCTGTGGACTGGTGTGCTAGACTATGTTCAAGAGACAATGTTAATAATATAAAGAGATAAACTAAAAGATAAAAGGTGTTATTGTGTTATTTCTCCCCATATGGTGAAACAAGAAACATCACAAAACCACCATGAAATAAGGACAATTCAATATAAAAAATGTATTTCAAATAGATTTTGAATCCCATTTGAATGTTAAAGGATATCTAAGTGGAGTTCCACCAAAGTTGGCTCTAAGATTTTCTGACATTGAAAGACTAACAGCAGGAAAATAAGCTAATCCTGGTCCTGAACGAACAGTAGAAAATGCTTCTCCCATAGTTTTACCATTCCTGCAAGAAACAGATCAGTCTAATAAAATTTTGGAAAAAAAACATGGCCTTGAAATATTTCCATTTGGAATGAAATAGATATAATTCGATGATTCGATGAATTTTTTCTAAAGGCTTATTATTACAGATATATTAGATATAACTGATACTAATTGGATCTGTTTTAATATTGTCAATACCCAGTAGTTGATAATATACACATGCAAAGAAAACTGTGAAAAGAATTCATAAAAAATAACTTACCTATAAAATGTTACAGTTCCATTATCACAGTCCATAGCACAACTTATTACATCACCTGTTAACCATTGCTATTATATATCAGTAAAAGATAATCATAGTAGTTAAAATCTAACCATTTGGAATGAAATGAACATAAAAAATTCTTTTGCACTTGCACGAAACAGAATTTTCATCTGTATAAGATCTCTAAATGTATAAAGTATTTGAAATATGTCCCTACCTCACCATATCTCTGTGTTTTAACATTCCATTTCCTTAACCGACTACCATCATAGGCATATGAATCAGCTGTATCACCAACACCCTCCTGAAGTTAAAGCCATCGATAGCAATTCATGTCATAATTGAGACTGTCAGGTAAACTGTAAAGTGTTTACTTCCGTGATTTTATTAGAATTTTATGTTATAAGTTATTTTTAGTAGACAAATAAAAACTATACCTCTTGTGAAAATTTACAGTTCAAGGTACACCAACCAAGTTGCATGACACCTTTCGAACCTAACCATAACTCATATATCCATTTCCCTAAAAAATTCAATTTTTTTGTCTTTTCAATGATATGTTAAATTATTATATACCATTTCTTACAACTGTTTCTTAAATTAAAGAAAATAACAAAATGTTAACAAGCCCATTTTAGAAGTAAACATAAAAAAATTGGAATAACTGACAACCAATGCATGAAATTAAGAGACTATGTGGTCATACAGAAACCTGGAGAGCTGGCATTGATTAATAACAAACAATAACTACCTTTAAAAACACAACAATTAGCTCTCATTGTACTAAAGTTACTTAAACTGGATAGCTGCAAATGTCAAATAAAAGTATAATTATACAAGTGATAAATATTCATAATTTATTAGACATGAACAATGTAAAAAGAATCAGAATTTCATCCTTGAGAGAGTGAATGCCATGACATGAAAATAACATCCACATGGATCAATAACATAGTTTTTTTTACTTTTAATAACACGTTTCTGATCAAATAATTATTTTGTTATAAAGTAAGCTTACTTGAACTAATAATTATGACGAATATAAAAAAAAATGTTACCCCAAGTCTATCAGGTTCTACTATTAATGTACCAACATTAGACAATATATCAAACATAACTTCAAGACCACCTATCTTACCATAATGACAACTTTCTACAAAATAGAAAATTCTACAATAAAACATATTCAAAACATATCTGCCACTGACACTCTGATAGACTTAGTAAACAATAGTAATTGATTGTCATTAACACCAACAGCACCAGTTTATGATGGGGTCTATTTGGCATAGGATTCAATTTGTTCATAAATTATAAAAGACTATAAGTACCTGACATAGGCTCTTCACAATCAGCTGTACCTTCTATAGAATCTTCCAAAGATTTTTCTATGAAAGTTTCCAAATTTTGAAGTGTTGGAGGTTTCCTGAAAAGATTTATGATTATTTTTTTTTTTTTGGTATTAAACTGATCTGTTGTGAAGGAATAGTTGATCTAGATTTACTTAAATTTCTTTGACTTGAACATTTCAATCTATACAGCACTTTACTTACAGTATTACATAATAAAAAATGTACCAGTACTGGGGTACAAAAAGAACTTACTGAAGACTCGAAGCACCAGCCTCAGATGATAATTGACTTGTTTTATTAAATACATGGTTAAGCAGGCTATATGTATGCGCATCTGAAATTCAAAATACTTCATTCAATAAACAAATAAAAGAATCCATAACTTGTATAATATTTGTTCATAGAGATAGGAAGAATTATAGGATGATATGATTATGCCTATGTTTTCAATGGGAAGTTTGTCATCATTGACAACAATTTAGATGAAATAAAATGAATGGAAGATTATATACAAAGGAAGACGGGCAACGCCATACAGTATGCAGCGAAATTTCCCAGGACAGCAGCATTCTTGGTGATGACAACCTGTCTGGTGCGGACACCCTATGCACTTTTGATCATTTTCTTTCATATCTTTATATACATAATTAATTGTGGTATCTATTAAACTATTTTATTGTTATATTATTACAGTCAAGTACCCTAATTCCGTGCTAACCTTATTTCTGTGTTTCCGGGAATGATAAATAATTTACATGGGTTATCTCAACTAAGTCTACCTGGAGAATTTTTCAGATCGTTTCAAAGCAATATCAATATTTATTATCTATTTCCAACATATACAAAATGGTGGATTTCAGTTATTACCAAATAGCACAATTTTTTATCAGAAAATTTCCTTAAAATCCCAAGCTGTAATCGAAATTCCATGTGACATCTGCTAGAATATAATCCAGTGAACAAAGTCATGTGACAAACTAGCAGATTCCACTTATCATATTTTGTCAGTCACTGATTTTTTAATTAAATCATTGTTCTTTGAAGGAATTGTCATAAGTTATAAATATTGTTAAAGATAAATACTAAGAGAAGTCAATTATATCACTGGATATCCATACAACATGTTTTTCTCGACTCATTTATAGATAATTAAAACTTTGTAGTTTGTATGTGAAAACAGGTGACACAATGATGGATTCATAAAGAAATTCGACACAATCTTATTTTAATTATTTTATAGAATATCTGAAGAAACATCTAAGACATAAACATTTTTTTTATGTTTTTTAAATGTTGACGAAATTTGATGTTGAATACACATAAGTCAGTGGTTCCCAATCTTTCTCAGCCTTCACACTCCTGGAGCAATCAACTGGACCTTTAAAACCCCAAAAATTTGTTTCATCTACATTTTCAGCGTATGTTGATGTGAGGTGCCTCTCAATTCAAACAAACAAACAAACAAACAAACAAAATCTTTGCCTAAACCAGTTGGCCAAACCCCTGACACCCTAGTCCCACACATCTAGGGGGTCTAGGTTGGCAACCAGGGACATTTAAGTGCAAGAATATAGGTTACACCACTACCAACAACACAGAATCATCCATTTGAACCAATCCAACTACCAAGACTACCAACAACTACCTAGTTTGCGATATCAGCATCCGCTGGAAGCGAACGTTAACTTGTCATCTACCAACCAACCAACCAACCGGTTATACCACTGTAGCATAATATACTAATTTATTTATTTGTTCATCTACTCATTTATATTTTAAGTATTTTGTTACATTGTATTTGGTGATGGATTAGCATAAGATTTGACTTGTATCTGAAACCCTACTTATATGTTATACTCTGAAAAACTTATACAGTGGTGTAACCTATTTTCATGCATATAAGGATTCAACACTGAATTTCGTCAAAGTTAAAAAAACGGAAAAAAATTTTATGCCTTAGATGTTTCCTCAGATATTCTATAAAATAATTAAAATTGGTTTGTTTCGATTTTTTTTATGAATCCCTCACTTTGTCCCATATTTCATGAGTAACCAATTCAACAACAGCAGCAAAATGCTTCACCTATTTTCGTGTACAATGTTTGATCTATAAACAAGTCGAGAAAAACGCGTTGTATGGACACCCAGTGGTATAATTAACTTTAGTACGGTATTTATCTTTAATATCAATTCATTATAACTAATGACAAGTCCTTCAAAGAACCATGATTTAAAAAAAATACTGACTGACAAAATAAGATACATAGAGTGATTTATTGCTAAAAGTCATTGAAACAACATAAGAATATGGCCCACATTGTGTTCCATAGAATTTTTCTACTGACACGTAATCCGCTAGATGATCACGTGACTTCATTCGTGACTTCATTCGTTGGACTACATTCTAGCAGACGACACTTGGAATTCCGAATACAGCTAGGAAATTCAGCCGACAAAAACTTGTGACGTTTGGAAATAACTGAATAACACATTTTAACTTTAAGTCTAAAAAAAATGTGAGCAACAACCACAGCAGCTCCCAAACAACAATTTCGATGCCATGGGAATCAGATGTTTTACATGTTTCTGAGGCTTTTTCTTGGATAATATAAACTGAATAAATTTTTCTTCATAGATCCTCAAATATTATACTATATTACAGTATTAATAAATTATGAAACATGCCAGAAACATTTGCAATAGAGCGAGCCTAAATTTAAAAGTGTCAAGACTTTCGGACTAACCTTCAGATCTCCCGATGGTGCAATTGCTCCGTTCTCCGTCCCGATCACGACTATGGGAAACAGAAGCACTGCTTTCCTTCGATCTCCGCCCTTCGGCCATGGCTCTTTACACAAATTTATTTTGACAACATAAAATAAATATTTATATGACTAAATTTAGAAAATCATATCATAATGTTTTGTTTTGATTTTTTATGGCAGCCATTTTTAAGTCATGCACAAAATGATCAGTCATATAGACTTAATGGCTATTGGATAAAAAAAATTATGAGCAATACAAAAAAACAAAGTATGCACATATTTAATGATTTTTATGGCAGATTTCTTCAAATGGCTGTAAGGTTCAGGTTGTTAATTTATATTGTTCAAGCTCATTAAAAATGGCTTATCTACATATGAAAATTCATCCGCAATATTACTTTTTCTTTGGACAATAACAATCCATAATTCTTTAAGAATTACCTGAACTGTCTACAAAATATTCACATTCTACTAATAAGAGTTCTAAAATGATTTTCCAAAGATATGTATAATAATATTTCATGACGCACTATATTCTTAATTTTGTGTATTGATCAGATATTCATACACTTAGAGGGAGTAGCCATTTTGCGATTGCGAGATAGCCGGCTGGGGTTGCAGAGAAATTTATTTTTCTATTAATAATTATCTACGAAAAGATTCATCATGGATGAAACATACGACTGTATTGTTTTAGGCACTGGTCTGAAGGTATATTTGATAACAATTTTAATTCTGTCCACGTTATTGATACTGTCATATTTCCAAATTTTTTCATCAAATCAACAAATTTCTGACTTCAAATGCCAGCTCACCCTGTGACTTGGCTTATTGAGATGACCAAGATTTTGTCATATCAATAATATCATGAAAAAAATTGAATAATTTCAATTATCTCCAGACCTTTCAATTGATAATCCATTTTGGACTATGTTTTGTTAATGGTTAAATCTAAATAAAAAATATATTAGGCTTCTGTCTGAGGAACATTGGAGAATTCGGCCCATCATTGTCATTGAGTACTAATTGATAATCATCGAAGATATCTACATATCAAAGATAAGGCATAATATCATAATAGACATAAGAAGAAGAGACCACTCAGTCTGTCTCTGAACACAGACCTAGAAGAGACAACTCGTACTGTCCATAGACGAGACAGAATCTGGACAACTCAAGCCAACAAAAAAATTCACTGACAACTTGTAGGCCTACCAGTGCCACTTTTTATGCCCACATGAAATGTGGATGGTATTAGCCTATTGACGTCACCCATGCTCTTCCATCCATAATTGCTTTTCAACACTCTTCTTGACAGTTTGACGAAATTTGGTGTACCGGTACCGTTATGTGTTTATTATCACCCAAGGATGAAAAAATCAAAAACATCTGACATGAGTTATTACCCTTACACGTTTGATCTTTAGATCGTAAATACTCTTTAAGGATGAACCATATTTAAAATGAAAGGTATTGAAAAATGTTAAATATAAGTTATTGTCCTTGCTCTTGAAAATGTTTTTAACTTTTAGCTTGTGAAAGCTCTAGAAGATGACACAATATTTGACAGATTTTGACAAAGGATGAACTCTATTGAAAATCAAAGAAGTAAACAAATACCATGCTTATTCTGATTAAAGCACCAGGGGCACTGAATTTTAATTTTCTTCAAAACTCTTCAATTGACTTCAATCCATGCTATCAGAAATAGACTATATAATGCATGCACCAAGATAGTGATAGGCATATGATCTGCATTTTGTAATTGATTTCGGTATTCGGCTATAAAGTATCCGATATAAATCAAGAAACCAGGTTCTAGTTCTTATGGGTTGAGCTGCTAAAAATAATATCATGTCATGTGTTTGCAAGTCAGTATATTATTAGAGTGGATAGCAGTCAGGATAATAGTCAATATATAGTATTAGTGGATAACAGATGACATTTCACTGCAAAAAAAATGCTCTTTTGAAAACATTATTCCACTTTGAATTTATCATCACATGGATCTGCTATCATTAGCAAAATTTCCATGAGTTGGAAAAAAAAGAAGGGGGGGAAGCGTTTACACCTTGGTAGGGCCTTCATTGATTAGTTTAGATTTGAATACAATACAAGTTGTCATATTTGTATTTTTTCTGAGTTAATTTGGAATTCTTTTTAGGAATGTATTTTAAGTGGTATGTTATCAGTTTCTGGAAAGAAAATTCTTCATATGGATCGTAATAATTATTATGGTGGTGAAAGTGCTTCAATTACTCCCCTAGATCAAGTAAGTCAAAGATTACTTTACTAACTGGTTATAGCTACTGTTACTTATATCAAGTCCACCAGTTATGCTTAATCTTAATTTTGTTGTATCTTGTATGGACTCTATTAGAGGGTGAGACACTTGTAAATTTTTCTTACCTTGAGGAGGATTCAAACTCTCGGCTAGATCTTGATTAAAACAAATTACTTTTTACTTATAGTAAAAAAAATTCAAAAATTTCACATGTTCTTCCCAAAGGATGTTGTTTTATTTAGATTTTCAAAGGTAATTGGTTATGTTGTGGTTTGATTCTTGACTTTCATTCTTTTAAGCACATTGATGACAAATATCAATGCAGAAGAGTATTGTGTTGTCCTTCATCATTTCTATACAAATTGATTTCTACTTCAGTTCTATCAGAAGTTTTCACGTGAAATGAAAGGTGAATTGGGACGCGCCAAAGACTGGAATGTGGATCTAATTCCAAAATTTTTGATGGCTAATGGTAAGGTTTTTAAATACCCTCTTCTTTCTTTGAGACTTCAGTTTGAATGTAAACTATTCCTTCACATTTGCAAATAAAGTTTGTTTAGTTTGAAAGGTTTCATTGCAGTGATTGTCTCCTTGGCATAACAATAAGTTCCATTTCAATTTTCAAAGAATAGCTCATCCTTGTTACGTTGTACACAATCCATTGTAGCACTAAATCTTTGTTGTTGATTACTGATAAATTGCCTATATACATTGTGTGAGAAATGAATTTGAAGCAAACAGATATTGAGTATCTTATGGCTTTATGCAAGGATGTTTCCAATTTTTTTAGGTCAGCTTGTGGAAATGTTAGTGTCTACTGGTGTTACAAGATATTTAGAGTTTAAAGCTGTTGATGGCAGTTATGTTTACAAAGGTGGTAAAATTTTCAAAGTTCCTGCTGATGAAAAGGAAGCTCTTGGATCTTGTAAGTCACAGCACTTAATAATTGAAATCAATCCATATACTGAGTGATATGAATGGTATATTGTCATTATCAGCATTTGATAGATTGGGTTGTCATTTTTATACGCCCGCATCTCTCTATGTGGACGTATATTGTAGGCACCCCTGTCCTTCCGCAGGTCCATCCGTCCGTCAACATTTGCTTGTAAACGCTCTAAAAACTAGATTTTTTGATGGAATCAAATGAAATTCGGTATGTGTGTACATATTCATAAAACGAAGATCAAGTTCGAATTTGACCGCTAGAAGCAGAGTTATTGCCCTTGCCCTTGAATGTTTACCATCCGCATGACGTGGGCGTATATGGCTGTGGTCCACTATCTTTGATGACTGTACGTACGGATAAACCAGCTAGAAATTGGATTTTTTCAATCAGAAGCTGACAATGAGCATAAAACTAAGTGTTTGTTCGTTTTTTTCAGCCTTAATGGGTTTATTTGAAAAGAGAAAGTTTCGAAATTTCTTGCTTTACACTCAAGAATTCAATGAAGAAGATCCATCAACATTTAAAGGAATTAATCCCAAAGTTGACACAGCAGCTACAGTGTACCAGAAGTTTGGAGTTGATTCTAATACAACTGATTTTACTGGTCATGCTTTGGCATTATTTTTGTCTGATGAGTAAGTCTTTCTTAACTTAGCAATTTCATATTGAACTACATACTGAAGAACTTAATTATTTAAGGTTATATCTGATGTGTATATTGCTGGATTGTGAATAGATTTCTCTTCATTTTTGTAGCTATATGAACAAGCCAGGTAGTGCACTAGATTTGGTCAGAAGATGTAAATTGTACTACAAATCTTTAAGTCGTTATGGTAAATCACCATATCTATATCCATTGTATGGATTGGGAGAACTGCCACAAGGTTTTGCCAGGTAAGAAAGTCTTATTAATAGTTGTCATAAGCTCATTCATAATTATTGTCAAAAATTTGAAATTATTTATCTTGCAGGCCTGTCAGTCAATCTTCATTGCATGTATAAACCAAAGATGTTACATTTTTTACCTGATGATTATGGACTAGTTTGAAATTGACAGAAAAGTAGGATGTAAAACTCCACTCATTTCATTTTGAAATTGACAATTACTTGATAAGCAGTTACTGCCTTAGATATTGGGTTGTAGATGAATTTGAGGCTATAGTTTATATTTGATTCATCTTTTCAACAGATTGAGTGCTATCTATGGAGGTACATATATGTTAGATAGACCCAATACAGAAATAGTATATGAAGATGGTAAGGTTGTTGGTGTGAAATTTGAAGGAGATGTAGCCAAATGTTCAGCTGTTATTTGTGACCCTTCATATTGTTCTGAAAAAGTTGAGAAGCAAGGACAGGTTAGTATTATAATGATTAGGGTTAAATTATTTGTAAGTTTATTTGTAATAAACAGCATTGTCTTGATATGTGTGGGGTACTTGTTGTATTGATGTTGTTTTGTTGATGTCCAAAAAAAAAATTTTATATTTGGCTTGAATTTCTAGAACTAGACCCACAGGCTTCGTGTAGTTCTGAAGCAGTGCGTAACAGTTTTGATTTTAAAAAAACTGTGCCGCAAACTAATGAAACAGTAACATAATTTCCTATCATGATTAACTGGATATAGATCGCCCAAACGCAATGCATATTCGACAGATCGCTTCAACCGACATTATATGAATATTCATTAACCTACTGTTTTCAACAACAGTTGAAGGGAGCAAACTCCAACAAACAACCTTTATCTTTTTTTTTTAACTAAACTATTATTCCATAATATTGTCTTGTGTTTTTGTTATATGTGCTTCTCGCTTCTATATGTCGTTCAAATCTTATAACAAAAGGAACACCGACTCTTTTCAAGATAAAATTCATCTATTTCAAATGGCGATAAAACCTGAAGTAAACACCGTACAATAAACGTCAATATACCATTGGATAGATCTCGTCGAGAGCTATCAAAATTGTTCTGGTCATATGGTCACCAAAGGTCAAGGTCATGATATACGACCCTTCAAAGTAATCATATTTTTCAACCGGAAATATATAAAAAGCAAAATCAAAATTCATAAATCGGTTCTCAAATATTATTTAGCAATCGATAGTAGATACCGTAGACATCAAATTTACACAAATTGGATTACCCCCTTAGACCCTATTTCGATTTAAAGAAAAACGCAGTTACTATAGAAGAAAGTACAAAATTTTCAAATATTATAAAGCACAATTTTGATTGAAATATCTAGTGTTATATATTATTAACACTAGTAAGATTCAATAAGAATTTTTGGTGTATGTAAATTAGGTCACGTGTCAGAGCTTTTTGAAGATAAAAATCGTAATTTGCAATCGACTATAAAACTGGAAGTAAACATTGCACATCACAAATGAGTATATCACTGGATAGATATCATCAAGGGCAACAAATTTTGTTCAGGCCACAAGGTCACCAAAGGTCAAGGTCACAAAATAGGAGCCTTTGCAATTTAGGACATTACCGAATAATTCTAACCGGAAATAAAAGAAAAGCAAAATCGAAATTAAAAAATCGTCTTTCGATTGTGATATCCAGATAAACCAAAATTATGAAAAGTGCCCCAAACCCTGAGGCCCCATTTTGAATTTTACAAAAGTTTGACATATCAATAAGGCGGCTACTCTGTTACATAATATCTTTAAAATTCCAGAAGTTGAATTTTTATATTTTACAAACAAATATCGTCAAAACTGGAAGTGATATCGAAATTTCGAAAATAGTTTTTGTTCTCAATAAAAGTGTTTATCCCTATTTAAGTTTTCAGATTGATGGAAAGAGAATTGTAGAATTAAAAGGTTTAAAAACTCTAAAATTGGAGCTCAAAAAGTCGGCTACAAAAGTCCAAATTGTCGATTTTTTCAATTACTATCTTGTAGTCATTAGCGCGAAGTAATAAATAGTACAGTTTGAGCAAATTCAGATCAGTATTAAAGTTGATAAATGGAAAAAATCGAAAAAAAGTCATTGTCCATTTCCAGTTGGTCAAAATGATTCCATTTTATATTTAACAAATAATGGACCACAATTTTGACTAGAAAACAGCAACAGACATATACAAGCGAAGGTAAAATTAGAAGAAAAAAAAAATAGTCATTTGCAAAACGAAGAACACACTGCAAAAAGAATTTTGCAAAAGTTACCTTTTAGTGTGATCTATAACTCTATTCAATATATTCATGTTTATATCATATTTCAGGTAGTGAGAGCTATTTGTATATTGAATCATCCTGTACCTAATACAAAAGATGCTCAATCGTGTCAGATTATCATTCCTCAACACCAAGTTAATAGGAAATCAGGTATATTAGATTACAGATTACTCTTAATTACCCTTCTCTAACTGTATACCACCATCACCTAGATTGTTTAGCATGATATTCATCTACTTCAGAATAATTTCCATTCAATCATAAGAGGCCTTCACATATTTTTTATGGACTAAGAGTTGAAATGTATATTTAGGGATACGTTATAATGTATTTACCATAGAAAACTTGAAATTCAGCCATTCAAATATGTTTCTCTTTCAGATATTTATATATGTGTAGTATCATATGCCCATAATGTCTGTTCAAAAGGCTTCTATTTGGCTATTGTTAGTACAACAGTTGAAACCGCTAATCCTGAAGCAGAATTAAAAGTTGGGATGGATTTATTGGGTTCCATCATTGAATCGTAAGTTAATAAAATAAGTTTTAAAAAATATATATATCTTCATTGATAACCCTTTAACTTTAAACTTTAACAGGAAAAGGGGGTTATTGCAGTCAGTGTTTCTTTGGTGGCGAGTTAAAGCTGTTAGCTGGAAGGAGAAATTGTCAAACATTTATCATGCTGTAAAATGGGTCCGTTTAATTCACATAATGGATGTATCAACGTATACATCATTGCAGTCATCCATTTGAAACAGAAAATTACAAGCCGGTATAAGGTGTTCCTAGATATAAGATCAGTATATTATATATATTAAGTATATTGTGAGAAGTAAAGATATTATTGTTTATTTGTAGATTTGTTACTGTAAGTGATTTATATGTACCTACTGACGATGGTAAAGACAGCAGAGTAAGTTTCTTTATTTCTCTTATGGAATTAATACACCATTTATAATAAAGATAACTGTCTTTGTAAATTCCTGGCCTCGAGTATCAATAACTTGGTTTATTTTTTACATTCTTATTTTTTTAGCATTGACATGTTATGAGCACTCATTTAATGGAAGTTGCCATCTATACATATTATTTTAGCGTAACATTGAAAATGTTTGTTTTATTTTTATTTTCTCTAGGTGTTTATTACAAAATCTTTTGATGCTACAACTCATTTTGAAACGACATGTGATGATGTTGTTGATACATTTGAAAGACTAATGGGACAGCCCTTTGATGCTAAACAAATTAAGCATACAACTTGTGGAGAAGATGAATAAGAAGAGCAGACTTGTGATCAATTATTTGTTATTTTTTGTTATGTTCAGCTTTCATTTCACACAAATATACTTTGAAAGTTTTTTTTCAACAGGGGGCCACATGTTGTATATGATATTTATAATTCACGACACTAAAATCAGGACATAATTATTAAAATGAATAAATTCTCATAATATATATCATTATAGTAAATATTAATTTAATTAGAGGACACAGTAATTGTCAAATAATCACAGAATGGAGAAGATTATATCAAATTGTTATTAAATCGAATGAAATTCTAGTTAGTTTGAAAATGAGTCCCAAGTATGATGTTTTATTTTCTCTGGTCACATATAAACATTCTGTCCTGTAAATACCACCTAAATTTATAACTTTTGGAATGAAGATGCCTAGATTTTGAGGTGTTATTTGATTTTCTATACACTGATATTTAATAATGGTTCCAATAAGTTTCATTCCAGCAGTCAATAATATTACCTGATGTATCCATTATTAAAGGCTGATAAAATATTGAAGCAACAAATACCAATTTTACTAGTCTAGTCTGGAGTACCCAGTACTTAAACTGATGATAATAGATGTTGAGATTTTATATTCCGGTGGCCAAATATTTCACATCACCTATTTCTTGTCCCTCCCCATCTCACTATATCTTCATTATGGTTCTTATTCAAGTTTAGTTAAAAGTCCTTTCATTTTCTGTTATTTATTGAAAAAATTATTAGTGCTTATTTTTGGCTCTTGTTGCTTTTATTGTTTTATGTGAAATGCTGAACAGAGAGCTTCTTTGAATGAATGTGCAATTCTTTTACATGGATTCTACACAATATTTATCTTTTCTATGATAAGAGTAAGCATACAAACTGTAAATGAATGGTATTAATGAAAGAATATGACTAAATGGTAACATGATTTAAGGTATTTAATTAGAAATGGTAGAAGTTTCTTTATTGGATTAGACTTCATAGTAAATCAATGGCATGTAAACATACCGGTACTACATATTGTTACAATGGATAAGAAAAAAAAACATTTTTTCCCCTAAAATATTTTGGATTGCATTTGGATATCAGTGAGTGCCTCTTCAGAATTATGAGAAAAATGTTAACAGTGGGAGAGAATTATCTTAAACTGCCTCAAACATTTATTTATTTGTATCCAATTACATTAAGTAACTAATGATAATGTCTCTCAATAGGATAAAAAGAATTTTGAAATACTTATGTCAAGCAGTATGTCATCATTCATGTGTTAATGAATGTTATGTTGATAAATTCAGTATTGAATTCTTATATTGTATATAAAATTGATGTAAATATACTATTGGATGCTAGGCAAGTTAGGTGGATTGTAAACTGTGTATGGACAGCTAAACAGGTATGCATAATTATCTGGCTAGCATTTTTAAGGAACAGGGTTTTAATCTTTCTGTATTGATCTAAGCCTCACGTTTCAGGGTAGTTACTCACTCTCACAAAGTTTGGAAATACTTGTTGCTTTCACTGTATGCTGGAGATATATTTATTAATAAATGACTGTCAAACCACATGGCACAAATACATATTTGCATGCTGAACATGTGAGCAAAATTTACAAAGTCTTGATTAGCACATAGATATTGTTTTGAATGCTGTCCACTGGTTGTTTGTGTTAAAGCCTCAAGAATTAGATGGTATAAACAGGTGTAAGATATCATGCAATTAGATGTTGTGGTGAAAATAATTTTTGGTGTCAAATTTCAATCATGTAATATAATTGTTTTTAGTTATTCCATTTTAGCTGTATGGAAGCATTTTAAAACTTTCCTTGCAAAAACATGCTAATGATTGTAGAGTCAGTTCTTCTTCTTTCTCTATCTATCATCATGTATAACAATATGTATGTCGTGCTTTTTTTGTTTTGAAACAAAATAAACCATCAATACTGCTTTGAGATTTGTGTTTATGACATAATGATATGAATACGGAGAAACAACATCCCTTATGCATATTTAAAAATTTATAATAACATAGCTTTGTTGTATTGAATATATTTTCACCTCTTTTGACGATTATACTTCTAAGATGACAGTTCTCCATCTTTTTGGCTCGCAGACAATTAAATGATTGAATTGCTGCTGCTGTCTACCAAATTCATCGAAAATCTGGTTCCAACTATTGTTTTTTTTATCGCCGCCATCTATGAAAATCTTGTACATAGCTGATACCCTCCCCCAAATTATTCAGTAACAATGCCATGAGTTGGTGGAGGAAGTAACATTGGCTAGGCTACCTACACGGATGACAGCTTAGAATAATAAATTAACTTTGTCAAGCACCTATTGCTCCCCAGGTTGATATATCTGCTGGTCTTAGACAACGTATAAAAATGGTTTTGTTCTTAACATTTAATTTGTTACTCTAATCAGTGATCCAGTGTTATGGACAGATTGATAATCTACAGGCAGTGAAAACAAATGAACAATTGAAATTAACTTCCATCTAAAATATTCCATGAGGCAGTTTTAACAAGCAATTCTTTGAAGTAAATAACAATTTCTATAATTAAAACTATTATAATCAACAATGTCTATACAAACTTTAAATATTTAACAAATAAATCAGAGTTGTATGAACCTGAACAGAACACAATCTGATTTATATTTATTATTACTATTTATATGCATACAGAATGAATAGAAGCATCTTATACATATAGTAAATAAAACTAATAAAATCTTGCTCATTTAATCTTTGTAAATTCTTGTTCATATGTTCAAACTGACTGTAACACAGCATATTGGACAATACATACATATTTGGAAGCTATAATAGGAATGTACAATTATAATTGGAGAGAATAATAAGATGGAAATATCACAGTTGATTATATCCTAAACAATAACAAGTAAATGTATATATAAAATATAATACTTCATACTAAAAATACAATCAAAATCATTGCTTTATCAATAGAAATTGCCACCAAAATGTTTCTCAAGGAGAAAGAAAATGTCAAACGGTATTTTAAATCATCGACAAATCTCAAATTACTTGTAATTGCATAGTAGGACAATAAATTATCAGATTACAACAGCTGCCCTGTGTTCAATAATGTGTTTCATAGCAATTTCTAGTTTTCTACTAAATAAGTCAAGTTATGTCATATCAATGGTTTTTTTCAAATGGACAATTGAACGCCAGGTAAATATTCTAGATAATGCAGTTTTATCGCCTTTTCCTTTTAGAATTTTAAAAACAAGCTCAAACTGTCTTTCACTTGGCATTAAAAGTATTAGTTTTCTTGTTCTCTCAGCCTATCATCATCCTCCAATTGAGTTGTGTTTCAGCACTTTCTTGTCAAATCTCATCAAACCTTAAAATCTTACGAAAGAAAGCACAAGCAGTATATATTTATTGCTTTATTTGAAATGAACAAAGATGTGAATTTAGTTGGCATTTTATTGCAGTTTATTTAATACTTATTAAAACTAATTATAGTTCAGCAAAAATATTTGTAAGCAACATGGTCTCATTCAAAATACATGTACAGTCCACTTTATTTCTAAGTAGAATAAATAGTAATAGACAATATAAATATCAAACTTATATTGTGTTGATTAGTATTCAACGTAGTCACAGAAAACATGGAATTTTCCAAAAAGGGTAGTAAGGTACTAGTTAAAACCAAAATAGTGACATGACTGATGACTGGAAATTGCAAGTGAACCAAGCAACATGATAATTTTTCATGATGTGAGATGCTTTATGAATTAAAACCTTGTAAGTTGGTGTAAACAACATAAAAACCATAATCATGACATCTGGTCATGTAAAAATAGAAACGATTGATTAACATTCAATTCAACTTCTTGTAAAATGAGCCAACATTAGATAATGTTGTATTACTGTAAGTAATATCTAACAAACAAACAAATACATCAATGTAAGCTCTGTAAGTTTTAAAAAATAATGATGGTCAGACAGCTAACTTAGAGATTGTTATGTGTTATCTTTAGCCTTAATATGAATAAAGAAATTTAAAGTTGTTGTCCAACTGTTTTTAATAGCATCTTGAAACTTGAGACGGAAATGATTTAAAGCCTCTTCCTCTGACAAATCTGGTTTCAGAGTTTCACGCAAATATTCCACATCTCTTGTACAAGTTAACTGTGGTAAACCAGAGGATAACATCATCATAAACAATGAAAAAAACAAATGTCCTTTTCTTCTTAGTATCAGATAAGCACTCTCGCAGTATTCTTTAAATCTGTAAATAATACTAGCTTGTTAGTAATGAGAAATTACCTCCATTTCACAAAACCCACTTCTTCACACAATCATCATTAAAATAGGAATCCCACCACCCTTTTCTAATTGGTTGAAATCTTAAAATTTATACCCAATCACTTACCTTTTAAAATTCTCTAACTTAGTATCTCCATTGGTAATAACATAAACAAAATGTGTTGTCAAAACAAATGGCACTCGATCTCTTCTTACACCAAATTTACTCTTAAAATTTCCCAGAAAATGTCCAAAATCTATATGAAATAGCTGAAATATGCAATACTAAAATAAGAACAAAGCGTGAATTAGGGCATTGAGATTGAAAAGTTTCTGCTTATTTTAATTACTTTAAGAAATAGGTTTGGATTTAAAACTTTGTTTTTTTACCTAAAGGTGCGGACACACGAGCAGTCTTGGTCGGAAACTTTTGTCACTGATTAGAGTTTTGTTTTGAGTTTCAACGACTAGCACGGGCACACGAGGAGACAAAAATCTCAGGTCGGTCGTTTTTCACATGCGGAGCATATTTTCCTTATGAGAAGATCATATATAATATAGTCATATATACCTGCCCTGACTCTTTTAACATAATATTATCATTATGTCTATCTCCAATACCCAGTACATAGGTAGCTACACAATATCCAGCACATGATAGGATAAATTCTTCAACAGCACCTTCTAAACTGTAATATAATACATACATAAAACAATTAGGCTTATATTATTATAATGTATAATCATCTAATTCATAATCAAATAGAACTGGAATTTAATTGTCTTTGTCACTTTTCAAAATGGAAATCGTCATCTTGTTTTGATCCAAAATGAAATGACATCAGTTCAATTGATTGGACAGTTTCTTTTCTGTATGTAGTTTAGTAGATATTTAGGGCTTCATTAGAGAACCAGCCTAAAGAGCCATTTGAACAAAGCCTTGTTTTATATGTGCAATTCAAATAATATTAATATATATAAGAAAAATAGAGCCCAAAATACCTTTCCTTTGTAGGATGAAAACACTTTAACCATTCAAACAGAGCTTTTCTATTGAAGGCATTTTTGTTGTACCATTTCTGTATATTAGCTACTGTTTTGGACATAGTGACTACTTCGATCATACCTTGTTCATGACCTGTTGCTAAGCAACCATAAGGATTCATTCTGGAATATTTAAATCAAAAGTTAAAATCAAAGCATTTCTAAGGTAAAGTTAAGGTTATCTCACAGTGTGATAATAGGAATTAGTAGTAGTTTTAAGTTTAGAGCATATATTAATCTTTAAATTGTTACCTAAGATCCAAACCCTCAAACTGCCATATATTATCCATTATTTGAAACATTTGTAGTGTTAACATATCCTGACGTAGATCTAATCAATAAATAAATATAAAGATTATTAAATTTGAGCAATATATTCAAGTCACAAATCTATTAACATTGTATTATGATAAAATCTTTGCATATAGATCAGACAACGTATGCCGTTTAGAAACAGAATATACATAAGGATTTGTCTAATTTTGTACCCCATGGTTTAAGTACAAATTTACAACAATAGTGTTGAATAATATATTGTACATACCATCTCCATTTTTAAATATCAAATTAATGTCACTACCATAAATATCATCATTAGACCATACAATATGTAATGGTCTTTTCTTAGAATTAAATATATTACATTTTTCCGTCCTGTAATATATATCATTACTTATAATGTCATATTAAATATCATTAGTCTAAGCATTTTCTTAATAGATTTGAGATTTGAGGAAACATCCTTAAGGTGAATGTTTAAAGACATGGGCACCAGGAATTGTTAAAAATACAAACTAAGTGCAAACAATGGAAAGTCTTATTTATATGGTCTTCTGTGGTAGGAAAGGTAAAGGATTTTACACAGTGTCTGTAAAGTCAGTTATTTTTTTAAATTTTCACCTAGTTTGATACAGACCAATGAGCAAGATATAAATGTATGAAGATTGATATTTACTTAACAGCAAATAATAAACTTGTTTATCCTAAGAATTTTGAGGGAATCCAGCACTTGTATTAAAACATGAATACTATTATTATGTACTTACAATAGTTCTTTCAGTTTATAGATAGAAGATAGTGGACTACACAAATTAGACAAACATTCTTTGAATGATTTCTGATCTAATATTTTCTTCATATGATCTTTAGCTTTCTTATTTTGTTTCTGAAAATTTTTTACAGTTGAGATAGAATATGTTCACAATAAAAACTCTTGGTAATACTAATATTCATAATTACTATTATATTTCCAAGTTTATACTTAACAAAAATCAAACATGTAAATATCAAATCATTTAAAAGTATTGTCTCAAAACCTGCAAAATACTTGCATCATATAATAAAGAATCTAATCAAATTTCACTTCCTCACCAACAATAATGATTTACATTTCATTGCATTATGCGGAGACTGTTATTTAAAAAAATCATACTTACTGCATCTTGTAGATTAAAACTGCTACTCTTCACTATTTCATTGACACCTTTCAATTTTCCTAGAGCTTCAGACTGTTTCAATAATACTAATAAATGATCTTTACTAGATCGTAAATATACTTCAATAATCAATCGAAATCGCACCATTACTCTTGGATCATGCATCTCAGATCTAAAGAAAATACAACGTTCTTAATACACATGTATTTTAATAGAAGATAGTAAAGCTTTTAACTTTTGAAAATGCTTTTTTCATAAAAATTCCAAATTCCTTTATTTAATTTTCGATTAAAATATAAAGATTTTTTAATTTCTAACATTAAGTGTATAGATTATGAACAATAGAGGTCTGAATACAATGAAGCCTGTTAGGTCTAAATGAGTGAATTTGCCTGAACTACCTTCATACATAGAATCCTTTCGTAAACAATCAGGGCAGTGGAAGTAAAGGTTTGTACTCACAAAAGTAAATATTAAAAATAAAATCTTACTTTAAATGCCAGAAGAGTTGTTGACCTATATGTTGATTTTGAACAGCCCTTGATAATAGAAATTTGACTAATGGACAATTGAGGTAGATTTCATATTTAACTGCTTGTACCAGTTGTAACAGATACTGAGACATTTCATCATCACTACAAATAGAGATTTTATATATTACTACATTGACTACAATACCAACCTCGTATTCAATAATCAGAGCATTATAATCTATTTAGAATCTTCATAAAACATTAACCATCCACAATCTTGCCATTCAAAATCAAGTTATTTGTTTCTGGAAATATAAATAAGTTTCATGCCATGCCTGACACAAATAATTCAATTACAGTTGTTAGGTCTTTAAAAAAACATAAATAAATTTTAAAGCATGAACAGTCATATACTATAAGATATAATACTCACTAACCATAATTTTTCATCCAGACTTTTAATAGCAAACTCTCTGACATTTTTATCAGGAAAATTGAAGTCTAACAATTCTAGAGCATAATCTACAGGTAAACATTGCCATGCTTGTAATAATGCTGTCATCTGTATCAATATAAAAGATAGCTTGCCAGGCAAGGTAATATACGCCCACTGATAGCTTTGTTTGAAATTGAATATTTGTTAGAAAATAGCAAACATAGACACCAGGAAATATTCAACTTATACCCAAATCCATCACAAACTGTGCCATCACAAGTTAAATATCAAACACATTTGTAAGAATAACGGCAATAACTTGTATTTTATATTTCAAAACGTTTAGTTTTGATTGTGATCAATTTCATCAAGTTGTCAAATTTGTTTTAGACTTCTGCTTTGTAGAATAAAAATTTGTCGATTTCCATGATTTTTCTATAGGGTTTATCCTTGTGTGAATACGAACACTCAAACCAAGTTTCGTCAAAATCTGTCAAGAATTGTGCCTTCTAGAGTGTTTACGAGCTAAAAAATGAACGCGTTTTCAGGAACAAGGGCAATAATTCATACTTAATATTTTTCGATTTCGCTGATTTTCAATAGGGTCTATCCTTGGGTGATAACGAACACTCATACCAAGTTTCGTCAAAATCTATCAAGAATTGTGCCTTCTAGAGTGTTTACGAGCTAAAAATTGAACGCGTTTGCAAGAACAAGGTCAATAATTCATACTAAATATTTTTCGATTTCGCTGATTTTCAATAGGGTTTATCCTTGGGTGATTACAAACACTCATACCAAGTTTCGTCAAAATCTGTCAAGAATTGTGCCTTGTAGAGTGTTTACGAGCTAAAATTAACAAGGGCAATAATTCATGCTAAATATTTTTCGATTTCGCTGATTTTCAATAGGGTTTATCCTTGGGTGATTGTGAACACACATACTAAGTTTCGTTAAAATCCGTCAAGAATTGTGCCCTGTAGAGTGTTTACGAGCAATTGTGGACGGACGGATGGACCGACGGACATGGGTGACGAAAATATACGCCCCCCATTTCATGTGGGCGTATAAAAATCACTATAATATATCACATATGGGACTATCCAGGGATAAACACATAACAATTAATAAATGAAATGAAATAGTTTTTCTGTCCCACTTTTCTACTTCTGATGAGGCTTATGAACCTTTGCCAGAAGGAAAATCAGACTGAAATATACACAGGTATGATATCTCATTAGGCTGCAAGCAACTATCATCACCTGCATTAGCATGATGAGCTATCCAGAGCCTATTATTGTTTTTGATGAATGAATTTTAATTCAAATCATACATGCCCAACCTACAATATTTCACCCCAAAATGCTGTTATTTTATGAATCAACTTAATGAACATGTGTTACATCTTAGTTAAAAATAGGAAAGGAGTGATATGAAATACTGTTTTAAAGTCTGGATTGGGTGTCTTTTGAGTGTTTTTTATTTTTATCCCTAAAGAAAACAACTGTTACCTTGGCAACATCTATGTGGTTACACCATTTAATAGAAGATAATAACTTGGATAAGGCATGAGGATATTTTTCTAAGCATTCATAGCGCAATAACCATAATAATTCTTTCTCTTGTTCAAATAATGGTGACAGTGGATCTTTATTTATTATCATCTGTAACTGGTCAATATGGCACCGACTAACTCTCATACCCTAAAAATATTAACCTCACTTTGAAAATACTTATTTATCAACATGGACAAGAATATATGAAACAAATTCCCAAACATCTGTCTCACTGGATATATTTCATATCCACTTATGTAGTATACAAAAATACTTCTATAATCAACCTTAGATGTAACTTATGTAAAAAAAATATAGTGATAAAGTTAATATGAAAGAATACTAACAAAAGCACCAGGTGTACCATATGCTTCAACATTTTCAGCTGCACATTCTAATACCTACAAATAGAAATGAAATGAAATGAATGGAGTTTCATGCCCTACTCTTCTGCACCATGTGGGCTAATGAAGAAGGGTATTGCCATGCAGAGTGCAATGAGGGAAATTTTGCCAGGACAGTGGCATTAGCCTGCTATTTTTCGATTTCTAACTGTCGAGGGATCTTTAACGTGCACAGCCTGTAGCACACGGGGCCTCGGTTTATTGTCCCATCCGAACAACTAGACGCTTTTCCATGCCTACAAATAGAGTGTTTATCAGCCAAACACACAACATTAGTATATTTTAACTGCATGACAAATATAGGGAGCAAATCCATAACTAGTGGCTGTGTGTTTTTTTCCAAAAAAATGATATTACCTTGTCATATGATGGGTAAATAATATTAGGTCTAATATTGTAGTCAGGAAAGAGCACTGATAAACTTGGGGAATCATGACCATATGGGTTTGGTGCAATTGTTCCTAGAAATAAACAAACAGTACACATTTAGAAAAAAACACCAAACATGTTGTTGTGCTGCTGTGAATAATACAGCCTTCAAATTCTATTTGAAATGAAAAATAATTTTTTTGTTTATTTAGCTATGGTTTAAGTTTAAACATTCTTTATCTAACCTAAAACATGGCATATTTCATCAAATCCTAAATTGTCTTCAACTGTCCACATGTCCATAGTTCTCTCCCCACGAATCAATCTTGATCTAAAATCATATACCGGTATATTAACCCAGGCTGCTGGAAGCATTTCCTGAAAAATATTATCCAAATATTACTTTTTGATATCTTCTTGACAACATCAAGGCAAAATTCTCTTTGTTTTCACTGAATTAAAGGTGGAATAAATGAAGTACAGTAACTTAGAATATACAATATCTAGAATAGTTTCACATTATCTACATAAAATTAGACAGCTATCTATTCATTCTTTAGATTTTCTAAATTTCTATATTTTTAACTTTTGATTATGTCAAAGATTCATTCAAGTATATATTGAGTGTTCATTATGAGGAGTTACTACAACTGGAGATCTTACCCGGGTCTTGTTCTTACTACCAAGAGAATACAGAGCAAAACATATACGAGATGCACTTGGTAAATCTGATACATTAATATCAAATTTTAAATCTATGGTTACATTGCAACTACCATTATTAATCTGTACTTCTCCTGTATTACAAACTTCACATAGAGATTCTGAACCATGATACAATCCCACAAATAACTTCACCTAAAATCAATACATAAGTTTTTAACTATGAGAAAACACAGCAAATTCATCCAGATTATTGACAGAAACATAATTAAAACACAGTTTTGGATTATTTATAAAAAAAAATACGACCATAAACATAAATGATAAATGAAGAATAAGGTAAGTCAATAATGTATAATATATACATGTACCTTGATATCAGGTAATTGTATATTATTTATACCAGTAACTGTGATATAATACTTGTGATGTACTTTCCACACACTAACATGATCATGTTTATCATGATGTCTAGCTATAACTGTACTCTGTCTTCTTGGAGGTATCACTGGCGGAACTTCTACAAAGTCACAATGTAAAGTACTTAAGGCTTAGAAAAAATCTCAGTTAATTTTAGATCAAGATTATGATTGCACTCATATTCTGTAGTTTAAGTTTCATTTTAATTATTCATGGTCAATTTGGTCAAATAACATAAACTTAATGAGTTTTACTACAAACCTCCAACTATATCATCTCTTTTTAATAACCAGAACTGTGGTGCTTTATTTTTAATCAAACAAGAATACACATACTGAAAAAAAACATAACAGATTCTTTTCTAAAAAATATATGTTCTGACAAAAAAATATTGATAGTTCATCAAATGTTTAATCTATCTGGACAATTTGTCTCACTGACTCACAGGCATTAACAAAGTCATGTTCTATCACTGCATGCATGCATAATAATAAAATACCATGTTTTGTTCGAATCCAGGACCTTTATAAGTGTTTACGAGCTAAAAATTAAATGCCTTTTCTAGTTTGAGGTCAATAACTGATATTAAATAGTTCTAAGATTTTTTTATTCAATTCATGGGTGATAATGAATAATTTAACCAAGTTTCGTCAAAATCAGTCAAGAATTGTGCCTTCTAATGTGTTTACAAGCTAAAAATTGAACGCGTTTCCAAGAACAAGGGCAATAACTCTTTTTTTAATTTAATTTCTTTAATAGAGTTCATCCTTGCATGACTACAAACACTTACACCTAATTTCTTCAAAATTCGTAAAGAATTGTGCCTTCTAAAATGTTTATGAGCAGAAAATTGAACTTTTTTTCCAAAACCAAGGGCAATAACTTATACTAAATATTTCTTGATTTTTCTGATTTTCAATAGGGTTCATCTTTGGATGATTGCAAACACTCACACCAAGTTTCATCTAAATCCGTTAAAAAAGAGTGTTTACAAGCATTTCAAGAACAAGAAAAATAACTGATACATAATATTTTTCATTTGTCTCTTATTTTCAACAGGGTTCATCCTTGGGTGATAACAAACACTGAAAAGAATTGTACCTTCTAGAGTGTTTACAAGCAACTGTCAACTGACGGACGGACATGGGCGAAGCCAATACACACCACCATAATAATTTGTGTTAACATGACATATATTTTTACCTTAAATTGCTGAAGAGGATAATCACCATAAATGTAATCTTCATATCCATATGGTTTTAATACATAATGATCTGGATCTTCAGGATTTCTACCAGACGTGTTGGCCCATTTTCTTAAAGCTACTGTAATCAAATCAACTGGATGTCCCATTGCTGGTTGTTTAACTGTGTATGTTGCCTACAAAAGAAAATTTATCACTGCATCCCACCAGTACTGTTTCTTTTCTTAACAAATCGAGTAATAAATCTGTACCTGTAGATCAAATAGCTTTTTCTTTTATCATTGATTAAACTAGGAAAATAATTTTTTAGCTGTTTATTCAAATCAATCCCTTATAATACTCTACTGCTTTTGTCTTGATCAAGAGATGGTTTTATAAAAGTGGCCTCATCTGAGAATAATAGAAAAACTAAACGTAAAGTCTGATTTTACATACCTGAGTCATTTCATTTCTTATTTCAACAACTATACAATCATTAGACAAGTGACCTTGTAATCTGGGCGGTAGTTCCCATGATGGTCTGAGTCTTTGTGGATGTTTAATCCTTAAATTCTCCACCCAACCTCTTGATTTCCTATTTTGAAGTATCCTATCACAGTGTTGCTGCATTTTTGTACTGAATTCTGTAACTTCTGCTGTTGACCATGCTTCTAATTTCTGTGGTCCTATAAATTTTCACGTCAACAATATTATTGGATATCATTGTTAATAATGAGGTGAACTGGGTTTAGAAAACCTCTTACAATCGCTTTAAACTTTTGTTTTCTATTGAGTCAAATAGATCTTTCACTTGTCACTTTGTCAGATACACTGCATAATTACAGCTTTTATAGTTTTTGTCTTGTTGCCATCCTACTGTTATTAACTAAAGATAGCTTGACAGGCAAGGTAATATACGCCCACTGGCAGCTTTGATTTTGAACATAAATATTTAGCAATACAGTAACAATCATCAGTATGAAATATTCAACCTTCAGTCATACACTTCTTTTGAACTCTTCAGGGCGATACTGAATAATATAGAGTATGAGTTATTGCGCAAGTTCTTGAAAACGTGTTCAATCTTTAGCTCGTGAAAACTCTAGAAGACAAATATTCAATCTTCAGCGCAATAATGAATAATAAAACCAAGTGTTCAAAATTCAGCAAGAATCATGCCTTCTAGAGTTTTTATGAGCTACAAATTGAATGATTTTTCAAGATCAAGGGCAATATTTTTAGATTCTTCTGATTTTCAATAGGGTTCATCCTTGGGTGACTGATAACCAACACTCAAGCCACATTTCGTTAAAATCCGTCAAGAATTGTCCCTTCTAGAGTGTTTACAAGGTAAAATTTGAACGCGTTTTCAAGAACAAGGACAATAACTAATACTAAATATTTTTCAATTTTTCTGATTTTCGATAGGGTTTATCTTTGGGTGATTAGAAACACTCACACCAAGTTTCGTCAAAATCCATAAAGAATTGTGCCTTCTAGAGTGTTTACAAGCTAAAATTGAACGTGTTTTCAAGAACAAGGGCAATAACTCATACTAAATATTTTTCAATTTTTCTGATTTTCGATTTGGTTTATCCTTGGCCGATAAAGAACACTCATACCAAGTTTCATCAAAATCCGTCATGAATTGCACCTTCTAGAATGTTTACGAGTGTTTCAAGAACAAGGGCAATAACTCATAGTAATTATTTTTCGATTCGTCTGATTTTCAATAGGGTTCATCCTTGGGTGATTACAAACAACCATACCAAGTTTCGTCGAAATCAGTCAAGAATTGTGCCTTGTAGAGCAATTGTGGACAGGTGGACGGACGGATGGACCGACGGATATGGGTGACGGCAATATACGCCCCCATTTCATGTGGGCGTATAAAAAGCTAGGAACAAACCTTTTCCAACTAAACTGTTGATATTACGAAGTAAAGTTTTATTATTCTCATCCCCTTGTTTTTCTACTAGTTTTAAGAAAGGAATGGTTGAATAAAATGGTCTTATATCATTTAAACATTGACTTTCATCTATCAGTTCCTCCTAAAAATATATTTGTTGAAAAGAAACTTATTTACTTAATAACTCAATAACTCAAAAAACGTTCATCGAAAAATAGTCAAATTGGAATTTGACCAAGATGTCATGAATATAAATCATCACACCATTCCATTTGGATGAAAACTGTAGTCTCTATTGTGTCCACAAACAAATTTTGACAGGTTTTTCCTATGTCAAGGGTAATAACTCAAAAACCCTTTATCGAAAATCAAGTTAGATCCTGTCCGAGATCTTATCAATTCCAATGATCATACCAAGTTTGATCTAAATCGGTTGAAAACTGTAGCTTCTATAGTGCTCACGAACACATTTTGACACATTTTTACAAAGTCAAGGGCAATAACTAAAAAACTGTTAATCGAAAATGTGTCAAGTTAAAACTTGCCCGAGATCTTATTAATTCCAATCATCAAAACAAGTTTGATCAAAATTGGTTGAAAACTGTAACTTCTATAGTGCTCACAAACACATTTTGATGCGTTTTTACCAAGTGAAGGGCAATAACTCAAAAAACGTTCATCGAAAATTGCGTCAAGTTTGAACTTGTCCGAGATCTTATCAATTCAAATGATCACACCAAGTTTCATCAGAATCGGTTGAAAACTGTAGCTTCCAATGTGCTCACAAACAAATTTTGACGCGTTTTTCATAAGTCAAGGGCAATAACTCAAAAACCGTTCATCGAAAATGTGTCACGTTAAAGTATGTCCGAGATCTTATCAATTCCAATGATCACACCATGTTTCATCAGAATCGATAAAAACTGTAGCTGCAATACTGCTCACGAACTATTTTTAACAAATTTCGACAAGTTTTAACAAAGTCAAGGGAAATATCTCAAAAACCGTTCATCGAAAATACGTAAATTTCGAACTTGACCGAGATCTTATCAATCTAAAGTATCACACCAAGTTTATTCAAATCAGATGAAAACTGTAGTCTCTATAGTGATCACAAGAAATGTTGACAAAACAATGACAATAATGGAAAATAGGACAGATTAGAAGTACATGTGTCTGCTCATTTCTTCACTTGAAAATAAAACATTTATCTATCTTATTCTCACATACCTTGACTCCAAGTTGATTAACACAAACAAAGCAATAACAACAAGTAGAATTTAATAAGCTGTACAAGGGTAATTTGGACGCTTTCAGCCATAATTCCTAAAATACAAAAAGATCAATACAATTTTTCAGAATAAACCTACTTGGTTCATTATTAACAGTCATCATTAAGGAACTAACTATAAAGAACACTTCAAAATTTTCCAGAAATCGGGCATATCGTGCATAACTTAGAGAAATATCCAAGACCTCATCAATTACCAAGTAGGCCTCAACTCTTATTTTTATAATGCTAACCATCTTATCTGTATGAGTTTTGACACATCAGTTAAGAATAACTCTTATATCTTAAAATTATATACAAACCAGCATAACTAACTCTACATTCTCTTGAAATACCCTACTGACTATGTCACATTTTCAAGTTTAAATAATTACAGCTTTAGTTCAGAAACTTTTATTTTAATTGAAATTTCATTTCATTCAACTCTAGATTCTCTTGAAATACCCAATTTATTATATCACATTTAATAATACCAATAGCTTTTAAATATGTTTAAAGTTTCTGCTCTGTATCTTTCATTTTAAATACAAAGCCACTTTTAAAGATGGGTTTCTTTATTTTTTAGTGTCAAATTAAGATAACTATATGATTAATTGGTGTTTCTAATGAATTATCATGTATTCTTAATCATATCATTATGTTCTTATTGCATATAATTAAGAGTTTTAACCAATCGTAAATGTACATACGTGTATGTACAGTCTGGATAAACAAAAAGATAGCTTGCCAGGCAAGTTAATATTCACCCACTGGCAGCTTTGATTTTGAACATAAATATTTAGCAGTACAGTAACAATCACCAGTATGAAATATTCAACCTTCAGTCATACACTTCTTTTGAAGTCTTTAGGGTGATACTGAATTATATTGAGTATGAGTTATTGCACTAGTTCTTGAAAACATGTTCAATTTTTAGCTTGTGAAATATTCAATCTTCAGCACGGTAATGAATAATAAAACCAAGTTTTGTCAAAATCCAGCAAGAATCATGCCTTCTTTTAGTTTTTAAATGAGCTACAAATTGAAAGAGTTTTCAAGATCAAGGGCAATTACACATACTAAATATTTTTTTCAATTTTTCTGATTTTCAATAGGCTTTATCCTTGGGTGATAACAAACACTCAAGCCAAATTTCGTTAAAATCTGTCAAGAATTGTCCCTTCTAGAGTGTTTACAAGCTAAAAATTGAACGTGTTTTCAAGAATAAGGGCAATAACTCATACGGTACTCAGTATTTTTAGATTCATCTGATTTTCAATAGGGTTTATCCATGGGTGATAACCAACACTCATGCCCAGTTACATCAATATCCCTCAAGAATTGTGCCTTCTGGAGTGTTTACGAACTAAAAATTGAACGTGTCTCAAGAACAAGGGCAATAACTAATACTAAATATTTTTCGATTCTTCTGATTTTCAATAGGGTTCATCCTTGGGTGATTACGAACACTCACATCAAGTTTCGTCAAAATCAGTCAAGAATTGTGTCTTGTAGAGTGTTTACGAGCAATCGGACGGACGGACGGACGGACGTGGGTGACGGCAATTTATGCCCCCTATTTCATGTGTAATAAATAATAAAACTTGACATCAAATACCATCCTTAACCATCAGTTAAGATTAAAATTACAATATAACCTCATAAGGTCATATCTCATATACCTTATGAGGTCATATTGTAATTTTAATCTTAACTGCCTTCCACCATTTGTAGTTTGTTTCTTCCCCTGATGAAGTCAAAACTTTTTTGACGAAACGTTGGGTATTAAAGGATGGTATTTGATGTCAAGTTTTATTATTTATTACACCAAGTTCAGTATACATCAAAGGAATCGCTGTACTACTAGTGGTATTGGTGATCCCATCAAAAAGTCTTCTGTGATTGGTTATTGCTGCCTGTTTTTACTTTTTGGAATCACCCTATTTCATGTGGGCGTATAAAAATAAGGGAAGCCATCTTTAAGCTTATATAATATATATGATGTCACATCATTTACAATCAACACAATTCTTCAATACAGCACAAGTGCTAATCAGTAACGTTGCCTATATGAGTACAGGCCAATCTCTTTTGTATGAAGTTGAGAGGTTTAAAATATGAATTCATTTCAAGGAATAGTTTAAGTTACCAGTAACTCATATTCCTTAATCAGCATTACAATTATTCATATCTAACTGTTGCTTGAACAATCCCATATTCTCGTCATTAGAGACTGATAACCTCCCTTGGCAAACCATATGTCGCTATTAAGTCTATCTAATTAGAATCATTTGGTGTAAAAGGATGGTGATTGCAAATGGCAGCCTCCATTGAATTATCCAGAAATGTTACAGTTTCGCACCAACCACATTTTTGATAATCCATTGTTGTGAAACTTTACATACAGTTCAAAACAAGTATAAGCTTACTTAATATTCACAAAAAATTTCAAGATTCTAATACTTCCGTCTATCATAAGCTATTTTCAAAGTTTTTAGGTGAGATTTTTCTGGTAATGGCGAAATTGAAGGGGACATAATGCATTTGAGTAGACGTACACACTTTGCCGAATCATTGATTCACATGCCATATCAAATATGAATATTCTGTTGTAAAGATTATAGAAGATATTCTTTTCATTCGTCTTCTGAAAACTATATAATAGCTGTTTGAAAATTGACGCCATATGACAAAAAACTCAACCGTGAACTTCGAGACTCAATTATTAGAAAGCAAATTTGTTACTAAAATTTTGTGTCTGGTTATTCGAACATTTTCCCGCAATAATTTGTTTGAAGGAATCTAATTGGTAGAGAAGTAAACTCTCTACCAATCAAAATTAATGACGAGAATATGGGCTTGTGAGATCAACAGCTACATGATTATTATCATGTAACTTGGTTAAGGAACATGCCAGTAACTAGAAGATTACACATGACTCTGATACAGCTTTGCACAATATAATGTCAATAAATGATATTGATATCTTGCATCAGGAAAGAGATCATTTATCAAATTATCTAACCTACTGAAGATGCGCTATTTTTGTGGGTTGATTTTAGTCTTGAATATAAGCAGTATATCGCCTTCAAACAAGGAAGCTTATATGTCTTTTCTATATGTCACAGAGTATCTTAAATTGATAAATCGTAAATTTAACATTCAATCGCAGATAATACTGGACACATATGGAATTGAAGGCTCAAATTTCTACTGTGAACACTATATATTACTGATTAGCTTAGCTACAAAATTTTCGTTCTTGAGTCTAAGGTAAATAAAAAATAACACATCGGTCCCTGTAAGAATCAAATGTCTATACAGGTATTCATGTCTTTTTTTTTTTATTATTATTACATTTTAAACACATTATTATTTTTTTTTACTCTAATTTACATACTGTATTTTAATTGATTTATAAATGCTAACATTGGTTGTTTTATTGACATACATGTCAATCAAAGATCAAAAACATGATCAGATAATAAGGCAAACAAATGCAGAGTTTGTAGCAACAATAATAGTACCGTAACGAGTTTAAAAGTAGAAACATCTGAAAAATTTCTTACCTTTTTAATCTGTTCTAGTGGTTCATAGAAATTAACAGACAAAGGAACAATTATTCCAGTTGGTAATAAGAAATCTATCAGAATACATCCATCAGGATTTAGTAATGATTGCATATCTGGTGTAGCAAGAGGCGGCATTGTGGAATTCTTCTTCTACTAGCTAGAAAGAAATTAAAGATTTTGGAGGAAAGTGACAACCAAAATTAGCATAATACCAATTGTTTAAGACAAAAAATTCAGGGACCATATGACTAAGTTAAATCCAGTGAATGACAAGAATAATCAATTTTACTATAACTAAATCAAAATTTGTCAAGTAGATCTTGAAATACTGTCACATGTCATTTGGTGACTGTCACCAAATTGAAATTGACTGACTTCCCATGCCAAAGCCAAGCTAGGCTAATCTCAACAAACCACTTGACAAGACATAAACAACATTCCTATCAGGAATATCTTAATACACATTTTCTTACCTCGAGAATGTCCTACTCTGCCATTTACTGTGTCTGCCTATTACTGATAACATTTTTCATCCTCATTAAGATTTTAAACTTTATCTCATTTCAACAAACTTCCTTCTGACATATGAACCCAACAACACCTATGGAGTACGATTACCATCCATAATATAGTTCCTCTCTCATACGCAACTCATCTGATTTCTCATTACATTCATGAAATAATTGCACATGAAATCGTTATTCTAACTTTATCAAAATTAGAAAGACGGTTTTAAACAGGAAAACAGATCTGTTAGGTTCGAAATTACTACGCCAAGGCAAAGTAGGTCACTAAACTTGACCTACTAAATAGTAAACATTGGATACGGAAGTCATGAATAAGAGTGGTGTTATTTTTGTATGGTACTACCTTTTTGCAGTGTTTCCTTGTATTTTGATTTAATCAAGCTGTTATACTTCGTCCGTTTGGATTATGGATAAAACTGCAGGAAATTGAGAATTAGTATGTTAACTCCTAAAAATTTTGGCTGATACACTTTGTCCTCTGTTTGAAGACATAGTATTTGCCTATGTTTATGTTTTTCTGCTTTTATGTTTTTAAACACAAATACATTCTAAGTTTAACAGTACTATTTTCAGGCTGCTATTCCATTTCTGATAAAAATAATGGAGAAAAAAAAAAAACGTTTTACTTTGCTCAGACTAGCTGCAATAATTCCTTTGAATTAATGAAATCATGTGATGTAATCATTATTTTACAAAAATTGAAGATAACTTGCCAGACAAGTAACATACACCCACTACCAATTTCGAACTTGACTGAGATCTCATCAATATAAACATGTATACCAAGTTTTTACAAGATTGAATAAAAACTGTAGTCTCTATCATGCCTACAAGCCAAATTTGACGCCTTTTTGGTAAGTAAAGGACAATAACTCAGAAACTATTTATCTGATTTTTTCCAATTTAGAACTTAACTGAGATCTCATCAATATATGAATGCATACCAAGTTTCATCAAGATCAGATAAAAACTGTAGCCTCTATTGTGCATATAAGACATGTGGGCATATAAAAAGCCTACATGACATAAAGAAGAAGCCAATGCTTGAAATATTAACACTAGTATAGTATTAACATTGTATGATAAAGCCATTTAAAACTAGACTAGATTAGTAGAAGGTACAATGGAGAATTTTATAGTTTTAAAGAAGAGGTAGTGTAAAAAAAATTTCACCTGGGACATTCAAGCATGTTTTTATGCTCTTCTATTGTCAATGTTTTAAAAAGTTTACTAAAACAGTTACAAAATTTTCTAACTGAACTTCAATTCTGACCCTAAATAACCTGAGTTACCTATTAACACTACTAGGTGAGTTACTCTATACACCTGTTGGTAAAAGTTATCTTAACAAAATGTTTGACTGATTACAGGATTTTATCACTGGTTTTATAATGAAATAATGCCACCAGGCACCAGTAACTATAGTTGTAGCTGTAGCTTGAACACAGGAGTTTGACCATCTATTTATAATGGTAATTTTTGAGAAATATGAATGAATGGATTATTGTTAACCAAAGTTTAGCAATGCTGATGAAAAGGTTTTCAGTAAAATCATAATATCTTATAGTGATTTATGAATATTTATGATGTATTATCACTAATATGTTTTTAATTGTATGTTTGGACTTTGATATGATTAGGATATATTATCAATTTTATCATTTAAACTTATGTGGGCAATATTAATACTGTCTGTCAAAACCTTCATACTTGTGTAACAAGATTATGGTATGTAATGTTCTTGTTGTATTCTGGTCTTAGTTGATTGTGTTGTATAATAAACTGATGAATCTCATATTTCCGCTGGTTAGCCAAATAATAAGCAATACTTTGAAATGTGCAATGAGGGAATTGAGTCAATGCCTTAACAATTTTAACATGCACACCACATGAGCCACATTATCCCATTATTTCCTTCTCACAATATTTGTTTCACAATAGGTTTTAACTTTAAGGGTCAGGTTCACCATCTGTTTTAACAACTGTACCTTAGTCACAGACACATGATTTATTTAGTTAAACTAGTTCACAGGTCACCATCGAAATTGAGCTTTTAAATCCACTCGTGTTCAGAATAATCCGTGTTTGAAGGTTATTAAGACAACTATAGAAAAGACATGTATAGTAACAGAAAGTGAAATTTTGTAGTATTCTGAAGATTACCTGAAAATATCGAACTTAGCTGTCCCTTTTAAAATACAAGTCATTAACTTTTATTTGAGTTAATACTGCTTCCATATCTTGATAAGGAAGACCACAAACTTTCAGCTCTATTGTTGCATGTACTCAAACGAAAATGATTTGGTTGTAACTAATATTATACTGATAACTGTAATATTTACTTTCAAACCCACACAGGAAGTTGAATCACATTTCGACCAATTATGTTTTTTCTATGAATTAACAACTCCTATATAGGTCCATAATGTTTCTGACAAGCTTCACAGAATGTAACATTAAAGAATTGACAAAATAATAGTTATGATTACAAGCTGTTGTTTTTTTTTTTCAAACCCGGAAAAAAATAAAACAAATAACATGCAGTGTTTTAAAATAGGTTTGAAATGACATCAAAATATGCTTCTGTGAACTTTTTTTTGAACAATAATTAATTGTTTCAAAATTAATGCCTAATATTTACTATCTATCTGTTTTTCAGGATGACAGAAATATCAGGTCTGAATAAAGATATTCTATCAGAATAATTATTTATTGCTCATGGAAATTACATGGAATTCTGTTAGAAAACAATCTTAAATGTGCCAAAATTTAGTGTGATTAGAGTGTGAGCCAAAATGGATAAATGCGGATATCTGCGCTTAATACCAACTCGTATTATAACAGGTTTATTAGTAACATTACAAGGTGTAATTATTAACTATTATCTTATATATTATAATAACTGGTATTGGTATGCCTGGATCTCGGCTGATATTGCTCTTATCTTTGTATTTATAACAACTTTTGTTGTCTCATACAGACATCTCCAGTTTTTACAAACATCTTCATCTTCAACTACACCTGCTAGTCGAGTTGGCAGTCTTCCGCTATTGTATTTTACATGGCTAGTATATTCTTTATTGTTAGCAATTCGTGTGGGTTTAATATTCAAAAACTTTGCTTGGAAGTTGAAAGAGGAAAACTTCTTTGGGCCTAACACCCTTAAAGTAACCATATCACTTTCTGCTGTGGTATTTTTTTTGCTACTTCAATCTCATCATGATGCACCACTAAATAGCAGACGTGAACACCAGATAGAAAAACTGACTAAAACTGTTATCTTTGATATCTTAGATTCAGTGGACATATTAGATGCATTATTTAGCAAAAGCACTAAAGATGTTTTATTGCCTGGTTTAGAAGTTTGTATCATTATCATAGCATGCCTTAATCTCATCCTACCAACACTGCCTTTAATGACTTTAAGCAGAATTCATTTCGGTTACAAAATCACACCAAGAAATATAGAGACATTACATAGACTATTGCTGCTTTTTGTAGTAAATGCTCCCTTATTGTCCATCAGAATTATATTGTGGCATAAACTGGATCAAGATATATCCACGTTTATAGTCAAGAATATATTTGTCATCTGTGTCATGTTATATGAGTTTTATAAAGAAGACCAACATCGTCGGGAAGCTATCCAAAATGGAGGTAACAACTCAACTCATGTGGGAATGGAATATCCGCAAGAAGGAGAAGAAATGTCAAGTTTAAATAGATAGTACATAGCTCTGTCCCACTATCCTGTGTCTAACATAATGTTCAATTACACAATGAAGTATAACAGAAAAATTCAATCCTTGTGCTACTCAGAAAAATCATGAAAACAATTGTTCATGAAAATTCTATCTTTTTGACTATAATCTAATCATTTTATCAGCAATACATATCTACTGAATGTTTTTTTAATATGATTTTTCTGTCTCCAGTAAGATTTTTCATCTACCTTTAACTATGGCAACTTAAATTGAAAGTAAAATAAAGTTTAACATAAAAATGTATTTGTTTTTGTTCTCTCTGTTGTTGTTTCTTTTTGTTATATCTTTGAACTTTAAACTTGTCAGAGATCTCATTCCTTTCATTTATGCATCCAAAACTTGACCTTCCATCACAATAACAGGCCAATTTTAATTCATTTCTAACTTGTCCAAGATCTTATCAATCTCATTACAGATACTTAATTTCAGCTGAATCAGGTGAAAAATCTATCTTCTGATTTTGAACAATTTCCTCCAAGTGAGGACAGTAACTCAAAAAACGTATCATATTATATGAGATCTCATCAATCCAAGAAACGATGCCAAGTTTGATACAAATCTAGTTTGAACTAGCTTTTATTGTCCATTACGGACAGACAGTTAATACATGTCCACACATCTATTTCAACAAGAATATAATTCACAAATCAATATAACCAAATATCTTTGTATAAATATAAATTTTATTTGAAAATATTTAATATCACATTTGCATTGATGTAAAAAACATTTATCTTATCATTCATACCTATATAAGATAAAGCTTATGGTTTAATAAGGTGTATATATATATTAGAAAGTATACAGGGCCAGGTAATCAAGATAAAAAGTCACTCTTCAACTATGTTGTGCAGATGTAAGACTATATTTGAAATTAGAAATGAAATGGACAGAAGTTTTTAGTCCTAATTTTCTAAAGATAATAATAAACTGGGCTATTAGAGACTGAAACACATACTGAGTCATACCCTTTTTTTTATTTCAACTGATATAAATAACTTGTAATTCTTTCCCACTCAGTCATGTCAGCATTTCTACTTCAATACATTGAATACATAATAATTATGTTTCAGATAGTACAATAAACAGGAAGGAAATCCCATCACCTCATCTTTTATAACATAATCATTCAAATATTAACTTACATAATAAACTATAGAAACTCAACAATAAATATTCAAAAACAAACTGATACTAGGAAAATATGAGCATAATCTTTTAGCAGAATATAATTGCCACAATAAAGTGGAAAGCCTGCTTATAATATAAGGCCATACATTTTCTGTTCACTTATGTACTTATGCATTTACTCAGTATTATCAACTTATCTTATTGCTAAAATTCAGTAAAATCAGAAAACTGTTACTATCCAGATAAATCCCTCAATCTCACTAGTTTTAGACTTATAGAAAAATGGAATCACTAAAGTATACAATTTGATTTAATTGACAGATCATAGTTATATATTTTGAAGAATTCAATACAAAATCAACAATCAAGTAACCAAAAGAATAGTTCTAAAATTGAAGAAAATGTCTGTTGTTGCAAAAGATAACCTTTGTGCACTTAAAAACATTGTGGACTTCAGGATTATTCTATATTTTTTATTGTAGATTATACATGTACTTTTGATAGATTAACTATGTGTTGTGGTATAAAAAAAACTTTGTGAATGGTTTGTGAGTAATCTATCTATTCTATTGCACATTATAATGTGGACGTATAAAAATTACTAACAATATTTTTTGGTAAATCTAAGTTAAATCTTTGGGATCCTCACATCCAAGAGGATTTTTTTCATACTTGTCATTACAGTAGGTATGATCTTAATGATCCATGATTAAAATTGTTAAGCACCAATCCAAATGTCTGTACTTGTATATCACTAACACTAGTCTCACATCAGTTAAACTATCTCAGCATATCCATTCTTTACATTCACACCCAAAAACATTTTGTCAATTACATTTGATGACATATTTAAACAATGATAAAAAGCAGATTAAAAAAGCTATCCTCAGCCAAATTTCTTAAACTCATTGTATGCCAACTAAAATATAAATACAGTTATATATCCCTTATGATGCTACTATCATACTATAATTTAGTATCAGTAATAACGGGTTTGAGTTGTTCTGTGACAGTATTTTCCTGATGATTAGATGTTAAAACATCAGAATTTTGTGTATTTTGTGAATGTGCCACAGCTATATGTAAACACTGTACCCATTGTTCCACATTTTGATGTCCTTTGGCTTTAAATACATAAGTCTGATCATCAGTAAAAATTTCAAATGCTCTAGGAATATCACGAATTCCTTTCCTCACAGCTTTTACACTCTGTATTTTACTCACTGATAATGTCTCTTTCCGCTGAAATATAAAGGTAAATTATAATTTCTAGGAATATTTCATATCCCAATATATAAGCCATAAAAGGAATAAGTAAAGTAAATGACTATATTTGGTTACTTTTAATACTTTTTAATATGTTACTAATGTAATACAAATTACAAAACAGATTTAAAAAAACAAAACTTCAACTGTTGATTTAGCTTTATTTATCTAGTTTGAGTTTCAAGATATTCCTTGTGATTCTCTTATTGGATATTTCTCAATATATAATAGCATTTTGAATAAAGATTATTATGCCAAATTTGAATAAGAAAATTTATGACAATAAACGATATTTGGTAAAAGTCAAACACTTACCAAGTCACTTTTACTGTAAGTAAACTGTCCACCAGATAAAGTGAAATATCTTGTTTTCCATCGTTTTAAAAATTTCCATTTTCCTTTCTTTTCTTTTAATTGACCCTAAAAAATACCCATCTCTCAAAAACTAAAACTCAAAATCACATGATCTCATTCATTGCAATTTGGATGGATTCATGCTGGTATCGTTCCATCAAACTTTACTATCTTCATAAACCCAATCAGGTGCATAAGTAGGAGGTTACATTTCATTCCTTTAAAATAGTCAGTAGATAGATAATACATTAATACCATTAATAAAAAAAATAACAAGTGGTTGCCTAGCAAGATACGCCCACTTTCTTGATACATTTTCAGTATATCAAGGGCAGTCACCTATCTGTGTCAAATCTTACCAAAATCTAATTTGTGCAAGATATTGTTGATTTAAACAAACACACATTATTTAACAAAATTCTGACATAAACTGTCACCTCTATCGCCAAGTGTTTTTACTAAGTCATGAGCAATAACTCAAATTCTGTTGATCGAAAAATTCAATCTTGACTAAGATCTCATCATTATAAATGATCATACCAAATTTCATTTAAATCGGATTAAAACTGTACTCTCTATTGTGTTCACAAACAAATTTTGACGCATTTTTCATAAATCAAGGGCAATAAATCAAAAAAACGTTCATCGAAATATAGCCAACTTCAGACTTGACCAAGATCTCATCATTATAAATATTCACACCAAATTTGATTTAAATTGGATGAAATTGTGTTCACAAACAAATTTTGACACGTTTTTCATAAGTCAAGGGCAATAACTCAAAACCATTCATCGAAAAATCGTGAATATCAAACTTGTCCAAGATCTCATCAATATAAATGGTCAAATCAGATGAAAACTGTAGTCTCTATCGCGTTCACAAGCCAATTGTGGACCGACGGACGGACGGACCAACGTTATAATGTGAGCGTATAAAAAACGTGTGTTTCATGTGACTATGTTTATGCAAAGGTGATAGAGGTGTTTCTGACCCATGACGCTCTAAAATCAGCCTTTTTCCATGTCAAATAAAATAGTACAACTTACAGCTATTAAAGGGAGACCATCCTGTAATAAACCTGTCACTTTCTCTGGATGATTACACATAAAACAACACCATTGTTTATTTAACGCATTAAATTCAAATATATCAAAATAGCGAGCTTCATGTAATTCTTGTTGTAACATTTCTTGATCCTACAAAATTTATCAACATATATACCGATATATCTTTAGACATAAAACTGATTAGACAGGGAAATTATTTGTGCCAGGATCATTGGGACAAATTTCTGTCTAGAACAGCTATCAAATGCAATGTCTTGTTTTTATCTAATGACGTTGTTAACATATTGACAAAAAAATAGACATACTCACCTTCATGGAGGGAAAAGCAGACGTGATCAAAGTTAAAAAGGTTCCACCAGATCTTTCTCCTTTTAATGCATCCCAACAGACTTTTAAATTACTGACATTCAGATCTCTTTGACTTAATGCTGATGATGATTGAGCCTAAAATTATTATTTGTTTAGCTTAAAGAACTCTGAGCTGTGAATGAGTGCAAAAAATAAACTATAGAAGAAGATTCCTCACCAATGATATTTAGAGCATATACTATTCCATAAATGGATTTTATGTACATCTGCAAATGAAATGACCTATTCACGCAATGAAACAATTAAATATTTTAAACTGATTATAAATCTAAAACACACAAAATGAAATAAACCTTACACTAGATGAATAAGCCAATTAATAACTTACTTGTATAGATAAAAACATTAGATGTAGCCATATACGAGGTTGATATGTATCTAATATAAAATGAGATTTACCATATAGACAATGTTCATTAGGACTAGCACATTGAAAATGAAGTTTAACATAACGTCTATGTTTCCCATCTACAAAGAATTATAACATTAATGAAATGAGGTCATAAATTAATCATTTAAGACACTAAATAATACAAATCTACCAAATTTATTGTAAGCATCATTATTTCATTCATCAATTTCAAGTTCAAAATTTACTTCTGATAAAATTATAGCAACAAAATAATCTTCTCCATCTCATTTGGACATGTATAGTGAAAAACTCGTGATAACAATTTTCCAATAGTAAGTTTACATTGCTTGAGTATTATAAGACTTTATCAGATGATCTTAAAATCATACAAAGATGATTAAATCCAGTTTCAAACTATTAGTTTGCTAAAAATAAGTTTGATCAAGATACTTGTGTAGAATGTTTCTAAAGTGTTTTCAATGTATAAAATCACATTTATATGATGTGATATATGTTATTCAGTCGGGTATTAGTAATGAAATACTTACTAACAACACTACATTTAGCTGGTAATGGAAGACGAGCACCAATTTTTTCGACATAATTCTGTATGGTAGTAAAATGTTTCTCACAAAAATGTAACACACCATCATGTACTGGTTCATTCTGAAAAGCAAAATATTTTGGCATTTCAAAAGAATTCAATCAATGACTCAATAATCAGATAATTTTCCTTTTTTTTTTGGTTATGAATTTAAATGAGAAAAACAAATTTTGTTAACAAATTGATTAGGAGATTGACTCCCAATGTCATGCATGGCTGATGAAATGGTGAAATGACATTTAACTATAATCAAGTTAGATTTAAGACACCTTGGATAGAGTGGCTATACACCACCTTAGTTCTTAACACTTTTGAGATACATAGCATTTTAGAAATAAGAAAAGATAGTAACCTGACTATTGTACTGGGATGTTAAATTACTATTTATAGATAGGTGTTCAGAAACTAGGGTAGAGGTAGGACTTCCAGTTCTTTCTGATGCTAATCTTGAATCACTTGTCCTGTAATTCAAAAACAATAATTTTACATATATTGCATTCTAAATATTTACAACTCTCAATTAATTAACGATTTAGAACAATTAATTCTGATAGTTATAGATGACTACAATACTATCAAATTCTAATCTAATCCTACCAAATCTTGAACTGACCAACACCACTGTCTTTAATGATACAAAACTGTCTAAATTCCAATCTACATGAGTAGGATCTTTTGTATTTGACTTACAGGATAGATTTTGGTAGACTAAGATCGCTATCAGCTGTATTTTGTGAGAGTACTGTAGTAGGTTTAATGGATACTGTTCCACTAGGATGTAAAGCATTAGGTGGATTGCCTACAGTTATTACTGTTACTGTTCCTTCTGTTTGACTTGATACTGATATCATTTCCTTTTCTGTTAAACTGTAAACAAATATAAATATATTAGGGTATCAAGTCAACACATTCAAAATGGTCTAATTCAGCCAGTGTCCTTTTTTTGGACTTACAGATAGGTATAAGTATTCAGATATTTAAAAACAGTACAATAGAAATTAATTTTGGATTTACTGATGTAAAATATGGTTAAAATGATAAAAAGGAGCATTTTTACATACTACTTTTGTTGGTCTTCTTTCATACTCTGAACATGTATTCTGACTGCACTAGATACATTAGTAGATAGTTTATTGACCTCTTCCATGTAAGGAGAAAGTAACTCTGGATGCGTCAACCCAATAGCTCTCATTTCTTGTAGTATCATTGGTAAAGCTGAATCTTCACTGGTTTTTAACATAGAATTAAAATACTTCAATGCTCGATCAGCTTCTGCCTATTATAGAAATCAAATTAGATCAATTATACCTTTATCTACATAGATATTGCATCTTTAAATTCATCAAAACTTTTATGCAGATGTATTTTCATGTGAACATATAAATAGATAGCTAGCTAGCCAGATACAACACAAATGTTTTTAAGAAATGTGCTTCTTGAGGTTTATAAGCTAACAAATTGAAATTTTTGTCAAAAATTATGCCTTCTGAGTGTTTATGAGCCATTATAGATGGACATACAGACGAACATGTGTGACAATATACTCTCCACATTTCATGAGGAAGCATAAAAGATTGGGAGTAATTTCAAAGAAATCTCACTTCATTTAGAGTTCCAACAAATCCGATGATTTGAATAACAAAGTATGTTAAAGGTGGATGGTTAACCAAGATTTGTTTTAGATCATCCAGTCTGTCTGTAAATGAAGCCGGATTCTTCTTTGCCATATCAACAAATATAGAAATAACCATTGATGCTGTCATATTACTAGTTAAATATTCACATAATTTAATATAGTGCTTTTCTAAAACCTACAAACATAAACAAAAATATCATTTTAAGACGCTTTGCTCCATTATTCAAAACTATACTAATTGTCTCAGCTTTTACACAGAAATGTAACTTTAGTTTACATTACCTTTATGTCCAGAGAACTATAAATTTTGCAAAGATGCCTACAAATAATGTAAACATTGTGCAATCCGAAAAGTATCATTTTATTTATGAATTTAAATGGTTGAGAGTTGAATATTCAAACAAGCCCAAGGTGAGCTTAAGACATTTTTTTTGAACAGATGGTAAACATAATTTCAAATCTTTACCTTTTTGTAACATTCTTTCTAATAAAAAAGAGAACTGAACTTCCTCTTACCTGTGATTGTTGCTTGGCAACCAAGCTAAATAATTGAATCAGACTAACATGTTCAGCCATTTCACATTTATCAAGAGTTGATACCAAACAATCAATATGGCGAATAACAGGATCAGGATTCTGAGTAAATATCTGTGGTAACACATTACTCAATAAATAGTTACCTGAAATATTGAAAACTAATTTCAAACGAATGTCCTTTTTCTCACATGGATACTAAAAAAAAGAGTTGATAAATTGATAATTGGCCAATGAATGGTCATTCATTGCTTGATAAAGACCAGACAACACTGGTCAAAATGTCGCTCAAATAAAGTAAGTAATTGTAATCCATAAGAATTTTTTCATTATATCCAACACCTTTACTAAATGCCATTCAAAGATCATCATATCAGGCTAATGATAAATTCAGAGTTACAAAAGTTGATGATAAATGTCCAGGTTTTTTGTGTCCTTAGATATATGAATTACAACTACTTATTACAACTATTATTTATTTATTTACAAACATACCTTTCAATACACTCATAACTAGTATTGGCATATGTTTAGCTAATAACTCTGCATTATCAATGGCTGCCAAGGACAGATAACTGGAGACATTTCTACCTAATTCTTTATTATCACAATCAAGATAATGTACAACTGCTGGAATGGCTAATTTCATCACAGGTTTCTTATTGTAATGCTGAAAAACAAAAATCAATTTTCCATTCCAATTTTACTGATGCAATCTGATTCCAATGCAGATCTAGATGTTTTGTTTGCCTTTTTCCTGTGGGAACAGATGAAATTGCTCTGCAACTACTGTTTTAAGTCTGAGGATTGAACACACCTAAAATAACTCAAAATCTTACAGCTATAAATGTTATGTCAAAAACTAAAAAATTTGACCCATTTTCAAAACAAAGGCATACATATACATGGACTCACCATAAATAAACAACTCATTATATCGGAGGCTATTTTAGCATGGGGCGGATCTTCATCTCTAATAGTGGTAGTTAGTTTATGTCTATGACACATCTCTAATAGCTTGACTAACGCTCTAGCATGTTCTTCTATACTTGAAGTTTCCCTTTAAACAAAGAAAAGGAAGATGTAAACAATAATAGTTAAAAGATAAAAGATAATAGTAGTTATGATTGATTTTTTCAATGATTTTAAGAACATGGGCAACATTGAATTTTTCATGTGTAAACGCTTTAAAATTTCAACTATTATCTGCCTGTAATTAAAACACACATCTTCAAGCCAGTCCTAAACTCCAAAATATACGAAAGAGTAAAAACCAGTACGGTACCTTATGGCTGTTGTTACTCTTGTTATACATATTTCAACAACACTTTGGTCATTATCACTTTCTTCATAGCCTTTCTGATCAGCAATTTCATAAATTCTATCTACAACCTCTGATAATTCATGTTGAATATCTTTATCTTCAATAGTAAATAACTCTCCAGCTTTAGACAAATCTTTATGTGTTAGAACTTCACTGAACAGAGGATGCATGCTGAAAAACAAATAGTAATAAAATTAAATCTTATACAACAATGTTTTTTCTTTCTTTCAAATTTTAATGTGGGTGTGTAAATTTCCTTTGACTATATGCTGCTTCATGATAGAATTCTCACATTAAGCTATTTTGAGGAATAACAAATTGCACAGACGGCATTAGGAAGTACTTGTAAATAGTTACTGTTCATGCCTGAAATGTGTGTTGTGTTTATAGCAAGATAAGCCCATCACGCTCGTTGTTAGGGGGCCTAGCTACATTTCGATACAGTTATATCCAGGGTACAAATCGATTGTGCCCTACACGAGAACGCCCCTTTCATCACAATTGTCCGTGGGTAGGGATACAAAAAGGTCCCAATGAGCGTCTCAGAGGGTTCTCCTCAAATAGTCGTCCGAAACATCTGCCTCTATATTCCAGCCTCTGTTGATATTTTGACAGTTTAGAGTCGGAAGAAAAAGCCTGTTAAATGGGTATTTTCCACACCTCCAGAGATGCGTTTTTTCTAATATAATATTACATTACCTTTACAATGACTCTAAATAAGTGTTGGACATTAGCGCAACTTTCATTTTGCTAGTGACATGTGACTGTGACCTTTAGGCTGTCCACTCAGTTTTAAATAGCCAATGCGAGATCAGTTTTGTTAAAAAAAACTTTTATGGAATTTAAAACACGACATAAATGGTCATGGTGTAAGGAGAAACTGATGGTATGACTGAGCTACAAAAATATTCATCTTTCCAAATTTTCGTGGTTTTACAGATCTAAATAGGTTTAAAACCCCCGCACCGGGGAGATGAGGAATCACCCCACCCCATCACAGGGCCTATTTTTCTGTCTCTACACTAGCCGACATCACTCAAAGTGTGCATGTGCTGCGGTCGGAAAGGAACCTGATACGCCACAGCTTTTATTTAAATAATTTCAATCTCCAAACCTTAATTTTAAGAATAAAATATAGATCATAAGATCCTAAGAATTTCTTTCCACATAAATTCAAATCTAAATCTACCTGTCAATGAAGGAATTTGCATTTTTTCAATTTACCTGCCAGACCGGAAATTTACTTGTTGTGATATGGAAGGACAACCCATCTCAATTCAGACCACTGCTAAATATTAGTACATATGGTTGGTTGACCACTGTACTAGTCTTGATAATGTTTTTATTGAATGAAATATGTTTACGAATCATTAATTTAAGACTGTATGATTTTTTTTTTTTGAGTTTGTAGGTAGGCTATTTAAGGTAGGCTACTCAGGATCTTCCAAGATTTGAAGTGTGGAAGCATATTGTGGATGTTCCAAATCTGAGCATGTTCTAACCTACCCAAAGAAACTTTGAATTGATTTGTTGTTTTGACATTTTAGGAAAAAATCCTGTAACATAATATTTTGCAATTTCTTCCATGGTGAACTAAAAAAAAAAAAAAAAAAATCAACATTGTGTTTACATCTCAGAAGAATTGCAAAGGAAACTGAAATTGTGCTCTATTAGTTGGTTAAGCAAATGTTAAGACAACTGTTTTAATTCAATAGAAGACTAACAGTGGATGTGGTACAATAATATAAGAGTTAACAGCATCATAATATTTTCAGATGAATTCAATATTGCAGCCAATGTTTAATTCAACTGTATAAATGTTCTTCCTTTATTATATTTCTTGACTTCTTGCCTTCTTTAGATTTTCTGCCAGGTTTGTTAACTTTCACACATTTGGAAACTTGCTTCTTTTCATTAACAATACCATGTTTCTTATCAAGATGCCAGTTTAAAGCTGCTTTTTGAATACATCTATAATCACAAAGTTCACAACTCAGGTTTTTCTCTCCAGTGTGAATTTTCATGTGCATTTTCAAATGTTTGTTAGCATAAAAGCTCTTTTCACATTCTGGCCAAGTACATGGTATATTTCTTATCTTATAATGTACCATGTTCATGTGTTCTTTTCTTAACACTTTATTGTTAAAGTTTCTATCACAACCATCAAATATACACTTGTATCTTCGTATACCCAGATGTACACTTTTGGAATGAGACTTTAAAGTACTTTTTGATGCCGTTTTGTAATTACAGTTCTTGTAATGACATTTATACACCTTTTCAAGATGTGTCAGTTTATGGGCACTGTAAGTACTTCTAGAGTACATTTTCCTGCCACAAAATTGACAAACGTATAGAGGTTCTGGTTTCTCACCAATCTTATGAACTTCATAGCAATGTAAAAGCCATAAATCCTCTGACTGCAATATCAATCCACACATATGACACATGCGACTACCTTTTGATGATTGATGATTTTTCCTGGAGTGTTTTATTATCTCACGGACACTTTCACCTTGGAAAGGGCATTTACAGCATCTGTGAACAGATGTATGATGGATAAGTTTGTGGAATGAGAGTGAGTAGATGCTTTTACAGTTTTTTTGACAAACATCACACATCACAAACCCTTTTCTGTGTTCACTGACATGTTTTTCAGCATCTTCTTCCGTCTGAAAGAACTGACAGCATTCTGAACAAATAAACTGGTCATCAATCTTATCATATGATACATTTTTATTTTCCTTATAATTAAAATGTTCATCGAAATTTGACTCATTAGAACCGAAACTGTCTGATTCTGATTGGTAATCATCAGAACTGTAGATATCATAATCATCATCAACATTGGAAAGCAGCATCTCTACAGGATTCCAATCTTCATCGACAACAGGCTTTTTACATTTTAGATTATCTACTGGTATATCATGTTCAGACTGATCTGATTCTATTCCTATATCAACATCATTCACATAGGTTTTTCTTATTCCCCTAGTTCGGTACCTGTTACCATTGGGTTCTTCCTTACTAACTTCACTAATGTTTAATGCCATCTCAAGCTTTCTGAAAGATCAATTATCTTAGTGAGAAGTTGTAGAACAAATAAAGCTTGATCTTATGTTGATCTTATGAAACCTGAAAGAGGAACTATCAAAGATTAGCTATAGGTGAAACGATTTTGATTATCAAACTTTTTTCATTAAAGCCAATAGATTTTAAATGTACCAGTAAAGTTTGAGAAACACTGACTGTGAGCCACAGGTATGTTTCTATAAATAGTCGACCATATATATTGTATATATATACTTTTATAGAGAGAGTCGACTATTGATAGAAACAGATGCCTGTGCTGTGAGCTTATATACAGGCTTTATAGAAAGATAGCTTGCGTTGCAAGGTAACATACGTCCACTGGCAGCTGTCAGAAATAATAAAACAGTCTTTAGTGACTAAAGTACGAATTTTCTCATATTGAAGAAATTATTTATGCTGAATAATTCCACAAAATTTTTTAAAATCAATATCAATAACCCAAATACAACAAACAATTAAATCACACAGCTCTAATCAAGGGCAAAAAACAAATTTTGACACGTGTTTACAAAGTCAAGGGCAATAACTCAAAAAATGTTCATCAAAAATATTTCTTGTTAGAACTTGTCAGAGATCTTATCAATTCCAATGATCACACCTAGTTTCATCAGAATCGGTTGCAAACTGTAGCTTCTATTGTGCTCACAAACAAATTTTGATGCGTTTTTCGTAAGTTAATGGTATTAACTCAAAAACATTTCATCGAAAATGCGTCAAGTTAGAACTTGTCCGAGATCTTATCAATTCCAATGATCACACCAAGTTTCATCAGAATCGGTTGAAAACTGTAGCTTCTATTGTGCTCACTAACAAATTTTGACGCGTTTTTACAAAGTCAAGGGCAATAACTCGAAAACCGTTCATCAAAAATGCATCAAGTTAGAACTCGTCCGAGATCTTAGCAATTCCAATGATCACACCAAGTTTCATCAGAATCGGTTGAAAACTGTAGCTTCAATCCTGCTCAAGAACTATTTTTAACAAATTTCAACACGTTTTAACAAAGTCAAGGGCAATAACTCAAAAACTGTTCATCGAAAATGCGTCAAATTAGAACTTGTACGAGATCTTATCAATTCCAATGATCACACCAAGTTTCATCAGAATCGGTTGAAAACTGTAGCTTCAATCCTGCTCAAGAACTATTTTTAACAAATTTCAACACTTTTTAACAAAGTCAAGGGCAATAACTCAAAAACTGTTCATCGAAAATGCGTCAAGTTAGAACTTGTCCGAGATCTTATCAATTCCAATGATCACACCAAGTTTCATCAGAATCGGTTGAAAACTGTAGCTTCAATCCTGCTCACGAACTATTTTTAACAAATTTTGACGTGTTTTTACAAAGTCAAGGGCAATAAGTCAAAAACAGTTCATCGAAAATGCGTCAAGTTAGAACTTGACCGAGATCTTATCAATTCCAATGATTACACCAAGTTTCATCAGAATCGGTTGAAAACTGTAGCTTCAATCCTGCTCACGAACTATTTTTAACAAATTTTGACGTGTTTTTACAAAGTCAAGGGCAATAACTCAAAAACAGTTGATCGAAAATGCGTCAAGTTAGAACTTGACCGAGATCTTATCAATTCCAATGATCACACCAAGTTTCATCAGAATCGGATGAAAACTGTAGCTTCAATCCTGCTCACGAACAATTTTTAACAAATTTCAAGGCGTTCTAAGTCAAGGGCAATATCTCAAAAACCGTTCATCGAAAATATGTCAAATTCGAACTTGACCGAGATCTTATCAATC